CTGTAACGTAGTCAAAAGATGCTATAAAATCAGCCACCCTGGTGGGAGTTTCCAGAATGTTAGTGTACAAACCACAGATTTAAAAAACAGATTTATCCCTAACATAACTCTCTACTAATAATCTAATGAGAGTTAGTAGACAATAGTGTAACCTTAAATGTTCATTAAGCACAATATAATATTTATTTTCCTTTTTTGGGATGAAATGTGACCCGTTTTCATGAGATTCACCCTGTCAGTTTTTGCAAACTGAGTTCACTGTATTCATATACTGTATGACAAATAAAAAATGTCTAGAGACTTTTTAATTCACAATGTGTTACGTAAACTTTTCTGGAAAGATCCACAATCTCTTTGAATCATGGTCCGGCTACTATGTTCATGTGTAACTTACAGTATAGTATGTCCGAGAGGATTGATCGAGCACTCTTGTGTTTGGCTTGGGGCGTGAAATTATTGATCACGTTTTGCTACTATTATTGTTGTTGGCTGCTTGCTAAAGGCAGTTTAATTGCAAGTAAACTAACACGCAACTGTCTTCCGCCAAACCATAATGCATTACATTAAGATGTGAAGACAGATGGACTAGCTCAAGAATTACTCACAGTTTTTTAGCCAGTCCCTTGTACGTCCTGTTCATTCGACAAAGCCACACTCTCTTTCACAACGGCCAAGTTGAGTCATCAGGTCTGTATTAGGGTCATTATGGTAATTATCTTCTATATTTACCTGAGTGAAATGAGGGTAAAAGGTGCTGGTTCACCAGTCCTACCCACACCGCCCTCCCTCCAGGGGAACATTAAAGTGAGCTGGCCTTAATTCTCACACCACTCTATTTCACTGGAAGAACACACCACTTTTTGCAAGGCACTGGGTTTGCTTACGGGCAGAGTTTGCACTTTGTTTGCACAGTGCTTTTCTTGCACCCTGAGGGTATAGATTTCTGCAATGTTTTGGTGACTTTGGCAGCGGTGTTGGGGGAATTTATCACTAGTGTGTTTTGGAGTGCTCATTTACTTACATAATCAGCCTTGATGATTTTATTGAGGCAAAGCCAAAAACCACCCAATGAGTGTGTACTTAAGAAGAAAGGAGGGTATCCCGTACGATAGTAATTTTGGTTGCATAACAGTTTCAAATTCTGTGTTGGTTAGCACGTATCCCTCAACGTATAGGGTTGCACAAACTGTCTCGCCACAAAAAAAAAACATCTTTATTTAGGACTGAATGAGTCATGAATTTCCCAAAAGTCTGCGAGCAGAGAGATGATGTACAGTAAAGGCATTGCTCCAGGTGTGGATACGGACAGCTACAATTAAGTCTAAATAAATTCAACATGCACCCTATCCCATTTAAAACCAAAGCGTAAATGTAAATGTAAAATATATATTCTTAAATATGTATCAAAGATGCATCAATTTGCTCATCATTATATAAAATTAAATATTATTATCAGCATTATATTGGCCATCTTGGGTATGTATCATTGGTAGATTTGAAGGTAATTTCAGTTTGATCATTTAAATTGAATCACAAGTCTGAATTTATACATTTCTTTATAATGAGTCAGTGTTATTTTACTATACTATTTTATATATATATATATATATATACAGTTATACATCCATATATCCAAGTCCAGTTTTAGTTATTTTAATACATCAAATTAAACTAAATTAAAATAAGAAATGTTTCCTAAATGCAACTATAGCTGAAATAAAATGTTTTAAAAAATGATTGTTTTATTTTGTTTATTTTATTTCAGTTAACATTCAGTAAACATTTAACAGAAATGCTTCATGGTTTTAGTTTTAGTTAACTACATTAACATTTTGCTGAACAGTAGTCAACATTGTAAATTTGACAATTACAGCGAGACAACTTGAACCATTTGCTGGGCAAACCTGGACACATCTGGTTCTTTCTATGTGTCCCGATGCTGGTGTTCCTATAGGCACTAGGAAATCGTTTTCCTGTTGACCGCTTCAGAACTGCTGTTCCCAAACCAAACCATCAGGCAATGTCTTACACTTGTGTTTACTAGGGCAGGAATACACCACTGATTAGATCTTAATGATGCTTTGCATCCAAAGTGGCCTGTATTAGCTGAAGCCTGGGGTCTGAAAAACGCAAAGGGCTTATACTCAAGACTACACGTACTGCAACAATATATCTCTGTTTGTTTAAGCCTGTTGCCATGCAGTGAGATTACATATTACAGATACAGTTATCCTGATCATAAATGATTGGAATTTCTTTTTGATGAGATAATGCATATTTTCAGTCACGGTCATCTCTTAAAGGGGTCATGAACAGGCTTTTTAAATTGTTTTATATTGTTGTCTGAGGTCAACTTATGACGTTCGCTTGTGTTTTTTACATTCAAAAACATCAAAAGGAATAAGTAATAGGCTATTTTCTACCCTAGTTTTGAGCCTAGCTCAAAAACGATCGGTTTTTATGGGCGTCTCGCATTGAAGACTTGGAAGTAAACGCCCACTGCTGTGAGTGGATAACAGTTTTGCATATTATAATGAGTTTCGTGTAATGCGCGAATCGGTGGGCGGGGCTAAACCGGCCGTGTTGAAGTAGGCATTGATCTTCTTCTGCGGGGGTGGTGTTTTATCCTCTTTGTCGTCATAGTTCCCCACTTAGAAAAACGAGTCGTTTGCTGAGCCTGGTGTCAATAAAAGCTTTTATTGGACTAAAAAGGACGTTTTCAGTTCTGAAACTTACAGGATATTCTTATAATATGATGACCTCTTAGATGTCAAAAGCTCAAGGAAAATTTGATTTCTCAGTTCATCACGCCTTTAAGTCTAAACTGTTGAAGCTATTTGACAGCTAGTTCAGGGTGCTCTTACAGATCAGGGTTTGTTAAAGTGCAGGAAACCCAAGTTGTAAGATGCACATCGACTATTTGTTAAATGTTCTTCTTCAAAAAGTGTTGCACTGTACTTGTAGTTCATGTGAATTTCTTCTTTTTGCACGGAAACTTTGCACAAGAGGAAGCATGTGTTGCAGTGATATCAGTGAATGCTTTGAATGGAAGATTTCCAGGTCAGTTCTGCTGCAGATGTCACAGTGCCTGTGTGTTTGGAGGTGAGAATAGCAAAAATGGCTTAATTAATTACTTAGCTTTATCTTCACACTTTCACATTTGACGCTTCTGAGTTCTGCTAAGGCTATTTCTCATTCTAATGCTCATGAGAAGCATTTTATAAGGCTTTTCAAAGTGTCTTCTTTAGAAAAGACATGTCATATTTATATATAAATAAGAAAATAAGAAATACTAGTCATTTACGGTGTTTTGTCTTCTTTAGTAAAGAAGACATGCCATTACTTTAAGCAATTCAACTTCAGATTTTCTCAAGCTTTGTTTGATTCACTCCCTAGTTTCCTATTCAATGAGTTTTGTGTTCTTTTAGCAGATAAGCCCTAAACAGGCTGAATGCTAAGAGTTGGACACAAAACGCTCCTATAAGACAATGGTGACCCAAAGGTCATGTTCTTAAGCTCACTGTATTAGCGCGACGTGGTTCTCCCGGCGGGGGTTGTTGTCATGCCCTAATGCGGGTGACCGAGGCCATGAATGTGAGACAATAGCCATGCGACCAGACGCCCAATCGCAGATAATGATGCTGCCCAAACAGGAAGGTTCACGTGGGAACCCGTTTACTTAGCATTGTGGGAAAGCACACAAAGTCTTTTAAGACAGAACCCAAGGAGAAGCTGATAGACACACTGTTCAAAGTGAAGATCTTGTGTGTAGGACTGTTTGTGTTTGGCCCATGGGAGCGATAGTGATAGACTGATATGTTGGCCGAGATAAAGCCATATCGGTCAACCACTTAATTGCATCCCAAATACCGTAGAAATGTGAAAACAGCTGTAGGATCTGTGTTTTCACTTTTTGAAATAAAGGCATCTTGTTACAATTTGAATGTACATGGTTTTAATTAAATTTAAATGTGGATTTGAATCTAATTTTGAACTGAATTTGAATTTAACTGAAATCGTAGCTTAAGAATCTAGTTCTAACCTACTCAATCTCTCTCCTGAATTTCCCATGGTACTGTTAGATTACCATATTCATATATGGTACTTCAAAAGGATATTAAGCTATTACTATAATGCAAAACCATGCAAATTTCATGGTTATTTTTTGTAAATCTGAACTGAGCCTTAGCTCTTCACTTGCAGGATTTGGTTTTGCTTGACTGGTACCAAAACACTAAACACTGGACTTAAAACTAAAACATTTTATATAAACATATTATGTATATTCTTTTTCTAATTTAAAATATTTTCTAATTGTTAACAGTCTTTCCAAATTTGTAGTTAGCAATTAGGTAAAATATATATTTCAAACACACTAACGTTATATGCTTACATGAACGAACGTGATGTGAAATATGAAATATCCTGTGGACTGGCACAATTTGAACTGAATTCTCCTAGTGCTGCTCTAGGTTATTTTTATTTATTTTTATCTCCCTGTGGTTTGGAAATGATTGACAGAAAAATGGTTTTCCAGCATGGCCCCTCAGAGAAATATGTTTTGGCTATGGAGTCGCTGAGCGGATTTTATGATTATTTTCCTAGTCCGATGTGGGTCGACTCGGCCAGACGTTCAGATTGAGTTTGAGTTATTATTGAGGCGCTGTGGATGAAACGGCTTCTTTTAAAGGGAACTACCAGCAGGCCACCGAACTACACGGATAGTATTACACGGATGTTTTTTAGACATCTAATTGTAATATTACAGGGAACCACTTTGTATTGCAGCCCACAAGAACCCGCTAAATAAGTCCAAAAATCACTGTATGTAATCACAATACGCATAGGTCATGCCTCAATGCTTGTGATAATACTGAACAAATCAAATGATACTCAGTCAGAGCTGGTTAGTGTGGTTAGGGCAAACTTTTTTTCTGGAATGTAAGTGTCTTATTGAGTTCAAACAGTATAATTAATTATTGTGCCTTCATTCTTTACAGAACCTGATGGCTAAAGCGCTTTATGACAACGTTCCCGAATCCCCGGAAGAGCTGGCATTCCGGAAGGGCGATATCCTGACCATCATCGAGCAGAACACAGGTGGTCTGGAGGGATGGTGGCTGTGTTCGCTCCACGGCAGGCAGGGCATCGCCCCCGGAAACCGCCTCAAACTGCTTATCGGACCAATGTTCGAAGGCCAGACGTCTGCTTCCCCCTCCCCACCACAGGGTCATGCCCTCCAGCAGAGGCCACTCACACCTCAGGGTGTGTACCAGGTGCCGCCGTCCCACCAGAGCCCACAGGGACAGGGCATCTACCAGATCCCTCCATCTAAAGACGTGTACCAGGTTCCACAGAGAAGCGCTCTGGCTGTGGATGGAACTCCCTCCAAGGTAAACTCAACTAGTCTCGACTCCTCGCTTTAAGATAACACTTGTGGTGAACGTGCGGCAGATGTTGACAAGATCAGACGTTCATCCGCTGAGCAACGCGTAGTGTTAGATTGTTGTGTTGCATGCTTTTGCCCTTGCATTTTTTTACTCTTACAATGATGTACTGTGGTTGTTCTATGGTTAAGTAATGGAAATACCAAAATATATTCAAATGAAATCAAGAGACAACTAAAGTGATTACAAAAGGATATTAAAATATGAAGCTATTCCCATTATGGTAAACCTTGAAAAAACCATTCGTTTACAGGTTTTAGTGATGTTTGACAGGTTACAGGTGATCAGGAATATTTAATATATTTTTATAATTTAGATGCAATTATTTGTGTGTATGTGTGTGTGTGTGTATATATTTTTTAAATACCATCCTTAATTATTATTTCCAATATGAATTACATATTTATCATATTAAATATTTATTATTTATTAAACATTTAAATACAATTATACTATAGAATAATTGTAAATAATATACCAAATAAATAAAAAGCAAATATATATTTATGTTTATTAATTAAAACTAAAATGAATACATTCAATGTTACTTTTCTTATATATAATTTTAAATAAATTCATTTGGAATATAGTATATATATATATATATATATTCTAAAATAATAATACAATTCTAAAAATATTATACACTTTTTTTTTAAATAAACACTTAAAATTATAATGTATTATAATAAACATTTTATTATTTTATATAAGAAATACAACCAATCACTATACTCATTTATCCCATATTTTAAAGTTTTAAAGATTAAAAGTGTCTCGGTGTCCTGCCAAAAGCCATTCTGCACAGGAGTTGTGTGCACACCCTGCCCTGCCCTCCACCACAGCGTTACAGGCTTTATATTTAACAGATTTATAATGTCCTGTCGATGCACTGGACTGCACCCGCTCTCTCTGAATAGGAAAGCCACAGCGGGGATGGAAAAATAAATAGAGGAGATCAGGCTACTGAACACACTGAGAAAGCATACACTGCAGCAAAACAAAGTGTACGTCAGCGGGTGAAAAGGGATTTTTGTGTCCTTAAAAACTGTCAGCTTATTTTCATGTAACACTTGTCTTTCTGCAAACCTCATCTATGGCAGTTCTCAAGTTCTCTTTTAAAGACACAGTGTAAAGCTGGCTGATTTTGATTTTTGCCTGACTGATTCGGCTTTATTTTGCCACTCAGATACAGACACTGTAGACATAGCTCATGTTCCTCAGCACTAGAAAGAACTGAAAACAACACTCAGGCAAACTCTGAGGTCATGTCTGTGATCGTCATTTAAAAGTAGAGGTTCTCCTGCTTTTGACATTAACAGTTTAGAGAGCTTCTAGTCTCAGATATCAGGAGTGTTGAAGGTTAAGGTTACAGTCTGTCCACCTCAAATGATCTTGAGATGGATGATCAACACATGCAGTATGGCTTTATGGAAAGAGGGTTGTGTTGCTTTGATTGAGGTTTGTCTGATCATTTAGTTTGCTGGCGTTCAGAATGATGGCACATCTTGTGTGTTATTTTCCTGAGGTTGGCATAAAAGTTGGCCACTCTAGTAAGAGAGAGGTAAGAGGGTGTGCTCACATCTGTAAACACAATGTTCAGTTGACGTTCCTCTGACATAAAGTGCATTACAAAGGTGTGGCACAGCGGAAAGTGCAAACAAAAATAACAACTGTTTCCTTCCTGATCTCACTTCCTGTGCTGAAAAATAAAAGTGATCCCCTTTTAGATCTATCATTGCAAATGGCGATGTGGTTTTGAGTCAGATTAAAGTACAGTTTAGACTTTGATCTTGATTATTGTGCATCTGTGTGAACAATTACAGTGTGGCAAGGCACAATTTAACCGAATAGAAAGTTTAAGAAAGAACAAATCAGTTCATATTCACCAACCATTTTTTTTTGTTTCATTCACATTATATCCATAATTACAAGTTTCTGACTAGAAAAAAAAAAAAACTTTGTTAAACTCAAACTTACTATTGTGATTGCAGAGGTTTCTCTAGTTAAACGTAGTTAGCTCATATTTCTGTTAAAAATGCCTTTTTATTAATGTCAGTAAATATTTAGAGAGCACATGTACAGCTAAATCTACTTAGTGCAACTAACATTGAGCAATGCATCTGTTACAGTATTTATTAATATCTGTTTATGTTGGTTTGTTTAATAAAAATACAACCGTTAGTTCAATTGATAGTTCATGTTAGCTGAGGTCCATTAAATAATATTAACACATACTTTTGATAACTTTTGATTTTAATAATGTTTTATTAAATGTTGGAAAGGATGCACGATATATCGGCTGATATATGGGAATTTTTTGTGTCATCGTAATTGGCCTGATAAGAAAATGTGGCCCGATATATATTAAAGCCGATAATTTTTTTAATTATTTCTTTCGGCTGAGAGACTTCAGATGCGCACTGTTCGCCCTAATGTTTTTTAATTGCTTGAAATATGATTGAAATCACTTCAAAAAAAGGAAAAAAAAATACAGTCTGTCATATCGGCTACATAAAATTATAATGATAACATTATAATTGTGTACTTGGGACATGGATTTTAATGGTGAGACTTTTGTTTTTGTAATCAGGCTCTCAAAAATTATATAAAAATTTTGATTTAGATTTATCGGCCAATATATCGGTTATCGGCTTTCAAATATAAAGAATTATCGGTAATCAGTATCGGCCCAAAAAAATTATATTGATGCATCCCTACCTAGACTTAACATTTAAGTAAGATTCATAAACCAACAGTTAACAAATGAAACCTTATTTTAAAAATGTTACCAGCAAATTAATAAAGCTAGTCATTGACAAAAAGTTGAGCGTGGATCCATTGTGGCTCGCCAAAACACATAATATCTAAAAACAGGTTCGTCATCTTGTAATTATGGCCGTTCTGAAACAACATGAACACAGTGTTTCATACAGGACTAATTCTTAATCATAAAGTACTCGAATGTTTCATCTGAACGCAGAAAGTGTCTATTTGTGCTGTAGTACAGTTATACTTGTGGATGATGTGTTTGTTGCTGGCGCGGGGCAGGATTTGGGCACATAATAACACACTGTAAGGTTTGGTTGCTGAAGTCTGGCTCTGTCCCCGGATGACCTGAAGGGTTCAGTGATCTAAGGCCGCTCACAGCTGCACTATTCATGCCAGCCAGAGCCGTCTCCAAGGTTTACACAACCACACAACATCCTTCACAGAGCCGAGCCTTATGGGTAGAGATGAGATCTCTCGTCCCATTGGTACCCGAGTCGGGTTGACACAACAAATTGTGGCTGTTTCTGAGGTAAAGCCGTTTTTGTGACTTTATAAAGGCCGTTCCAGATCCGCATGAGTGAAAATTCTGAGGATGACGTGCAGCTTCGATGCTTCCAGTGTAGACTTTTTAGGATTAACTTTTCTTCATGAGTCATATCATAAATCATCGTTTTCTGCCCACTCTATGGGCCGAGGCTGTCTGTTATCGCCACTAACCAGGTTTTGTTCTCATTCTTCGTACTTGTCTGAGCTAAACCAGGTGTTTTTCTGTTTGCACACCTCAGTCTCCAGGAGATATCGTAAAGATTTGTTGGTCACACGCCACCGCACCCTTCTGTGGAAATGCGTGGAAGAGTTTGTAGTGTAGTTGGCCATGAGTTTGTGACTCAACGCTTGCTAGTTTATTAGCAACTAGATTTTTCTTCCTCATTTCTACTATACATTATATATCTTGATTGTCGTTTATGTATTTTCTCTAATATGAATTTAAAGTTTGAAAATGTACTTTTCTCTAATATGAATTAAAAGTTTGAAAGAACTGTTGAAAAAAATGCTCCATCTTTTTTAAGCAGGAGTGATTCTGATTGGCTGGCAATGTTTTGATTATTCATCATCAGCAGGAAAAAGTCGTTCTGAAAGTGATTGCAATGATATTGTTTATCTGTGCCATTATTATTAAAGTTGTAGTGTGGACTCCTCTACTCTTTTAGATTTGGAACGAATTATCTGTATCGTTAACATTATAGTTATCGTCCTTGATGTGAGTGTGAATGTGAGTGTGAACTTCACACTTAAGTGTGAAGTTGTTTAGCCTGTTCTTAGTATGGATGCGATCTGACCCAGAAAAGCTGTCTTGACTCCTTCAGTGTTGGACACACGGCTGTTTTCCCTCCTGCAGAGATAGCAGGAAATGCTCAGTAGAGAGGTCACTTATTTCCTCATGCCCACAAGACTCTTTCATCTGAACTCATTCCCGTTTACCTCCTCGTCTTACTTTCAAGGCAAAATCTCTTCTTTTTTTCCGCCTACTTATTATTAATCAAAGACAAACCGTTAAAATCAGGGTCACTGCATAATTGATGCATCTCATTTAAATAATCACCCCCAACCGCGTCGTCTCAACGCGCATCTATAAATCACGGGGTGTGTTTAAATGCTTCCATGTGATGTAAAATTAATTATGGCTTCTTGCGTTAGGTTAATGCTCCTAAATTAGAAGGAAGACTTTCAGTTTTATGGTCGTCATGTAGGAGATCCCGGAGGGTTTGACATTTAATTGCCTTCGTTGATGAGTTGATGACTTATTAATAGGACGGAGCTTTTTCTGTCACTGGAATGGAACCGATTTAAAGGGACAGAAGAGAGAGACAGCAGATCATTCTCGATGATTCTAGAGAATTGCTTTTCTTTTCTTCCAAATTATCAACCAACTGATTTTTCCAGCTCTGTTTACTTGTCAAACGTGACTCAGAGCTGATCTGTGAAGTCATTGTTTACTCAAACAGCTTTAGTCTAAATGCTGCATGCCGATAAATGAGGCTGGTGAGAAAACACTCTTACGTCATGCTGTTTTTTTCAGCGCTGTTATTCTCCAAGGACAAAAAAAAGAGGCTCCCGTAGTAATTAGGTCGGTCTCAGGTTCAAATCTGATCCGGTGTTAGTCACACACACCCAGCCGGGGTGTAACGGAATCCAGGGTGAGAGTGTTTGCCTAGAGGTCACAGTTCGCACCTCACACTATGGCACATTTACTCATTTCCGATTAGCCACTCCAGGTGGCGGAAAAGTGATTTAGGTAATATCGGATGGATATCTGTATTATTTTATCATATTTACTCAAAATTAATAAAACACATAATAATACATAATATAATAAATGATAAATCATATGAAATTAATATTTTAAAATGTTAAATTAACACTAAAATGTATATACTATATATTTAGTAAAATCAAGCTTCTTGATTTTATATATATATATATATATATATATATATATATATATATATATATATATATAAAATATAATATAAAATATGTTCATACTAATATATATATATATATATATAGTATGAACATATTTTATATTATATATATATAAAATCAAGAATCTTGATTTTATATATATATATATAATATAAAATATGTTCATACTAATATATATATATATATTAGGGCTGGGCAAGTTAACGCGTTATTATCGCGTTAACGCATTTATTAATTAATGCCGACAATTTTTTTATCGCACGTTAACGCAGGTTTTTTTTATTATTATTTTGAAAGTCCGTTGCTCACTGGCTCTGAATACACATAGGCCTACAGTCAAACCATGGATCACACGAGGGGTGGGATTGGTCAGCCAGCAAATAACCCACCCAAACAAGCAGTGGAGAGGCTTTGGCAGGTTCTCTCAGGTGAACAGAAAGGGAGACAGCGCCGCTCGAGTGAATGACAGGCGCTCTATGGATAGTAACCATGCAACGGCTTCTGTGCGCTACGCAGCTGTAGCCTTTTTAACTTAAATTAAAATTATACATAATTTTACCTGATAGGCCTGCGTTTAGTTTAGTGGAGATGCGCTGCCATGTGAATTCCCTTCTGTTGATGACGTCCTGATAACTATTTAGATTGTGGAAACTCACAAACAGCGAGCCGAGGATCAGTCTCTCTTCCAATGATTTGTGCTGCGCGTCGTCCATTCAACTTCGGCAACGGGAGGGCGCGGGCGCGTGCATGAGGCGAGCATGACCGCAACAGTTTCACAGGAACACATTTGCTTGTCGCACTAGCTCACAGCGCTTGCGGTACGCGTATAATTGACGCATTGTTACATTTTTGGAGAGGTGCACGTCAGGGTACGCGCGCTACACAGCAGGTACGTAGCGTGAGTTCGACGCAAAAGTATAAATTGGGCTTTACATCTGTTTAATGTAATCTTAGTGTACGTGGGAAACCATGTCATGACCAAACCTAAGCTACTATCAGAGAAGTAACGTTGGTCGACTTATATCTGTAGTAGTGGTCATGACCTCTGACTACATAGACTGTTTCTGCTCCCTGATAAAAGATACCTGTTCAGAAAGAAAAACAAGAAAACTGGACTCGTTTTAACAAGCTAGATAAAAGGTAATGCCCTGGCAGTGACATAGCTTTGTTTTAATATTTGATTTGATTACATTATTGTTTAAGGTGAGATTTACAATAAATATTTTATTGCTACTGTGTAAAGGGAATTCTGCTGGTATAAAGCAGCTTATTTGTTTAAAGTTTTGGCAAACCATATGTTATTGCACTTTTGTGTATACAGCAGTAGGCCTATATTTAAATCAAAAGTGCGCAATACACTACTTTCGAATTCACTATTCACTCTTGCGCGTAACAATGCGATTAATCGCAATAAATTCATGCGATTAATCGCGATTAAATTTTTTAATCGTTGCCCAGCACTAATATATATATATATATAGTATGAACATTTTAGATTATATATATATATATATATATTAGGGCTGTCAAATGATTAATTGTGATTAATCACATCCAAAAAATTTTTTTTTTACATAATATATGTGGGTGCACTGTGTATAATTATTTTATATATATAAATACACACACATGCTTGTATATATTTAAGAAATATTTTCATGTATATACTGTATATAGATTTATATATAATTTATATTATATATAAATATAAATATTTTATATATAAATAATATTTTTTTCTTCAATATACATGCATGTGTGTGTATTTATATATATACAAAATAATTATACACAGTGCACCCACATATATTATGTAAAAAAAACTTTTATTTTGGATGTGATTAATCACGATTAATCATTTGACAGCCCTAATATATATATATATATATATATATATATATATAGTATGAACATATTATATATATATAAATATGTTCATACTAATAAATAGTATGAACATATTTTATTAAATATTATAAATATAAAATATAAATATCGTTTATTATATGCATATATTGAGTATAGATAGATTGATGAGACCGTGTCCCGTTCTCCATTTATTCCCAGTTCATTTTCCCAGGATTTCTGGGAAGCAGAGGTGATTTAAGACTGATGGGAACAACCCGGGAGATCTGGGTAATAATTGGTGAACTATAGTGAACCTGGAATTCCAGAGTGCTGATTTATGGATAGGAATGTCATTGATGTGCACCTAAACTCACAGAGTAAAAATAAGAGTGTGACGGCCTCGCTTATGAAAACCATATTGACATTCACATCTCTGGAGCTCTGTGTGTCACGAGAGGGTGTATAAACACTACCCAGCCCCCCAAAAAACTCGCTGTTTGGAGTGTGTATCGCTTTTCATTTCTTAAACAACCTTAAATTCAAAAGTCTTTGGGACGTGCTGGAGGAGACTTTACAGAGTGCAGGACTCTTGCATTGTCAATACAAGATCTTGACCAAGAATTGATGCACCTCTTGATGGAAATAATTGTTTTCATGTTATTTCCATTAAGAGGTGCATCGATTTTTGAAAGATCTTGAAACACAATAATCACTGCAATAATGTGTTAAGCAGTTGCCTATTTAAATCCAGACATGTAGAGTTCAAAATCAGTCACTTATATGAGGTTTCAGTCGGATAGAAGGCCGCGGTCTACGTAGGTGGTACAGCAAGGCAGCCCACTAGGTTTTGGATCAGATCTAGAGTCTCTCAGACAGGATGCAGGGCGTATGGTTCCCATTTTTGAGCGCTGTCAGTGACCCGTGAGTGTTCTCGTGTGGTGACAGCGGTGTGCGGTGAATTAGCGGAGCGTTTGGGACGAGGAGGGGGGCTGATTTTGGAGAACAGCGAATGGAGACCAAGTACATTCCAAGGATGCTTCTGCCTGTCTGACGCAGAAGACAGATGTAGAGCATAAAGGATGGAGAATACACTGCAGGAATATAGAGAGAAAAGATAGATTAGAAACGTTCGAGATGACAAATATTAATGTTTGGAGCCGAGGAGGTGAAGTTGTATAAGACGGATTACTCCATTAGCGTCTATGTTTTGCAGTTGCATTAATCTAGTCACGTACTCAATGCGCTATAGTTTCATTACAGATATTTTGTATGTTGTGGCTGAAAAACAAAGAGCTTAAATGAGGTTTAATAATTTACTATAATAAAAAAAAGAACTTACAATATTATTGCAAAAAATATTTTAAAATGATTTTATTCATTATTAAAAATGATTGATTATTATAAATAATTATCAAATGATTGCTGAGATTAGTATTAATTGTGTGTGTGTGTGTGTACTGTATATGTTTTTATATATGTTTGGGTTTTTTTTGTTAATTTTTAGTAGTAAATGTTTGATTAATAGTTTTTATTACTACTACTTTTCATATTTAGAGTTAAAAATTTGAAGGGAAAAAATGGTTGTGAAAACGTTTTTTTTTAGGGTTTGAGTTTGGGTCTGTGTAATTGTTGGTGTTTTCAGCCTCAATTTCTCATGTCAAGAGACCCTCCGCTAACTTTATATGACATTCCACCTAGGAATAAAACATTTCAGCTCCGACTTTAACGTCCCCTAATGGTTGTATTGTTGTTTCAGGTGGTGACCCCAGTACGAGTAGGACAAACATACGCCTATAGTCCTGCTTCAGATTCATCTCATGACCTCTACGATGTTCCTCCAATTCGTCCCCAGGGGGTGAGTGTTACTTTCAATAACACACGCACCCATATAGATGTCTGCATGTGTGTATTTACATTTTAAACACCCGCACAGGTGTACGATATTCCTGCGAGCAAGCAAACCGGACAGCACAGCACTCCCAGAGCCCAGGGCGTCTACGACACACCTCCGTCACATGACCTGCGATCCAAAGGACTGTATGACATACCTCCATCATCGCAAGGGGTATGCCGATTCTTCAGCTCTTAATATTCATTATGATGTCAGGATAATTAGCAAATGCAAATTAGGGGTTGTTTGAAACTTTAGCGTATAACTTTTCCCACATTGTTTGTGCTACAAATAATTCCTCAAATCTTGTACAGAATTAGACTTACAATTTTCACAGTGGACAGTCTTTGCTTCAAAATAATCAAAAGTTTCAAAAAGATTCAAGAATATTTAAATATACTCTGCCTTAAAAATATGCTGCCCAGTATTACTTTAGTATCATTGAAATCATTTAGTATCATTTTTATTAATATTTTGAATGAGCTTTTATTTTTATATTTTAATTTTAGTTAAAATATCTGTAATTTTTTTTTTTTTTTTTTTTGTATTAGTTATATTTTTTTAATTTTTACTATTTTTAGTAATTTGCTGGTAACTATTTTAAATAAAATACTTTTTTTTTAAATTACATTTTATTTTATTTTAGCTAACGTTTATTTTATCTCAAGTATGAAAATGTTTTATGGTTTTAGTTAACTTTAATCACTCGGATGCTGCCCTTGTTCTTTGTCTTGTAACCGAATGCTATTATTTCCCAGAAATTTTTACAAAGAAATAAATACTCTGATTTTTATTACTTTCCCCTGGTTAGCAAATTAAAGCCTAGCTTGCCAGCAATGTTGGAGTCAAACTCAGACTAGTGCTCTTAACTTTGCAAGGAGGTCAGAACCGAAATAATTGTGCTGAAGCCCCTCTTATGTTTCACCGCTGCTCCTGGCGAAACGCAGCGTAGCGCCTCGAGTTTGTTTGAAATAAACTGGATGTACATGGAAACCTGTTATTAGAGTCATATTTAATTAGGGTTTGCGGAAACCCGGGCTCACTCTGAAAGATAGATTCTACGCTTGACAGAAATCACTTACAGGCCACTGTGTTTATTTATTGACCAATATGCTGTTGGCACGGCCCATGTACTCCCATTACGCTGTCAGGTCAATGCCGGGTTTTATCCTTTAGCTGGATGGCAGGATTTTCCATGTCCTATTCAAGTTTTTAGAGTGAGATGGTGGAAATGCAGAACTGGACTTAGTTTTGGCACCATAGTGTTGGAATTTCAATGTAATAAATTTAAAAATATTGATATGAGATAACAGTATTTGATTCCACAGTGAAAAATTACACATTTGAAGCATAACATTTTGAACAGCATCTAAGTTAATTTACTATTGACCGGAAGAAATGATGATGATACTAATAATATTTCTGAGACTTTTTTTCTTTTTTACAATTGTAATACAACTAACCTGTAAAGAGACTAAATACAGCCGCATACAGCTAAAACTTCACATACACACTCTGGGGACATAAGAGATCTTGTGAAAAGGGCATTATACATTATACCACCCCTTTAAATAATAAATGGGGGAAAGAAAAAGAAAAATCAATCATGAAACAACTTTAAAGGCAGCTCTACAGAAAATCCAGCTCAATTCAGTTCAGGTTTTGGTTCTCATCTGATAATTTAAATTTAGAAAATGAGACTTTCTTTTAAACAATTGAAATTTATCGTTTTAATTGTTAATTAATTGTTTCAGACAGAATTTAATCATTTTTCTCAGGCCTATTCATAATTGTGGATATGTAGTCTTAGTGAGTTAAATTTGTATACTATGTATTTTAGTACGACTTATTTTTATTGTGTTTTTGTGTAGCACCTTGGTCAGCAGTCATGTTTTTTTTAAGGTGCTATATAAATAAAAGTGACCTTGACCTTGACCTAAACTGAGCAAGCCAAAGGCGACAATGGCAAGAAACCAAAACTTCTTCAGCTGACAGTAGTGACGATTTATCGATAGTAGAAAATGATTATTGAAACCATTTCAAATATTCAGAATCGATATGTATCAGAAAATGTTATATTTTTGGCAAAGCTAATTCTAATAAGCATATAAACTCCATGTTTAACCGAATTCTCACTCCCACAGATTTACTCCACACCACCTTGTCGGAACAACATTGCACAAGATGAAGGGAATTATGACTTTCCACAGCCTTCAAAGCACAAGCAAGAAAGTGTATACGACATTCCCCCAGCGTCTATCTCTAAAGCTTCCTCGTGCTCCAACTACGACTTCCCGCCCAGCTCTGAGCCGGTGTCCCGCAAGGTCACGAACGACAGCGCCGGCATCTACGACGTTCCCCCCAGCCAACACGCCGCAAGTGGATCTCGGGACTTGTACGATATTCCACGTGGAATGCCTCAGAACCGGCACGCTTCGTCTGAGAAGGAAAGGAATAAGTCCGTTTACGATATCCCACCGACAGACTCTCGGTTGCTTGGTGAGGTGACCGATGGCGTAAACCGCTTGTCGTTTTCCAGCACGGGAAGCACTCGCAGCAGCATGTCAACTTCCTCTTCTTCTGCCGGGTCGCCCGCAGAGAGTCGTCTGGCGTTGGATCTAGACTCTGCGTTTCAGAGGTTGGCTCACCTCCAGCAATGCCTGGAGTCTTCGGTTTGTGCGCTGCAAACTCTTGCGGCATCGCCTCACTGGAGGACGTACAGCTTCATGGAGCGGCACACCAACGAGGTCCGTGTTTTATTGGAGCGCGTCAAGGGTTCGCTCACAGAATTTCTTATTTTTGGTCGCGGAACGGCAGCAAACGCCACCGCTCTGTCCGATCAAGGACTGCACTCCAAGTTACGACGCCAGTTGCAGCGTCTGGAAGACTCCCATCAGATTCTTCAACAAACACACCAGACTTTAGAAAACAATAACTGGCCGCTTAATATCCTGGCAATCGGCAGCAAGCATCAGAGCAAGAGTGACGAACTGGAACGTTTTGTAATGGTGTCACGGACTGTGCCAGATGATGCCAAGCAGCTGTCTTCAACAATAGGGGGCAGCGCAGAGCTTCTCTTCCGAAGAGCACCAATAGAGGGCATCGTTCACCCCTTTACCTGCACCCCGACGGAGGACGACGGCTACGGAGGCCAGACCAAACCTTTCCCCGTATCACACGACAAAGCAAACATGAACAGCGAGAAGTGCGTTAAAAGCTGGATGGAAGATTATGACTATGTACATCTGCAGGTGGGAATCACACTACAACACAATACTTGAAACACAGATATATATATATATATATATTTAAAAAATTATCTTATTTATTAGCTTTTTTTAGGAAATGAACAGGGCACGCTTATTTTCTGGGTGTTCGCTCTAAAAAAATTATTTGGAAAAAAAACTTAGCACACAAAAGTATAGTAAAATTGTTTTATTTTTCAATAACAGTAGCACATTGTAGCATAAACCTATAATAATTATAACAGTAGCATGTAAATATAACTATAACAGATAAAAATCATAAATCAAAGTGATGGTTTATTAAAAAATGATCAGTTAATAGTTTTTCAGTACTAATTTAAAATTTTCAGTACTAGCATGAAACTTCTTACATCCGATTGATTAAATTTTATTTTTCTATTTAGTATTTGTAAAAAGCAAGTGTGAGCAAAACTATTGCACAGCACAGATTTTTGATGTGGTGTTAGTAATGTTTGCCAAGTCAATAATCACCATTACTAACGTTCATGTGTTTCTATTTGCGATTTTCATATAACAGGCAATGCAACGAGAAAAAAACAATATTGTAGGGTTATGCACAAAAATAAAAAAAAATTGTCATCATTTACACACCCACAAGTTGTTCCAAACCTGTAGGAATTTATTTAATTTTAAATAATTTAAAAATGTATTTTAAAAAAAGATATTTTGAAAAGTGTCGGTTACCAGACAGTTGATGGACACCATTGACTTCCATAGTATTTTCTTTTCCATACTATAGAAGTCATCAACTGTCTGGTAACCGTTATTATTCAAAATCAGCTGTGAATAAAATGAATACAAAAACAAGAAAATGTACAAATTTATAGATTTACATGCTGCAAAAAAACAGTCCTCTGTCCATCTGTTAATCCTGGATGCAGAGATTAGAAATGAGATCCTTCACATTTAAGCACATTAAAGTGAGATTAAAATATTAGCATGTCCTTTAATCTCAAGCAAAGGACTAGAGGATATTCATCCTATGCAAGAGTTTAGATGCTGCCAGAATGGTGTTTTAAAGATAATAAAAAGAGATGGTTGCTTTTTCAAATTCAATTCATGAGACAAAAAAAAATAACTTGAATTAAAAGAGGATTAGTTTAATACCACAGTGGCCTTTGGCTTCACAATGGTGCATTAAGACACTAGTTTCTGTTGAGCTGCTTTGAAACTATTTAACTATGCGACTTGCTGACTGAACTTTTATTATTTTTGCAGGGAAAAGATGAATTCGAACGACAACAGAAGGAACTCTTAGAGAAGGAAAACATCACCAAACAGAGCAAAGTCCAACTCGGCCAAGAACAGGTACACGACGACACGTGCACATAAACGTCATCAGCTTGTGTGTGGGTCATCGATGAACAAGGAAGTAGCTTATGATTACGTGCCCTTAGGGTGCAGAAATACAGCACAGCATGACAGCCTTAGAATGGAGAAGAATAGAAACGCCAGATTCAGAAGTACATGAATTAAGTTGTGGACAAATTAGGTAAAAATAAATACATTACAAGAAAAAGGGTTTTTGTTGGCCAAGTCAGTTAACAGTTGCATCATGTAAGATCTTAGGGTCTCCATATGTTCACATATAACAGAGTTTGGCTAAGACAACCTCACAGGTGCAGATCTCAAAGATCTCAGCTCTCTTCTGGGACAGATGGTTCCTGTTCCATGTAAACTTGAGCCCATATAAACTGTGTTTAAGATGTTTATGCATTCTTTGGTTGTTTTAAAACGGTCTCTCATGTTGTTAGTGTCCATCTCAAAATGTGGGCAAAAAAAAAAAATCATTTAAAATATCTTAGGGAAGATTTGTTTGCCTTTTTTGATTTTGAAATGAACAACCTGTGAGATGTGTGTCTTTGTATATATATGTATTATATAGATTTTGCTATTTTTTATTTAAAGGTGCTCTATGTAACTTTTCTACTAAAATGAATCCTTTTTTTATTGCCTGTGTGTGAAGGGGTTGTAATCACACATTAAAATGATCCACTTGTCGAGTTTTGCTATTACCTCTGAAGGACAGTATTCCTATTTCCATGTGAAGTCTCCGGGTCAGATTTACCGCGAAATCCAACAGATGTGACGTGCATGCGCGCTCCCGAGCCGCCTCTCTCCTTATATACAGTCTATTGTAGACGGTCAGAGAGTTACGTCCGGTTAAAGGCGCACATTTTTCGGCTTATATCTCAGTCAATCTTTGATCAATATTCCCAAGACTCGAATCGTTCGTAGTGCTGGACGGGGCCTTTCGAACGAGCCCACCCCCGAGGTCCAACTCGCCTGGCTCCCCGAGTTATAGGCGTTCGAAATCGGGGGTCCCAGCGAACGGCGATCCGGTAGGGGGCATCCCCGAGGCCCGCCACTCTAGCGTTCGGGCAAAGGTTCCCCTGGGACCTCCTCCCCCGAATTTGAGCTCTCTGGGTCTTTGCGTTCCAGAGATACGAGCGATTTTCTTCTGAGATCGTGACGTCACCGGCGTCCGCAATTTTGCAGCGCGCCCGATGGTTTTCTGCTAATATCTCCGCGAAAACACCACCAAAAACTATGGAACTTATATGGTTCTTTTCAGCTCGACTAGATGGTCCCAACGAGCTCGGTGCTCGCCGAATCCGTCTAGTATTCGCCGAGATATTTGCGTAATAGACGGTATTGTCTATGAGTTCGAGCACGAGCGCTCGTTGTAAAATTTGGTTGCAATCTGAAACATCACCACTAGAGGCCGATAAAAGTTACATAGAGCACCTTTAAATATTTATAAACTGGTGCATTTTATCTCTCGTGGTTCTTAAAAAAAAAAAAAATTACTATAACTACGATATTATACAAAATATTATAACACTATACTATTGTTCATTTTAAATTTCATTTGTTTTAGAGAGAAAAAGGTGCACCCAAAATGACATGCATTATTTGTCTTAATATCTTTTATGATTTAAATATTTCTAACTTTGAAATTCTTTGTCTCACTTAACAGCTGAAACAGTTTAAACAGCTCGAACAGGAAGTGATCAAACCTGTGGAGAATGACATCACCAAGTGGATCTCCCACCAACATTCAACAGACTCGTCCTCCAATCCCTCCAATGGAGGCGGCGCTGCGGTGTGCTTGCGTGATCGCCAGCTGCTGGGCTTCTACGCGGACCAATGCGAGCAGCACTTTGTGACTCTGCTGAATGCGGTAGATGCTTTCTTCGGTTGCGTGAAGGCCGGGCAACCTCCTCGAATCTTCGTTGCACATGGCAAGTTTGTCATTCTCTGCGCCCACAAGCTGGTGTTTATCGGTGACACTCTGTCAAGACAGGCCTCGGTGGCAGAAGTGGCTAATCGAGTCATGAACTTAAGCAACGTCTTATGCGAGATGCTAAAGACAGTCGTGAGTGCCACAAAAATAGCGGCCCTCCACTATCCCAACACAGCTGCTGTACAGGAAATGGTAGATCGTGTGACGGACCTCTCACATTTGGCACAACAATTTAAAGTGCAGCTCTCACAGATGGCGGGATTGTGATGTCATCAACATCTGAACAAAGACTGTCGTTCTAACATGCATATATATTTATACTCGTTCTTATGTAGATGCATCACTGAAAGTTGTCTTTTGTAAATATGTGGCTCTTTATTTTGTGTAGATTTGTTTTTATATAATGATGATAATAATATTAACTGTATGAATAGAAATGATTGATTTGCATTTGTAGAGTGACCATTAACATTCCTGATCGTTTTGTGTATTAGGCACCTTACAAATTGTCCTTAACTGCTAATTATTGTGTATTGCTGAATGCCAGAACCTACAAAAGGAAAATAGTGTGTTTTGTACATGTGCTGTATTGTGTGACACACACTCTGCTGAGAGTATGGTATGAACAAAGTAAAATGTGTCTCTGTCTTTGCTATAGAAATGGTTTCACTTGTTTTTTGTTTGGACATTTTGGTATGGCGAATCTCACAAAACCTGTCAGGAATGGCTCCCAGGTCATATTTCACTATAAAATCAAAAAAGAAATTATATTTAGTGTAAGCTCGCTTTAGGACCATTAAGATTTTTTTTTGCACCTTTGCAAGTTTTTAATGAGAATTAAACTTTTCCTCCCCTGTTTTTTATTACTATAATGTGTCAGAAAAACTCATTTTCATTACTGTATTATGGGAAAAATACATTGTAAAATGTTATTACATCATGGCAGTATTTTATTACTTTTAATTTATGCTTATTTAAATAAAAAATATATATTTTATTAGAGTAAAAAAAAATACAGTATTTCTTGTTTTGTTTTGTACCAAAAAAAAAAATCTAAATGCAGAAAAAATGCTAAATATAATTTCTTCCTTTTGATTTTGTGGCGAAACGTGACCCAGACATTCATTCTAGTATCACAGCATTGCTAACAAAGTAGCTAAACCGTGTTAAACGAACGTGAAATCTGGCAGCAGCAAGAAGGAGGTCATTTTCCCAAGAGTTTTCACCCCGCCATAACTAAATGTCCCACCGATCCATAATTCCCAAAGTATTATCAGATGATCCAATTGGACAGATATAATCTGATAAAAAAAGACCTTAGATGGATGTGAGCTTCCCAAACCATCTCTGTGGACCTTGGTGACTAATACTTTCCATTCCACGCTGTAATGAAATGAGCATGTATCATTGCTCATGTGGGTTAGCGGCGATGATGAGAGGCCATGCTGAGGGGATTGAGGAGTTAGTCGAGCACGGCCTGAACACACTGCCACACCACATCATCATTAACATTACCCTGCTGGAACATCCTGAGACCTGCAGTGGGAACATCACATGTCTGCCCAGTCCAATTTACTAGGATTTTTATTATGCCATCTCATCTGAAAGGCCTTTTTCTCTCATCTAACAATGTTTAGTACAGATGCTCATGCTGATTTAGCTTGTGGGCTGTGGTGAGATGAAGGACATTAGCTCATGTAGCAGGTGCTCTGTGGCTCTCGGCAGCTGCGCACCAGTTTCACCAGCGGATAACGGCCAGGTTTCTGATGGATCGATGATCCCTGCACACTGCGGTCAGATGATTAAGACATTTGTTATGTACAGAAGTATTGTTTTTACATGACTTAAATGAATATTCCAGATTGTGTACAACAGTCTGTGGACCCACTGCATGTACATACTGACGATTTACCACAAAATATGAGCTCAATTTAACCCACAATTCACTTCAAATTAATTATTTTGCAAATTAATAAATTGCTTAATTGTAAATTTTTATATGAAATGCAGGTAACACTTTACAAGGTCTCATTTGTTAATATTAGTAAATTAATTAATGAACGAACGAACTAAACAATGAACAATTTATTTTCACAGCATTTATTAACCTTTTTTAAAGGTGCAGTGAGTAGATTTTAGCGCCATCTAGCGGTTCGGTTGTGAGTTGCACTAATGGCTCAGCCCACTGCTCACCCCTCCCTTTCGAAGAAGCTACGGTTGCTAAAACTATCGTCGTCTGAGACAGCAGAGAATAGCCAGAGTAAGCCAAGTTTCTGTACCACAGTCCATTATAAACCACATCATGGATAAAGTTTACAAAGCCATAGTCAGGTGAGGATCAAGTATAATATAATAATATATAATATAATAATAGTAGTAATCAGCTGATTGTCTCACAAACGTAACCAGCACATTTCTCCCCACATAGCAAACCCATAATACAGCGAGGGAGAAGAACCACATGAAACTATGCAACTATATATTTTTTCTAACAGGGTAGTAAAAGTTTAGCTGGCTAAATATGAGCTGTTACTGTGGCTGAGCTGGTTAAAGCGTTAAGCCTTGTTTACACGACGCGTCCGAATGAGCGCAAAGGTATCCCCTAGACACCATTTACTACACACAAATTAATAAATAATAATGAATAAAAATATTTTTTCTCTGGTTTTGAAAACTCTTCGCGATCGACTTAAAATGTTTCCAAGATCGACTTGTCGACGGGTTGGTGACTCCTGTAAACGTTACTGTTTTACGGTCAATAGTACTAATTAGCTGATTGTCAAAGCCATAACACAGCGAGGGAGAAGAACTATTACATGAACAATCCAACTACATATTTTACACCACTGACAAGGGAAAAATCACTACTCACGGTGTTTATGGCTAGCTTCTAGCTTTCTGCTGCTTCTCTTTCAAGGTAGTGACGAAACGCGCTCTGTAGCGCTGTGTGTTCGCTGTCGGCTACGGTAGAAACATGACGTCACAATATGTCGACCTTCATAGAAGGGGATTCCCGCGGTTATGTAGATATAAATGTCTCATTCTAAGGTAATAAAAACATAACGGTTCATTGAGTTACACCACTGAACACATAGTTATGGATCTTATATTGCATTTCTGTCAATAGATCCTCAGAAATATTACACCTTTAATGTAAGTTCACATTGCCCTAATATTATCTGATACACTTTTGATCTTGAAGTGTGTTAGTAAATGTTGAGATTAATCTTAACTAGATGAATATATGCAAAATTGTTCATTGTTAGTTCATGTCAACTAACGTAGTTAACACATTTGTTAACAAATAAACCCTTATTATAAAGTTATCGAAATTTACAAATGAACAAATCGCTCAAATTGTTTGCATGTAAAAACAAACGGAAATCTGATGCATTGACACCCTAAACATTCAGCGCACTAGATAGCTTGCTGACGATTCTGAAATTTCGGTCAAATACAGACGATTTTTGCCGTATGTGAAACGAACAACAAACTCAATGCCTGTGTTAAACAACAAAGCATGTTACAAACTTTACATGAAGACCCTAAACTACAGAATCATACCAGCTTGTGGATAATGGACATCTGATCACCCCTTTAAGCTAAAACGGCTTGCCATAGCATTTTGCATGAACAGAAGTTCATCCGCCTACAAAACTAGACCCACAAGAGACATTTTATACAACTTTACACATTTGTATTGAATTCATGTTCAAGTTTAATATTTTTCCATTCAAACCGTCAGGAACATCTGCTAAAATGTCCATGTAAGACATTGATGGAACTTGAGTTCATTCAGAACAGAAAAGAAAGGATGAATGGAAAAACATCTTCAAACAACACGTAAATTATGTTGAAACGAAACTTCACATTCTTTTGTGCTTCTAGAACATTCTCCCTCCAAATAAACTGTTTTTTTGGGCATGGCAATGAATGCTAAAGATCTCGCTGGGAATGAAGGAATGCCTACTCGCAAATCTCTGTAAAAGCATCGGTATCCACTGACTGGCACTTACACGTAATTAACGATTTAAACATTTGCCACATTCAGGACTAAGTTCTCTATAAGTTCTCCTCTGGGAAACAAAGAAAAGAAAGCCTTTAGAGAAAAACTTTCATTAAACATGGCGAGGGAGCGGTAAATTCTTCCCATTACTCTCTCCAAACCCTTTCCTGGTGATTTATCTGGCTCTTATAATGGCATTCTGTGGTCTTGGATGTGTCTCGAGGTGGATCTGCACTGAATTAAAGAGCCTGAAGAGGGAGGGATGTGTTATCCAATCAATGCGTCACTTCACTGCTCACACTAAATAAGTCAACCAATCAGAGTCACCACAACAGATACTCCTTCAACAACTCATTTTAGTTCGTATTCAGGAAACTCACAAGGATAAAGTTGCACCATTTAAGTACTACAATCGTTTGAAACTTGCATAATCCAAAATGTAAGAAAAACATTAAAATAAAGTAAATTTTGCCTAATACTGAATTTAGCTATACCCATGTTAATGCCAAAAAGTATATGACGGAGGTCTGCACTGCAGTGTCAAGATGCAATTATGCAAGTATGTACTTTTCCACGAGGAAGTATGTGAATATGCAATAAACATTTCCAAACCCTTCAAAAAACCTGTACTGACCCCTGATTTTGGCATGCAACCGCAGACAGGTGTTCTGTTGGAAATAATGTTGTTGTGAGGGAGCCAGTACTGCAGTGATCGGTCTTCTTTGCTGTGTAACAAACATTGACAACAGAGATTCGTGGGCCTGTCATTGCAACAAAAGCAAGAGTACGGTGGAGGAAAAAAAGAGAAGTGGAAGGTCTGACCTGTGGATACAGTGGCGACCAGAGCAGCGCTGGCGATGTCATTTCCGTGGCTTACCACAACCATTTCCTGTGAAGTATTCTAAGGCCTCACAATTACAGCTTCTGTGCATGGCAAAGCCTGTTACCTCTTTCATTTCGTAAAAGCTGCATATATTTCAATAGGGTTTCAAATGTGGACCAAAAGAGGGGTAGGCACCTCTCTTTAAAAATATAACAGTTTCAGCATAAGTGCTAAATCTTGCGTGTCTCGTCAAAAATGTATGGCCAAGATATTCTGGGCTCTTTCATTTGATTTAACCAGCGTGTATTTTACCATGTTTTAAAATGATATGGAGAAGGCCGAGAACACACTCGGTAAAGATAATGAATTGTCCGCTAAACTAAAGCAGCTGCAGGCACTTATGCATGATGGCCGTACACTACACGTGTCTTACACCAGGGGGCGCTCGGGGGATCTTTAGGATATTTAGGCACAAAATATTTAAACGTATTAATTCAGAGAATTGGCACTGACATAAAATATGATCTACCCAAGCGATATATGTAAAGTGTTTAAATAATATACCTTAGCCTTATACAATAATCACAAATGCCTCTAATCGGTCCAATAAAGTAACCGGTAACGTGACCCCGCCGTTTATGTAGATACTATTTTATACCCCAATAATTAAAGTAAGAATCTTTGATATTAATATATAATGTTGGTGTTAAAATACATAGTGTTAAATGTAAAAATAGGGAAAATATTATTTAGACTCAATGTACCTGACCAATCAGGGACAACTACCGGAAATCTGAGCCACGCCCATTCGTCATCAAGTAGTTCATGTTTAATCTCTTCACGACACGTTTACATTTACAGCTAAAAGTTACCAGAAAGCTTTTTTATAACTGTTCATGTGACGTAAAATTCTTACCATTATTAAATGACATTTAGAAGTACACTATAATTAATTGCGGTTTAATACTGCAAACCTTACAAATACTGCAAATATATGTTCATATATTCAGCAGCCAGTTAATATATGGCCTTTCTTTATGTTTTATTTTCTAAAAGGTAAATGTCTAATCTAGGAAGAAAACAAATGCATTTTCAGGCCCTGCTGTTGTTGTTTTTTTGCTTGCAATACTGCCATCTTGTGGACATTTTCAGTTTCCAGAGAAATCGCTTTATACACGTTTATTATGCAAGTGTACAAACGGTGAACGAAGTGCTTTGCATTTGTTGATGATTATTTTGTCAAATCTTTACCGTTATGAAATGACATTCAGATGTAGGTCCTACTATAATTAATAGGGTTTGATAATACAAATCAATAATTAATATACAGTCGTTTTATTTATTTTTCTAAAAGTATTATTTAAGCAAATCAATCTAAAGTTATAATATAGAAGCAAATTGGGGGGGGGGGGGGGGGGGGGGGGGTATGGAGGGATTATTGGGACAGATTGAAAACTAAAAGTCGAAAACTAAAAGTCTTAAACGAAAACCAAAAGTCTAAGTTTGAAACTAAAAGTCTAAGTCGAAAACTAAAAGTCTAAGTCAAAAATGAATTTGGTATTTAGGATTGGGCATTTGGTATTTAGGATTGGGCATTTGGTATTTAGGATTGGGCATTTGGTATTTAGGATAGGGCATTTCGTATTTAGGATTGGGCATTTGGTCATTTAGCCATTTAGGATTTAGGATTGGGCATTTAGGGATTTAGGATTGGGCATTTAATCATTTAGCCATTTAGGATTGGGCATTTGAGGATTGAGGATTGAGGAGTGTATGCAAATAAGGAGGCGTGGCCCAAATACTGGAGGCTGGGTTTGAAATGGCTGGTGCAGATGCACCGTATGGACAGCAGAGGGAGCTCCAGTCAGTCCAGTGCTAAGGAGCACACTGTAATGAAACCAAACAGAGCGAGTGAGCAGGTCTGGAGCGAGGACTGTACTTTATAATGTGATAACTTCAACTTAATGACAGCGTTGTATAGGGGTACTGGAACGGTACATGTATTCCTATTGAACCGAACCGGTAGCCTACGGGCGTCACAGTTCGGTGCACGAATTTACACGGAGAATACACGGTATAAAAATAAATAAAACTCTAAATAGCGATACATTTCGCTCTACTCGCGTTTGGTGTGAACGCAGCATAATAAACAGGCTGCGATATCAAGATTGCAATGCTGGAGTGTGTGTGTGCGCGCGAGAGAGAGAGGGGGAGGCGTGGGCGCGAACGAACTAGGTGTGTGTGTGTGTGTGTGTGTGTGAGAGAGAGAGAGAGAGAGTGTGTATGTGTGTGTGTGTGTGTGTGTGTGTGTGTGTGTGTGTGTGTGTGATTTTGGTTGGGTGACAGTTGTAGGTTACAGTTTGACAAGATTTTAGAGTGTGACAAAAGCACAATGTTGTATTTTATTGCGAGTGTACACAAATATACACACTTTGCAGTTTGAACTTTGCAGCACACACTCCAACATTGCAATCTTGATATCGCAGCCTGTTTATTATGCTGCGTTCACACCAAACGCGAATAGAGCGAAATGTATCGCTATTTAGAGTTTTATTTATTTTTATACCGTGTATTCTCCGTGTAAATTCGTGCACCGAACTGTGACGCCCGTAGGCTACCGGTTCGGTTCAATAGGAATACATGTACCGTTCCAGTACCCCTATACAACGCTGTCATTAAGTTGAAGTTATCACATTATAAAGTACAGTCCTCGCTCCAGACCTGCTCACTCGCTCTGTTTGGTTTCATTACAGTGTGCTCCTTAGCACTGGACTGACTGGAGCTCCCTCTGCTGTCCATAAGGTGCATCTGCACCAGCCATTTCAAACCCAGCCTCCAGTATTTGGGCCACGCCTCCTTATTTGCATACACTCCTCAATCCTCAAATGCCCAATCCTAAATGCCTAAATGATTAAATGCCCAATCCTAAATCCCTAAATGCCCAATCCTAAATCCTAAATGGCTAAATGACCAAATGCCCAATCCTAAATACCAAATGCCCAATCCTAAATACCAAATGCCCAATCCTAAATACCAAATGCCCAATCCTAAATACCAAATTCATTTTTGACTTAGACTTTTAGTTTTCGACTTAGACTTTTAGTTTCAAACTTAGACTTTTGGTTTTCGTTTAAGACTTTTAGTTTTAGACTTTTAGTTTTCAATCTGTCCCAATAATCCCTCCATAGGGGGGGGGATTAAAGAAAAAAATGTTTGAAAAGAAACTTCAAGACGTGTATTATTTTATTTGCGTTTTGCTGCCACCTTGTGGGTATTTTTAGTAGTGCTACGTTTACACGTTTAAATTTTACTGATTCATGTTCATGTCAAGTCCACAAATGGCGATTAGAGTGCTTTAGTTAATAGTCATTTTATCTTTTTCTCTAAAAATATTATTTAACCAAATCAGTTTAAAGTTACAATCTAGAAGCGAATTGCACACCCCATATTGTTTGAAAATAAACTTCCAACAGTTGCTGTATCATTTTATTCGTATATTACTGCCACCTTGTGGACATTTTTAGTAGTGCTGCAAAATCTTTGTATAAAAACCTGTAATATTGAGTTAATACATGCAGTAATTAATATACAGTAATAAAAAAAATTCTCTAAAAGTATTATTAAAGCAAATCAGTTTATTCAGTTATAATCTAGAAGCAAATTGCATTTTTTCCCCATTGTTTGAAAAGAAACTTCCAACACTTGCTGTATTATTTTATTTGTATTTTACTGCCACCTTGTGGACATTTTTAATTGTCCTTTATCACTTTTAGCGTAAGTTTACATTTACTGATTCAAGTCCACAAATGGCGATTTTGCTTTAATTAATGATAAATCATAATTCATCGCCATTATTAAAAGCAGACCCAATTAATAGTATAATTGATAAGGCTTAATATTGCTAAACTAATTTTTCGAGTGGTTGAAAGCAAACTTCACACCTTCAGGCAGGCATCGCTGTATGATTTTATCATTTTTTTACAGTCTATGGATTTTATTCACATTTTACTGCCACCCTCTGGACATTTTTTGTATTGCAGCAGAATCACTTTAGCGTAACTTTTCATGGTTACTTACTGATTAAAGTCCATATTAAAAGGCGATTTTGCTTTTGTTACTGATAGTTCATGAGACGTAAAATTACAACTATTAATGACATTCAAAAGTAGGCCCTATTAATTCTATAATTAATTGTTTAATACACCAAAGCTACTTTTATTAAATAAATGCAAGTTAAAAATAGGGTCATTCTATTTTCTCTCTCTAAAATACTGATTAAACACCAGTCAATTTAAATGTCTAATCTAGGCGCTTTTTTGAGTGTTTATAATTCATAGATATATAAATATAGATTACTTCTTAGTAGATATACACACATCTTTGGTTTGAGTGACCTTCAAATCCGCTGTATTATTGTATTCGCATTGTACTGCCCTCTTGTGGACATCTCCAGTAGTGCAGCAAAATTGTTCCGTCAAATTAATATATCAACCAAAATGATTGCAAATCAAAATTAGGTGTTTTATGAACCAGACCTGATTATTTAAGTACAAAGCAACACACTAGTGTGCGAATTATTTGTTTTAAAATAATAATATGCATTAAAAATAATTCACAAATGACTAAATTGTTTTATTCAATATATTTATTATGAAGGGGGAAAAAATCTACTGTCATAAAATGGACCAAAAAAAAACATGTAACAAAACATGTGACCATCTACATTGCTGATAATAGCATTTCACTAGAAGTTGACCTGCAAGTTGGGTGAGGCTGACCTGGGGTCAGTGCGGCATTTTTACCTCTAATGCTTTTATAAAGCTGGGAATTGCAGGCATACTGAGATCCATCCACTCACACAGGACGACTTCAACCCGAGCCAGAGGCACAAGAGCGGGGCGGAGCGACCGACCGAAAGCACTAACGCTGGGAGCAATGGAAATTTTACAAAAACATTGTATCGGGGCAATTCTTAACATCGTTTGGGTGTGCAGTCCAGTCAAAATGTTTGTTTCCTTCCTAACATTTCAACCCCAAAGAAATATAAAGAAGATTTCATTGCACGTGTCGGACACATGTCAGAGCCAGTCGGGTGTCAGTGTGAATAGTAGTGCTGTTAGCTGACGGAAACGCTGGATGTGTGATCGTTCGTCAGCATGTTTTTTGTGAGCTTGAGTAATAACAGAATAGGTAAACGGTAACAAATACATACTGGATACGCTCTCACACAAATATATTTACACATCCATGCAGCCGGAGCCGAGGGTAGCAGCGTGTCGGGACATGAACGTGTGGCTGAGCTGGTTCATACTAAAAACATGACTTCACACAGGCCGAGTGTAACCATGATGTCTGAGGAGACGTGGAGGAGAGCGCAGTGACTGATGCGGGTCCGTTACAGATGTGGAGGAGAGCACAGGTACAGATGTGGAGGAGAACACAGGTACAGATGTGGAGGAGAGCACAGGTACAGATGTGGAGGAGAACACAGGTACAGATGTGGAGGAGAACACAGGTACAGATGTGGAGGAGAACACAGGTACAGATGTGGAGGAGAGCACAGGTACAGATGTGGAGGAGAGCACAGGTACAGATGTGGAGGAGAGCACAGGTACAGATGTGGAGGAGAACACAGGTACAGATGTGGAGGAGAACACAGGTACAGATGTGGAGGAGAACACAGGTACAGATGTGGAGGAGAGCACAGGTACAGATGTGGAGGAGAGCACAGGTACAGATGTGGAGGAGAGCACAGGTACAGATGTGGAGGAGAACACAGGTACAGATGTGGAGGAGAGCACAGGTACAGATGTGGAGGAGAACACAGGTACAGATGTGGAGGAGAGCGCAGGTACAGATGTGGAGGAGAGCACAGGTACAGATGTGGAGGAGAACACAGGTACAGATGTGGAGGAGAGCACAGGTACAGATGTGGAGGAGAACACAGGTACAGATGTGGAGGAGAACACAGGTACAGATGTGGAGGAGAACACAGGTACAGATGTGGAGGAGAGCACAGGTACAGATGTGGACGAGAGCACAGGTACAGATGTGGAGGAGAACACAGGTACAGATGTGGAGGAGAACACAGGTACAGATGTGGAGGAGAGCACAGGTACAGATGTGGAGGAGAACACAGGTACAGATGTGGAGGAGAGCACAGGTACAGATGTGGAGGAGAGCACAGGTACAGATGTGGAGGAGAGCACAGGTACAGATGTGGAGGAGATCTCGGGTCAGGCTCTATGTAGTGCTGTCAGGAGGGACGACCCGTTGGCGGGCGGTCTTGGGACGGTGGCGGGGTGTCGAGGGCGAGCTGCGTTCACTCTCGGACTCGGAGGGCTCGGTTTCTGCCTGCGGGGAACCGGTGTCACCCACCAACTCCCGCAGGAACTTAAACTTGGACAGGAAGAGCTGCCACACCACGTACCACCCTGCACACAAGACAAACACACTGAAATGTAATACAGTAACCGCACGTTTGGCTTTCAGGTTAACTCTATGAGGGACTGTGAGAGAGATGATAGGCGTTTACATTTATATTTTCTCTTTTATGTTGGTTCACACTAAAGCATTTACATTAACTGTATGACAAAGCACAGATTTGCAAATTTATATGTGTATTTCAAGCCCTTCAGATGCCTCACGGGCAAAACTCTTTTATAAGCTTATTATTAAAAGAATATTATATGTTTTTTAATCTCAAGAAATGTTTCTAATAAGATTTGTTTAGCATTTTCACCCATGTAATCTGTACATTTCTAATTATAAATATTATAATATCATTGTCATAATAAACAAAAAACATTTTCTCACATATACATTTCTTAATAAAGATTTCTTACTGATTCTGAAGTAAAATATAAAATATGCAACATATTCATCAAATAAGAATCATGATAATAGTCAAACATAAAATATGTAGATGAATTTAGGTAATGAGAAACTAGTGGGAAAATGTCATGAGAAAAAAAAAATGTCAAATGCAAAATCTTAAAATTTACGTTCAGTTCACAAAATACAATTTCTTTTTTCATTTTAATTTTGCGGTAAAAAATTAAATAAGTAATATACGAATCTAAAAACATCCAGAAACATTATGGTACTAAGAATTTAGTAGGAAAATGTAATTAAAATAATAATAATAAAACAAAATATATATATATATATATATATATATTAGCGCTGGGCGACGATTAATCGCATTCCAAAATAAAAGTTTGTGTTTACATAATATGTGTGTGTGTGTGTGTGTAATAATACACAGGGTGCGTGTGAAGCGTCTAGTGCAGTAGTAGAGTGGTGCTGGTAGTTAGTACATGCTATGCTGTGCTCTCTGCTTGTTACTCTCTGCTTACAGCTGTTGCCGCTGGCTAGCCTTCTTGATAGAGGGTGAAAAGAGGAGCCGAGTGCGTAAGCCTCCTTCTGCCAGTACAGAGCCTCTCCACCACCAAGACTCCTGTAGTGCCTCCTAGGGGCCACACACGGAAACTGGGTATCATACGGTCCCAGGCTAAACTACAGGGGATCTCGGAGCAGCAGTGGGCCCCAGAGACGCGGTGTGCAGGCCCACCACTGTGTGGACAATGCCCTGGCGCCCGTCAACCACTGTCCCAGCTATGGGAAAATAGCCCCACTGCCTTGTGGATAGTCTGTTGAGATAAGGCTAAGGGAGCATACCCTGACAGAAAAGCAATGCGCTGGAGGTGCGCAATAGGCGGGCCTTAACAGACGAAGGACCCGGCAGCCTCCTGCAGCCAAGATGGGGGACCGGTTGTCCTGGGACTACCCTTGCCATCGGGATTTACCTCATCATGGTGAAGATAGTGCTACTGGGGATGGCGTACCTCCTTTGGCACTTTAAAACCTTCCTTGTGCAGGTCTCCACCTCTGACCACGGTGACAATACCTGGACCTTACATATGGTTAAAAGTCTGACGGCGATGGGGAATCTGACGACGGGGGCAGGTTTGAATAGACTGGGAGCTCTTAGTCAGAGCCCTGCACAGCAGCGGCACAGGGTATTTGGTCGCTATCAACTGGGATTGAATGGCAGGTGTTTCGGCAGACCCCTGTGCGACGGAGCAGCCCTATTTAGGGACCGCACTGCTCTACCTCATTGGGGAAGGGCCTAGAAAAGGTGGCTTAAAAATTGCCCATTCAACCATTTACCTGGATAGATTACCGCGTCTATCGGGTTATTCCACTACTGCGGTCGAAATAAGAAAAATAAGAAACAATACAATATAAAATTGGCAACATGGAATGTAAGGACTCTCCTGGACTCGCATGGCATCTCTGACAGACCACACAGGAGAAAAGCCCTGATCGCTGCTGAGCTGAGCCGCTATAACATCGACATTGCTGCCCTGAGTGAGACTAGGCTTCTGGATGAAGGATCTCTAACAGAGGAAGGAACGGGCTATACCTTCTTCTGGAAAGGTTTCCCCCCAGGTGGAAAACATCTTTATGGAGTAGGACTGGCCATCAAAAACACGCTTCTACCAAGCCTCACAGAAACACCTATTGGCATTAGTGAAAGGCTAATGACCCTCCGTATCCCCCTGGCAAAAAAGCGTTATGCCACACTTCTCAGTGCCTATGCACCAACTTTGCCATCTGAAAATGAAGCCAAGGAATGGTTTTATCAAGTACTGGATGAAACTCTTCGCCAGGTCCCTAAGAGTGATAAGATCCTCTTGCTTGGGGATTTTAACGCTAGGGTGGGACAGAACTACAGGATATGGAGTGGAGTACTAGGTAGACATGGCATTGGCAGGGAGAATGCAAATGGTATGAGGTTACTTACTCTTTGCTCTGAGCATAACCTTACCATAACTAACACCATCTTCCAGCAGAAGGCAAAATATAAGACCTCGTGGATGCACCCTCGCTCTAAACATTGGCACATGATTGACTTCATCATGGTGAGGAGAAATGACATCAAGGATGTTTTCATCACTCGTGCCATGAGAGGTGCAGAGTGCTGGACTGACCATCGTATGATTGTGGCCAAGCTCAATATGGAAGTGCGTACCCCTTTGCGACGGCAAAAGTCCAAAAATAAGAGGCTAAATTGTAGCCGCTTTGGAAACATAGAAGCAAGAAGTGAGTTTTGACGTCTCCTAGCTGAGAAGCTTATGGAGTCTGAAACTTGTCTGAGCTCAGAAAACACAATGGAACAACAGTGGAACTATATTAGCTCTGTGCTCTATGAGGCAGCAGCCAAATCCATCGGCTATAAGAGCAAGAACCACCAAGACTGGTTTGACGATAATTCAGACATCATCCACAACCTGCTTAAGGATATGCGGAAAGCACACCAGGAAACATTAGACAACCCTTCATCCATTAAGGCTAGACAGGATTGGCAGGCAGCTCGGGGGAAAGTGCAAAAGGATATACGGGCCATACAGAATGAGTGGTGGACTGAAAAGGCACATGAAATCCAATCCTTTGCAGATAAATATGACATGCATAATTTTTATAATGCTATCAAATCCATCTACGGTCCAACAAATCGCTGTGTCACTTCCCTGAAAACAGCTGATGGTCAAACACTTCTGAAGGACCAGAGTAGTATCCTACTGAGGTGGGCTGACCATTTTGACACCCTGCTTAATCAGGACTCTGATGCAGACCCCACCATCCTGGACGAACTGCCTGAACTTCCTCCCATCCACGATCTCAGTCTACCACCAACCTTCCAGGAGGTTCTATCATCTGTCCGTTCCCTTAAGAACAACAAGTCCCCTGGAGCTGATAACATCCCTGCTGAGCTACTGAAGGAGGGAGGGTACATATGTATGCGCACCCTCTACCAGTACATCACCAAGGCCTGGACTGATGAGAACATCCCACAGCAATGGAGAGATGCAAACATTGTAGTCATCTACAAGAACAAGGGTGACAAGGCCGTGTGCGGCAATAGCAGGGGCATATCACTCCTTTCAGTTGGTGGTAAGGTCATGGCCAAAGTGCTGCATCAGAGGCTTATTAACATCATCACTGAGTCAATGCTGCCAGAATCACAGTGTGGGTTTAGAAAGAACAGGAGCACGATCGACATGATCTTCACAGCCCGGCAGCTTCAGGAAAAGTGCCGGGAGCAACATCAGGACATGTTTATGGCCTTTGTCGATCTCTCGAAAGCATTCGACACTGTGCAAAGAGAGCTCTTATGGGATATCCTCCTCAGGTTTGGATGTCCAGATAAGTTTGTTAACATCCTTCGCCAATTCCATGATGGGATGACTGCTCGGGTGACCGTAGGCGGACAAGAGTCGGAGCCGTTCCCTGTACGCACAGGGGTGAGGCAGGGGTGTGTGTTAGCGCCAGTGCTCTTTAACATCTTCCTCCTGTGTGTCACCAAGCTTCTCCACAATGAGATTGAAAACAGCAGTGGTGTGGCAGTGGACTTCAGATTAGATGGCAACCTCTTTAACATTAGGAGGCTACATGCAACAACAAAAATCAGCAGAGTGCAGGTCCTGGAGCTACAGTATGCAGACGATTGTGCTTTTGTGGCCCATACTCCGGAGGATCTTCAAACTGTCCTTGCTGTGGCGGTGAGGGCGTACAGCAGGATGGGGCTGACTGTCAACACCACCAAGACAGAAGTGGTCTGCCAATGGAGTGCCAATGTTCCACCCACATCTCCTGCCTTCACTGTTGGAAATGAACAGTTGTCAGTAGTGCCATCTTTCAAATATCTAGGGAGTTTTCTCTCTGAGGATAGCAGCATCGACAATGAAATCCAGAGCCGAATTAAACAGGCATCAGCTGCCTTTGGGAGACTTCGATGCAGAGTCTTTCATAATAAGAACCTTCATCCCTCCACAAAGGTCGCCGTATACCAAGCGGTCTGTGTCACCACCCTCCTCTATAGCTGTGAAGCATGGGTAACCTACTGCCGTCACATCAAGTCCTTAGAGCAATTCCACATAAGCTGCCTTCAGCGCATTCTGGGAATTACCTGGCGTAATAAGGTACCTCACACTGAAATACTTAAAAAGGCGAACTGCAGAAGTATTGAGGCCATTATTACCCAGCGCCAACTGCAGTGGTTGGGGCATGTGATAAGGATGTCCCCATGTCGTCTGCCCCGCAGAGTACTATATGGCCAGTTACATCATGGTCGACGCTCAGCTGGGGGTCCGAAGAAGCGCTATAAAGATCAGATGAAGAACGCCTTGAGAAAGTGTAAGATCAGACCTGAGGATCTGGAGGATGTTGCTGCTGACCGCACCATCTGGCGACAGCTATGTGGAGAGGGGGTTTGTACACTAGAGATGGAGAGGACAACCAGAAAACAGCAGAAGCGAGCCAGGAGAAAGGCAGCCATAGCTGCCAATGTGACCACCACCACCATCACATACATATGCCCCACCTGCAATAGAGCTTGTGGGTCCAGGATAGGACTGTTTAGTCATCAAAGATCTCACCGTTAAAGGCGTGGACGTCATCATCGGATCTCGATGGACAACCGAAGAGAGATTTATATATAAAAAATAATTGTACACAGTACAGACATATATTACATATACTTTTATTTTGGATGCGATTAATCACATTTAATCGTTCCCCAGCCCTAATATATATATATACTAATGCATTAACTAGTGCTCTGACTCGCTGACACAGTTTAAAACTAGACTAAAGACGTGTCTCTTTAGTCAAGCATTCACATAATGCTTACCTTTTAGTCCTCTGCTATGCCATACGGAACCGTTTGCCACTGAAACTGCTTAACGCACCAGTGGGGCTCGACAGCCTTATAGACAAACGGGTCGGTCCGTATGGTTGCGGTTGGGTTGCGGAGAGTTTGGGTTGCGGAGAGTTGTGAGATTATGGTTTTCTAACACCTACTCCCGTGTAATGGAAATCATTATGAACATCAGCTATGCTAATTATTTCCAAACTGCCTTTCTGCTGTTATCTCGGGACGCTTGTCCCGAGAAAAATGGCGTTCGTAGGCTCCAGTTTGGTATCCTGCCTCTCACGGGGATTTCGGATGCCTTAACGCCTGTGATGAGAAGACCAACGCCTGTAAAGAGACGACTCAACGCCTGCGAAGAGACGACTCAACGCCGGCGATATGTTATCCCCTAAATATTACATGATTAACTAAATGTATTTTCCAGGTACTCTCTGAGATGCACTTACTGTAAAGCTTCTTTAAAACCCTATGATTGTTAGCCAGAGGAGAACTGGCCCCTGACTAGCCTGGGTTCTCCCAAGGTTTTTTTCTCCATCCAATCTGATGGAGTTTTGGTTCCTTGCCACTGTCGCCTTGCTTTTGGCTTGCTTAGTTGGGGATATTTAATATTCAACAATATTATTGAACTGTGTTGTACTACTTTCATGTTATCACTGTGAAGCTGCTTTGATGCAATCTGTATTGTGAAAAGCGCTATATAAATAAATGTGACTTGACTTGACTTGTTAACTAATGAGACCTTATTATAAAGACCTTGTCATAACGCAAATAATTTGTTTGCAAAATACAATTATTTTCCTTTTCTTTTCACTCTTTGGTAAAATATGACCAGGGCTCACTCTTGGTAGAATTTGTGGCTTTATTTCAACAGATTCGGACACTTCAGTTAACACAGATAAATGGTCTTCCTCATTAATAGTAACACACAGAAGGGGCAGCGGGTTCAGTTCAGTGTCGAGCAAACCTTGGACATGAAGACACAAATCACACACACTTATGTAAGAGCAGACAGGATCCTACAGTACAGAAAACCTTTCTTAGAGCTACTGTGATCTTAACACATGTGGGTCAGTCAGAGAGACCTCGACTAAAGTCAACACTTGACTCACAGCGAGCTGGAGAACTGAGACGTCCGTGTCGTAATCAAACCTGCTGACAGTCAGCAAACCTGCTCTATTTTTGCAATGCTTGACTGTCCTGACCGCATTCTCACTCATGGGTCATAAATCAGGACTGTGAATCACTGTAGAGGAGGTTCATGACCATTAGATGTCATCTCAAGAATCAAGCAATCACTGCATTAGACTTCACAAAATCATGCAGTTCTGCAACCTACACTGACCCTGAAAGTATCTGGACACTTAAAAATGTCTGAATGTCACTGTATCAAATACCGGTAATAAATACCACAGCAAGTGTGTGTGTGCTGCAGGATCTTTTCTCAGGGGTTTGTTGGCTGCACTTACCGAAGAGCATGAAGAGGAGGACACATATCAGCGTGGCCACGATCACCAACACCGTCAAACCAACACTCTGCCACATCCTCCCTCCTTTAGAAGAACAACAAAGAAAACATGGTTAAAAATTAAATAATGGGATCAAGCTATTTGGCATAAAATATACATATGCAAAATGTGTATGTGTTATTATAAAAGAGAAAAATTATGTTATAATTAGGGCTGCAACAACTAATCGATAAAATCGATAATAATCGATTATGAAAATCGTTGTCAACGAATGTCATTATCGATTAGTTGGTCTGCTTACGTCACGGGGAGGGTTTACTGGTGATTGGTTGAAACAGGCCAATCAGGATGCTCTCTGTCTTACACGCGCTTCATGAGGCACATACGCACACACGCAAGGCCTCTCTCCCTCCGTTGCTCTGCCGCGCGCTCGCGCTACACGGTTTGGAGCACAGTCTCTTCTGTCTCGCATGCGCGCTCAAATCCCGGGAGTTTGAACTAATTTGCGGGCATCAGGGAGCCGCATAAGCTGCTACCGCTATCAATATGCGGGTGACTCCCAGAACTTCCGGGAGACTTGGGATGTCTGTATTTTGTCTCGAGCATCAGGTTGCGCAATCAGTTCGCTCGCAACATAAGCGATGGATTAAAATAGCGCTACCGCAGAAATAGGTTAAATTAAAACGGTCTTTACAAAGCAAAGCACTAAATATAAAGGCAGTTAATAACAGCAGCAGTAAAAGATTGTTTTAGTCACTGTACTCAGTGGTTTTCAGCGAATGCTTGTGCACTAATGCATCATTTTTCCTGTCTTTTTAATCAAGCCTGTTAACTTGCTGCATACTTCCATTCCGTTCTCTATTTATAGCATTTGTCTATTAAGTTTGAATTGTTTTTCAAACGCGATCTACTGCAGCTCTACGTTCACACGCTTGTTTTCAGTCTTTCTATATTTATTTTATCAATGTATCCTTATAATTCAATTAATTTTAAATAAAAATTAAATGAATTATATATTTTAGATGTTTTTAGTTTATATCTTCACATCTGAACAACATGTCTGTGTAAATTTGTTTTAACAAAAATTGTGTTAAAACAATATGTTGGATATAAATGTTTTTTTTTTCTTTTTTACATTAATCATGGTTGTCAACTTGCCATCAGCAATTATCATTAAAAACAATGCAAATATTGATATTACTAAAACTCAATGTGTGGCTTTTGCACTTTTTAAAGTACACTTTTACACATAAATATCCTAATTTAGGGTTTTAGGTAACACTTTATTTTACGGTGTCCTTGTTACATATGTTACATGTACTTACTGTAGTAATAACAGTAAATTATGCATAATTACATGCAACTAACCCTCAACCAAATCCTAATCCTACCCTATTCCTATAGTAAGTACATGTAGTTCCTTAATATTACTCTGTACTTAAATATATAATTACACTGTAACAAGGACACCTTAAAATAAAGTGTAACCGGGTTTTATTTAGTCAATAAACAAAAAAATCAAATTGAATTTTTCCATCCGATTAATAGATTAATCGGAAAAATAATCGTCCGATTAATCGATTATCAAAATAATCGTTAGTTGCAGCCCTAGTTATAATAAAACAATACCATGCTATACCTGATACCACATCGCTGTATCATAGTACTGTACTTTTTAGGCATATTAATATAATCAGATTATATTATACATTTTATGTTACATGTCTAATATCGAGATCGACCCACCCTGTCTGGATAATACCATAGAAATAAAACAAACCATTAATGCCACTTAATCATAAATCATATTACACAAAGCAACAATTCTATGTATTAGACAGTAACACTATGGCAATAGTTGAGCGATAGCACTTTGAAAATATAGCATTGCACTGAAACTAACGTTAATCATGAAAAGTGTGGCCATATCATTTATATTATATATATCATATGATAAATCTTATTTTGCTTGTGTGATATCAGTATGAAATATCTGCACTAACGTGTACGCACAGAGGTCCGATACTGATATGAGTCATTCATATGAAAGTGTTTATGTTTATATGATGATCAGATTTATGATCACTTACAGTCGTTCACTCCTCACAGTCTTCACGCAGAATCCCGCGGGGACGGAGGCCGGTCGCGCGTGTCATGGAGGGTCTCAAATATTCCTCTTATCTACATCATTGCGACATTTACAGAGAAAATAGAATAACGAGAAAACACCGAGCTCGAGTCAACAACACACTCAATCTGAGATGACCCGGAAGTCCTCAAGCCTGCCGTTCCGCCGCGCGGTATTGTGGGAATTGTTGTTTTGGTTTTAACGGGCAAAAATAATGAAATAAAACTACATTTGTCTGTAGAACTTATCTCATTCATCAAGCTATTCTAATTTTTAAATATGGTGCAATGTCTTTTTGGAAATGGTAGCAACAAATATAATAATATGGTGTTTGGACCTTTTATTTTCTTATCTTTATTATTTCTTACCTTTTTAAGATTTTTTTTAACTTTCTTTCTATATCTATGTTTCATTTATTCCAATAATTGATAACTAATAATTGCGTTAATTAACCCTTTTTTATATTTATAAATATGCACAGGTGAACTTCTCAGAATTTTTTTTTATCCCAACGCAGATTTGCTTTTAATTTGCAGATTTGCAGATTTACACTGTGATGAAATATACTGTAAAAATGAAAAATCTATGAATACTGATTGTTATATATAAAATATCTGATTTTAAAATTTCATCTTAACATGTTTATAAAGGCCACCTGGAGTGAATTTTATCTCTACAAATCAAACTGATGACTCTGATGTATGAACCTGAAATGTAAGAATCACACACAAAAATATCTGATACAGGTGAGGTCATCATACAGGGTTAATTTTAGACATAATAAAACAGAAACAACAATTAATTAATTCGTTTATTAATTAAATGTACAAAAAATATATTTATTCAGATGCTGTAATAACTTGTAAAGCGGAAACAACAAATGATTCTCACCCTTTGAATAAAAACACATATATTTTTGAGGTTTTTTAACATGAATTAAATGAAGCATTATTTTCATCAAGTATTTCATATTAGGGCTGTAAATTCATTGATTGTGTTTGACAGGTGTGATGATCAGTGGAGTGGAGTTTTTACCTCCTTCATTAGTGCACGGGCCAAAATATGGATAGAGTTTCCCAGTGAAAGACTGATCAGTGAAAGAGTAGATATGAGAGCTGGACTCCACATCATAAAAGGAGAGCAGACCCTCCTCATAATCCACAAACACACCGACCCGCTGCGGCTTCACTCTCACACACAGAGAGACAGGAGCATCAGCTAAGGCTTCATATTCATTCCCATTCCTCAGCCACACAGTCCAGTATCCATTACTGGGACTCGCTGTGATCTCTCCCTTCCTGTTAATGGATTCTCTGACCACTCCTAAATCCCATTTAGTCTTTCCCTTCACCTGCACCTCAAAATAAAATCTCCCTGAGGAGAATCCCTCCTTTCCCAGGACACATACACATCTATCAAATCTCTGTGGTTTGTCTGGGAGTTTCTGTATAATGTCTCCACATCTCACTTGTTTTCCATCATCAGACAGGATGAGTTCAGGATGAGCTGTATCAGGATCCAGAGTCACATCCACTGAGAAAACAATATGAATCACAACTTAATACAGACTTTCAGTGATGATGTTTGTAATATGTAATGAGTGTGTAATCATACTGTAGGTCAGTGATGAAGCTGTGAGTATCTGAATGTAATCTAGTGTAGGTCAGACACACACTGTACCTGCATACTGCTGTATCCTCTTCAGTTCTGTAGAGACTAATGACAATAACACATCAGCAGATCTTTGACATGTTTATGTGTGCAATTATAGACAAGATTTAAGGTTATATTTAAAGAATTGTGAACAACGTCATATTTTATCTGATCAGTGTGTGTGTGTGTGTGTGTGTGTGTTTTAGCACTGCACTCTTTGAGCTTTAGGCCTGATATTTCACACACATCCTCTTCTCATGAAGATCAAATCTGCCTCTTAAACACATGATGTCTATTCATTTGATTTTCTGCTTTTGGTGAAACATTTTAAATTATTCTCTGCTAAATTGATTTGCAAACAACTGTTTATGGGAAACCCTTAGGAAATATATTCAAATATATTGATGGAACAACAGAAAAGACAAACAATCTCAGAGTTAACTGAATATTAATGTTTCTCTTCACAGTTTCCCCTCTATACAGTTTTATATGTTTTCTGATATTAGAGCTGAAAATGACCTGAAGAACTGTGAGCTGATGATAATAATGTGACCATCGAGTTTGGGATACAAAGATATTGAATTATTTGTATTTATTTTATTTTTTATCTAAGTATGTCTATTTCTATTTATGCATGTACATAAGTGTTTTAATTACTTAAATGTATCATAATGAGTTTGCATTGAACAGTTGAGCTGCGTTATCTAAACTCTGGGTGGCAGTCGAGATATAAGAGTTACCATGACAACTGCAGCATCCTAACACTAACACTTGTCTCTCTCTCTCTCTCTCTCTCTCTCTCTCTCTCTCTCTCTCTCTCTCTCTCTCTCTCTCTCTCTCTCTCTCTCTCTCTCTCTCTCTCATCTCTCTCTCTCTCTCTCTCTCTCTCTCTCTCTCTCTCGTTTATTGTTAAAGTTAGTTAAAATCATAAAATTTCATATCACGCTATAATATATATACTTTAATATCCAATTAATTTGTTTCAGTTGATTATTTATTTTATTAATAATTTTTTGCTTATGTCATAAAGAAGTCCATTAGAGTATCACTTACCGGAGTCATTTACCTGAGATACTGACCTGAGTTCAGCCAGTTGTGTGAAAGAATTAGAGCATTTGTGCACATATTGTTAGGTTTTCTTTCTCTATTTATTTACTTATTAATTGTGATTTGTTTTAAGTATTCATATGTACTATTTATATGTATTAATATTTATTTCAATGCATTTATCAATACTGTGATTTAAAGTCTTAAAGACTCTGAAATACAATATCCATCCTCAGAAAACACAGAGGAGCGCTTGAGTAACTACTAACTCTCGTCTCTCTCTCTCTCATTTATTAAGTTTTCCACTGCTCACAGTCCCTGTAACACACATGATCACTTCTCTTATTTCAGCTTGATCAGACTCATTCTTCATTACTGATGCTGTTTACTATAAAAACAGGACAGCAACTTTTGAGTTCAGCTAGGAGTGAGAATTTGAGGGAGTGGTATTGACAAAAATTACACGATTCGATTACGATCTTGATTTAATATCGATATACATGGATATATAGTACATGTTCATTTTTTCTCCAGGAAAAAATATTTCTCAACTAATGTTGTGAACAAGGAATCCTGTCAGCTATACATTATTATTAGGTTAATTAACAACTGCATTTCAGGAAGTTTTAATAATAATAAAGTTATAATAAAACATTTTAATGGTATTAGAGTAAAACTATAATTAATATGTAGTGCTTTTTTGCTCCTGTCTTGATTTTCTCCCAAACTACTGGACATTGAAAGGCTTTCTGAGGTAAATGTTACGTGACATCGTTTGATTGAGCGATTACATGAGATATGACACATTTCAGTAGTTGCACTGGTTCTTTCATTCATGTTTGTTTTGTACTGTAACTAGCAGTAAAGAGGAAGAGATGATCGGATCATGTGCCGCTTGAACTGAGGCGACACGACAGCAATATTTCATGCCAAAACGGTATTTATTGTTTAAATATCTTAATAAAACTTACAATATTAAAAAAGCTAAGACTTTGTTTCATATAAAAAAACAACCTGCTCTTTCTTGTCTGTCCGTGTCCTCTTTGCTCCGCAATGTTTTTTTCACTGTGTGAATATGGATGTGCGAGTGAATGCTTGAGAACAGTGTCAATTGCGTGAGACTCACTCTGAATGCCTGAGTTTTCAGTCCTGATAAAAAGATGATAAATATATGTATCTGTACGGTGTGTTTGATATTGTCGTACCAGTGTGTGTGAGTTTCTCCTGTAGAGAGTCCTGCAGTTTAGTCAGAGCTCTCCTCAGAGTCTCCAGACTCTCATCAGTCTTCACACTGATCTCAGACCAGTTCCTGGTGTTTCTAGAGCTGCACAGGGACGAGTAAATCTACAGCAGGAGAGAGGAGAAACCCTTCAGCATGGGGAGTGTTCTGGTGTCATACACTGCATTATCATTGATCAGAGAGATGTTGACTGACCTGTAAGAGGTGGAGGTGATCTTCAGTGTGTGAGAGCTGCTCCAGCTCAGTGTTTCTCATCTTTAGCTCAGTGATCTCCTGCTCCAGCTCTTCAATGAGCTCTTCCTCCTGTTTCTCTGCTGCTTTCTGCTGCTCCTCCATCATCTCCAGCTGTTCAGTCTGACATCTCTTAATGGAGCGGATGAGATCAGTGAAGAGCTCCACACGGGCTGCTTTCTCCTTCTCAGTGTTTCTCTGATCAACCAGGACAATCAACACATTATTAGTGGTGTTTGTTAAGAGAAGAATCACTGTTATTATTTATCATACTTCAGTGTTTTCAAAATCTCTCATTCTGCAGCGTTTGCACTGAATGATTCCTCAAATCATGTGTCTTGTTGAGGAGAGATGTGTTATTACTTTACTAAGTGGTCAGGGAATCACAGACGTCTCGATATTCAGACCAGCAGAGCGACCGTGAGTGTGAAACTGCTTTTATACAACAATTATACAACAACAAGAGGAGGGCTGCCGGAAGAATCTGTCAGTGAGATGACGTGTCTGCTGCTTATATGCTCATGATGATGATTGACAGCACTGAATGTTTAGGCTCCTCCCGAACCTTCATTTAGTGCTGGACAACGACTAATCTCATCCAAATAAAAGTTTCTGTTTACATAATATGTGTGTGTGTACTGTGTTTAATTGTTTTGTATATATACATACACACACATGTATATATTTAAGAAAAATTAATGTATAAATACATATACAGTATATAGGCCTACATGCAAATATTTCTTAAATATATACATGCATATGTGTTTATTTATATATAGAATTATTATTTATAATAAAAATAATTATACACAGTACACACACATATAATGTAAACAAAAACTTTTATTTTGGATGCGATTAATCGCAATATATCATTGCCCAGCACTAAATTAAAAGTCAAATTTAATTATTTTAAACTCACTTTTCTGACTTCTGCTGAGTGTTTGACGTCTTGAATCTTCTTGATTCTGTCCTGGATCTTCTGCTGTGTGTCTTTCTGGGTCTTCATCAGTTGAGTCTATAGACAGAACAACACACAATATATTTTCATAACTGATTCATTTATATAAAAGAACATGTGATTCCTCATAATAAGAGCCATTTAAAATCAGTTTGTCAGGAACTTCTACCTTCTTCTCTTCACTCTCCTCTTCTATAGGAACAGTGTTGTGGTTCTTGTGGTCTGTCACAAGACACATCGGACACACACACGTCTGATCATCTCTACAGAACAGCTCCAGAGGTCTCTCATGTTTCTGACATATATAGTCCTCCAGATTACTCACAGGATTGATCAGTTTGTGTTTCTTTAAACCTGCCACTCTCAGATGAGGCTCCAGGTGAGTTTCACAGTAAGAGCTCTGACACACCAGACACGACTTCAGGGCTTTCTGCTTTCTTTCCTCACAGACGTCACACAGAACTTCAGCTTTTTTCAGTACTTCAGGTTTTTTCTCAGGACTTTTCTTTTTATAGTGATCTGCGATCTCTCGGAGTGTGGTGTTAATCTTGAGATCAGGTCTGTGCTTGAATGTCTCTTTACAATATGGACAGTTGCAGGTCTGGCTGTTATCCCAGCACTTATTCAGACAGGTCTTGCAGAAGTTGTGTCCACATGGAGTGCTGACTGGATCAGTGAACACGTCCAGACATATAGAGCACTGAAGCTCCTCAGTCAGTGGACCGCTGGAGGAAGACATCGCTGGAAAGAGAAATAGTCAATAGTCACCTATTAAAGAATGTTTTCAATACGGGAAATATTTTGGAAGTCATGCAGCAATTCTCAAATTTTCTGTTGTTAATTTACCTGGAGGTATATTTATACTCCCTCTCCTAGTCTCTCTTCCTTTTGATGATAATGATGGCGATTCTGCCATTGCTCTTCACCCATTTAAGCCTTTTCAAGACAAATCACAACAAACTAAACTAGGGATTGCTGATTAGAAAATAACAAATTATTAATTATCTCCTCAAAATAAACAGATGTGTTTTATGACTTCTTGTTTTATGTAAAGTGATCTCACCTGCTTAGCAGGTCTGTCTGTCTGCGGGTAATTTACTTCCTGATTCTCTCTGGGTTGTATATGTTGTGTGAAAAACACCAAACTGACACCAAATGTCAGTCAAATGATTTACAATACAATTGTGATACAATTTCAGTGCAGTAAACTAAAGTTTGTTGAGTATTTGACATGCTTATACCTGGTTCTGTTCAGCTTATTCCATAAACTTACTAAACCAGATCACTTCCATTAGAAACCTGTTCAGCACAATCTCTCTTATATTTCTATCTCTTACCTGTGATTATCAGATGTGTCCACAACACTCTTTGAACAGATCAATAAATATTCTGTTGTTTAAAGAGGTTGATCGTTTCAGGCGTCCATATTGTCGTTGATCAAGTAAGTTTTACTTTCTCTGAATCTCTCTGAACTAGTGATGTCAGAGCTCCTCCTGTATTCACACATTTACATTTACAGGCATACTGTCTTTACTCTTTTTACTTGTTTCTCTTCCTTTTGGTGAAGATTCTGCCATTGCTCTTACACTCTTTAAGACTTTTAATGCAAATAATAACCTAACAATATATTATTTCACATAATATTTCACAGTGGGCTATACACTATACATTAGGCTATACAGTATATATAGGCTATATAGACCTGATGAGCATCAAATAAGCCCATTTGCTTGTAAAAAAAAAAAAAAACGGGGGGGGGGGGGGGGGGGGGGGCGCACTCTAAAAGAGAGTGAATTTAAAATTTTCTCAGTGAATTTTCTTTCAAACTTAGAATCCAATTGGATCATGAGTCATGATCGTTGTTAATATTTAATTGTGTTTTAAATTCAAACATAATTAGGCTATTTATTTTGAATCACAGTTGAGCTACACTATTTAGAATAAAAGAAAAAAAAATTAAGAACTGTAAACATTTTCAGGATTACTAGAAAGAGGCAGCCAGGTTTGATCGGGATTTAAGATAAACTCTGCAGGAAAGTGGATCTCGAGAGCCAGAGCTGAGAAACTGAGAATGACATCATTTTCATACAATTCTGAAACCATTTCAGTGCAGTAAAAAAATAAAGTTTGTTGAGTATTTGACATGCTTGTTCTGTTCAACTTATTCCAGTTTGACATACTAAACTACAGTAAGGTCATAGTCCAATGTATCTGTTATCAGTTTCCAGAACAAAGGCCGTGAAACTTCTAGGACCAGGACTGTTCAAAGTTAAGACAGTGGGTCTTCCCTTTGACAGAACTGTTTTGCTGTATTTGAACTGGGACAAAATAATTTCAACAATGGTTAATGTGACAATGCCAGAGAAATGCATTATTATACAAAGCATTTGTATGCTCATCTACAAGCTATTGTAGTCATTTAAGAAGATATTCTGGATATTAATAGAGTAATGAGAGATTTATAAACACATTAAAAAATATGACCGTTTGAGTCATTTCTATTTCACACAGAAAGAAGCAGTCATCTCCAAAAATCTCCAGTAGAGGCCGCCATTCCCTCACAATGACTGCTGTTACCAGTGTTTTTGATATGTAATTTGTATGTATTAATACTGTTATTCCCCATTGTGCCTGCAGGTGGCACTACCACTTGTAATTGTTGAGTAAGTAGAGAATGTTGGCTGTGTTATTTTAACATGGTTTTTTTACACCCAAGTGTTTTCTACATGTTGATATTGAGAGACATAACAGTTATGTCAGATGTGTTGCGATCACAAGTTTCTTGTTTTTATTTTTTAATACATAATTTTATATTTTCTCTTTTTAACAATTAGTTATTTGTAGTTTAGTACACACGGAGTTGGGTAAAATTAATCTAATTTGCTTTATGAATATTCAGTAAGTTGTTAAATTGGCAAATGGTTAGTCCACTTTTTCCTTTAAAAATAGTCTTGATAATAATTTTTTTTAAACATTTTGCATATAATGTCCACAATAGATTTTCTGCATCATCCTGTGGCTTGTTTGAAACATTTACAATACATATTATATATAGGCCTACTTTTTTGGTCCCTAATACATCTCACTAATATTTGTCACTCAGGAGTTTTAATTCAGTAATTTATTCTTAGACTTTTATATTTTGAATATTTTATCCTATAAAGTTGTGTACACTATAGGATTTGTTAATTCAGGTCAATCCTTCATAGGCGCTTATGTTTTAGCTAATGAATCACAAATCTGAGCTTCATAATCTTCTCTGTGTGCCTGAGAATGCCTGAATGGCTTTTTATTGTATCTATGGCAGTATGTACTAGTTAACCCTCTGGGGTCCTTCGGCCCAAATGGACCCGAAGCATTTAAATATTTTTTTTTTTTAAATCATTGCTTTATCGGAATGGTCCGAAATTTGGTGACTTTGTTGGTGCTTGGCATATGAACACCCCAAAAAATTGGGGACAGGATTTGAATAGTCTAAGTGGTTGTAAAAAAAACAGTCACACTCAGGACCTTCGGGTCCAAATGGACCCGCATAGGAAATGAATGGGAAATTGGCAAAAATGTGAAAATACAGAGTTTTTTTGTGCGTACAATCTACAAATCAGCCACGATCCAGAAAAAAAGCACACAACAGTGAAGGGGTGAATCTATAAAACATCAAGAGTGCAAAACAGACACATCCACACACACACACACACACACACACAAACACACTTTTATACACATACACACTAATAAATTCAGATTACATATGGGTTTTGAATTTTTAAAATGCTCAGTTTGTCCACCAGATGGCATCCATCTCATTTCAAAAATTGCTTTCATGAGGCCTAGGCTTGACTCTAAAATGAAATACAGCTTTAAAAAAATATATATATATATATATTTTTTTTTTAAATTTCTATTATATTCAATGGGGAAAAATGGGTCATAATTATTGCATTAATATTAATTATAAATCATTTTTATTTTTGAAATTATCTCAAAACACCAAAAAAGAAAAGAAAAAATATTATAAAAAACAAGTTAAAAAAAAAAATGATGATTTTTTTTTAATAAATATTAATCCCACCCTTCCGGCCCATTTGGACCCGAAGGTCCTGAGTGTGACTCTGAAATGAAGGACCCCAGAGGGTTAATTTGCTCTATTTGACAGCAAACTTTAATGACAGTCATGTACAAGATAAAATCTAGATGTCACAAAAAATGCCAGCATGGTTTTCTGCAGAGATGTGATTCAGTCATCAGTTTGTTTGGTGAGCTTACTTGCATGGAAAATAAAGTCATGACTTATGAGTCGATACTTGAGTCACATCAGTCCATCCTGAAGGCCAGTAAGAGCACAGGCAGGGTATCATACACATCTAATGATTGTGATGACGTGCAGTGAATATGTCCTGGTTTGATACTGATAACTGAAGATGTAGACATGTCTTTCCAGCTGTGTGCAATGTACTGGGCATGAGTGTTTTTGGAGTGTTTTGCCAATTGCAAAAAATTCTCTACACCACAGCATTTCTGATTACTGAAAATTACTGTGATTAGGATCCATATGATCTGCAGGGGAAACTTCGGTACATCCCCTTCATGGTGAGCTCAGGAAGATAAGCATGCTGTGCTAGAACAATAATGTCTAAGACTGTAAATGTAGGTGTTGTTACTGGCTCTTAGATCAAAAGACTGATATTTACCGTTTGATATTTGAGTTTCCACGTGCAGGATATGTAGAGTCACAAAAACTGAGTAAATGAAAGCAATTAATATGCATTAACATACAACACTTCGCAAAACAATAGTTTACACTAAAGTGTGGGACTATTTATAAGGTAGCAGACAGTTCAGTTCAATACCATCATTTTATTCATATTTGAGAGTTCTGTCAGCGCATGAGCCTAATATTTAAAAAAAAAAAAATTGAAGATTGATTTCATAGTTTTGGGGAAGTCCAATGATGACCATGTGCACTCTCTCATGACGCCTCTGTCTGAACCACTGAAACTAGAAAAATGATGTATCATTACTCCAGCGTATGACGACAGTCACTCCTGAAAGAAGCACATCACATGATAATCATATTAAAGTATACTAAATTAAGTCTGGAAAATGACTCGCGTATTCTATTTTCCCTCTCATAAAAGGTTCCTCTGAAATCCTCTTTCACCTCACCCAAAAGGCCACTTCCTCTGATTACATGTATCTATCAAGGACATCTACAGCTCTGCACGTATGTGTTCTTTTCTGACGCCGATGCCTCTGTGTGGTGTGGTTTGTATTTTTCCAATTAAAATAAAAAATGATTAGTCAATAAAACCCCATACAAAATACATCATTCTTTAGCCTAACATGTTTGTTTTTCTAATTGGCAGTTTTCCCCTTCATCTGTTATACCACTTATATATGACCTTTACAGTGTTATTTTATTTATATATTTTACTTTATATCTCTATACTAGTGCAAGGTCTAACACGTATGCAAAAAACTAATAACATAGATATTTTAAAAGACTTTATTTCATGTCACAGGTTTTATCAGGATTTCTGAAGTCAAAGTTTCGAAGCTTTTCAATGTGTATGAAGGTGATTATCTCATATTGAAGATAGTTCTTAATTTATCATTACATATTTTTCACTCATTTAATGTTACAATATTTAATCTTTGTCTGAAAGATTTGTACAAAGAATTGACAGTAGAATAATATTTGTTTTAGTCTGATCAGTGAGGCTTGACACCATCTTTCACGAGTTTCTGGATTACAACCATCTCTTGATTTGTGAAATGTAGTCAAATAAACAAGTCAAGTTGTCCTTTATGATTAGGAATAGTCAATAATATTACTAATGTTAAGAAATTCCACCAGATTTTCTGTGAAAAGTAACATTTGCTCTTTAAATACAAACTCTCATGCATGCAAGTGAAAAGTTTTGGCAAACATTAGATCTTGTTGTCAAATACAAAAGTTATTTCATGAAACTCTATATGGCAGGCTGATATGTCCTTAACTTACCTGCTTACAATCACACCATTCTCTATAGGGCACAGCTGATTCCACCAAGACCAAACATATCAAAATTGTAATATCCATTACCATGCCAAACACTCCAAGAGTCATCATGACAGAAACAACATTATTCTCTACTAGGCATCTAGGCAATTACGGTCACCGTGATTTTGCCAAGTAAGACATGATCCTGGATCGACATTCCTGTCCCAAAATGTAGTCCTTACCCAATCCCTACCCCTAAACCTAACCCTACCCATTACTTTTCCCTAAAATCAGAGGGTAACGAAAGGTGAATGACACTGATGTGTAAGTACTTCACCCTGGTTCTAAGCCTAAACTTGACATAAACTGTAAACTTGTCCCTCAAATCTGATTGGTTGATTGGAAAGTTGATCCAGGATCAACAACGACGTTGATCCAGGAACATGTGGAACTTGGTGAAATCACGTTCACCATAGCATTTACATATAGGTGGTTTCTTAGAAGGGAACAGTGATTTAAGTGAATGCATCCTTCACAGACGAAGCCGTCTACTGCAGCAGGAATGCTTCTAAAGGTCAGGTCTGCTCAAACTTGTTATAAAGTATGTTAGTTCACACAATCACACAGAGAACAACACATGTAAGACATTCAACTTGAACAGACAAGACTTTTAATAAAAGTCAAAGACTGATATGTATACATAAATATGGCACTTATCATAATATGAGATACAGCATAAAATGCAAAGACATCCTTAAATGAGCAAAAAGCACATTAAGATATGATATGCCACTAAATGAAACAATGGCAAAAAATTGCCTACTCAATATTGCAGACTCCCTTTTTAAAATCTAAACAGTTCAAATACACACCAAAAGTTCCATGACAGTCTTATTTGTGCATGTTTCATGCTTTTGGCAATTACCTTTGAGAACTTTTGCATGCTTTAGCACTTATTAAAATGGGAAAATACACCAAAGGGTGCGTACTCTTCTACCTTTCTGGTAGTTCTGCTTAACAAGCGTCAGTTACGGCACATGGTGCCAACACGTTCAACCTATATGGTACTGCAGTCCATGCAGAGCCACAAACAATAACACTTCAAACACAAAAAAATGTTTTCCAAAAAAAAAAAAAAAACTCATGCCATGATTAAATAAAATTTTATCTTTTGTGAAAATAATATCAAGGCTGATACTGAGAACCATAGCAAAAGGGTAAAAACCCTTTTAATACAACTAATAGTGAATTACCATAGTTATACGTCAAATAACAATATTAAAAATACAACAGAAATAAATCTTGGCTTGAATTGAGTCCATTTCATGACAAAGATTAAATATCTATTAAAGTATCATTGTACTTTTAAGCTGTGCAGACAATAAAATAATTTCAAAACATGTCCTGACCGGGATTTTTGATAGTAAATGTGAGGGATTTTGGACCAATGAGATTTCACTGTGGGTGGAGCTACACAGCATTACATGACAGACTGGGACGAAATCACTTGTTGTGGTTGAGGTTGAGACCTTGGTGTAGCACACTCGGTGCCTGAATCTTTGTCTTATCTAGTCTTTCAGCAAAAATCATAAAGCCCCATCCTGAGACTGAAGGGTCAAAATCTCTGCTGCCAGTCTTTGTGGGTCTAGGAGATATGGGAACATGTCCATGGCCCTGTCCACCAAACGTGCATTGAAAATTGCGAGTAATTTCTTCCTCACCTGCTCCCGTTCGGACCACTGAGGACTGTTATTGGAAGGGGACCAGTGTCCATGCCCTCTCTCCGGCTGCATGCCATTGTGGGATGCCGGAGGATAGCCACTATAATGGTCGGACCAGTAGCCCTGGTGGGGAGGAGGCCCTCTGCTGTGTGGAAATGAATACTGGGACATGTTGGCGGGAGGGTAAATTGGACCTCCGCCGTAGGAGTGATAGCGGGGTTGACCGTAACCCGGGTTTGGTGAGCCGCTGTGGTGCTGACCGGCTCCACCAGCTCTGAGGGATTGGTAGGAACAGCAACTGCAGGGTTGGCTATTGGCCAGAACGTAGAGATGCCGCCCACTGCTGGATGGTTTGGACTTCCGATCACAATGAGGAGCTTCATGAGAATGACATTCGTAGGAACCCAAGCCAGAATCCATACACTCTTGAGATCCGTTGGTAAAAGAATCTAGGCTTGTTGACGAATGCCGACGTTCTTTTTTCGAAGGAAACTTCCTTTGCGTTAGCTGGGGGGCTCCTTTAATGACAAGGACATTTTCACTGGCGTAACTCTTCTTGAGAGATTCGCACACGTCGAGGGACAGTTTCTGTTCCATAACTTCATCCAGAGACGGACTCTGACTGGAAAGCGGCTGAGGTTTGTGCGGTGTGGATGAAATTTTGGCTTTCTCCCGAAGCTCGTCGGCCAGGGCACGCTGGGATTGCTTGGTTCGCTCCGGATGATGGAACTTACACTTGATTCCGTAAGTGCACTTCTTTCCTGCATTGAAAATTGGAGAGTTTAAATCTTGTTCACAAATAATCAAATCAAATAAATGCAGCCTTGGTGAGTGAAACAAAACTTTTGAGCAGCATTGTATGTTGTTTATCAATTCCTTGGATCTGGATTATCCCTTTCTATATGGGCTATAGCAACTAAAAATGCCACACACTGATAATTACACCAACATGTGACCACAAGGCCATGTGAACACACTAGTGATTGTACAGTGTCAATCATTCATTAAAGTCAGAAAAAAAAAAATCTCACCATAAGGACAGGGCTGTTTTTTGGGTATACGTGGATTCTTCCTCAGGAAGTTGTCGAGGGTGGGTCCATGTCTTCCCAAAGGGTCATCTGGAGGCATAAACCTACAAAAAAGCAATGTGAATTGAATCAAATTGGAATTAATTAGCAGCAGGGCTTTTATTAAACAGCTTGACGTACGCTGCACTGACCAAAATGCAACAGCACTTACTTGTCATTGACGAACGAGTACATCAGAAGCCTCTCCTCTATAAAACGCTTCCACTCAGGACGCTCTCCTTGCAGATCTCGGTAGGTGTCATTGGATACAATGATGCCGTCGGATTCGTAGGCCAGCTTCACGATAAAACGGTCATCATAGCAAACCACTCGTTTTCCGGCCACCCTTCTGGATGGTGTGAACACCAAGAGCTTCCTCCGTTCTAATTCACGCAGAATGTGCTGATCTGAAGAAAAATATTCATGAGATTTTAAATAAGTTGTCACAATTACGGTAGTCATTTTGATGCTTTAACTTAGTACAATTATAAAAAAGAAAGTGACCAATAATAAGATGAACATATTTAGTCATGCAGCCTGACCTTTTGTAATAAGAAATTGGATCATTTTAAACTTGAAGTAACATCTAAATGCATGTTTGCACTTTCTAAAATCAAATGTCTTAAAATGTTGTTTTTTAAACCTACTTTTACCTATATTAAAAATCCACCTCTTATGGTGCAAAATGCTGAAGAAAAAAACAGTAAGACATATATGCATTGGCTAGAAATGCATATGTCTAATGCATATATATATATACAGAGCAAGTATTTGAAAATTGCAATGTTTTTTTTATTTTTTTATTGTGAACCTTGGACTTGATTGTAAAATGAATTTCTGTGAAATGTAAGCCAGTGATAGGTTTGCAGTGTGTTCGTGATATGGAAATAAAACAAACAATATACTGACTTCTAAAATCACTTTATCACTTTTTTTTTGCAATATAAATGTTTTTATTTTTTGTCTGTCAAAATAATGTCCTCAGTAAATATATTTTTTTTTTTTTTTTTTTTTTTTATATTTATTTATATTAATATTTGATTGACACGAGATAAACAGCATATCATGTTATTAGTTTGACATATTGTTATTGACATTAGGTTAACATCATATCATTTAATTGTTTTGACATATTGTTATTGATTTACAGCCAATGTTGGAACACACTGTCTATTCTGTTTAAACTAAACAAGTCTTGTTGGTATTCAATTATACTTTTGGACCAGCTGGAACAGACACCCCAAGGGAGAAGGATTCTTGGCATCTAAATTTGCTTGTGATTTCCATTGGGCACGTGCCCATTTACACAGCGACAGTTTATTTCAAAGACATATTTATGCAATGTTTTCATTGTGAAATGGCAACAGTTGAGACAAATCAACATCACAACTATATGTTGGTTTCACGGTATTATTACAACAACCACAAAGTTGCATTATTTCCCTCTAGCTAGGTCAAACTTCTTGAGGGATTGGCAAACATGCAGATCAAACAGGCTGGTACATTGGTACAAAGGCAGCAGTCGCATAATTACACTGCTCTACTGCGGCCTTCTTTGTTTTACGAGGAAGTAACGAAGGTTTTAAAAACCCAAGGTACTTGCCAATATATCCGATGACATACTTAATTCCGTCAGCTACACAAATGAACTAATTTTAGGGTTTTCCCATACTTCCAGTTCTATTATTTAACACCTGCGCTTAGCGTTTGATTGGGTTTAAAACCAGAAATAAAAAAACAGAACTGCATTTCTAGTGCTCCATTTAAACTTTAGTTGAAAAACCAATCATACATAATTTGCTATCTATTGGCATCATCTGTTGCCTCTTTGTTTAGCCATATGGTTGCTATGAGGAAACAGACACTGCTTATGGGAATGTCATTTCGGACAGCAGGAATTGTTCCTGACACTAGGTGCATTCCCCTTTCCTCACCTGTAATGGGTACATCAGGTCGCGGCTGTTCTTTTCTCCAGGAAGGCACAAACACCGTGATGTCAACGTGACCCCGCTCCAGGAAAAAGCTCACTGCCAGCTGAATTCCCAGACAGGAAAAAACTTCCTTGTTCCCGTGGCTAAGAAACAGTTTAAAAAAAAAATAGGTTTGAATTTGCATAATAAAATTGTACAGACATTAATTCATTCGACAGGCACTTTTATCCAAAGCTACTTGCAAACAAGGAATATCAAAAGCATTTTATCATATTCAACTTTTCAAATTTAAAAGTTATTTTAGAGCAAATCAACTACATAAACGACATTATGAGATCTGCTGAAGAAAGCAGTAAGATATCAGTTCATTTTTTTTCCTTGCCAGTTGAGCTAAGGGGAATGCTAAAGTTCGTTCAAATAAATGTCGTTATACTTCCTTCTAGACAGTGGCAGACTTGGTGCAAGTGTCATTAGTTTAAAATAGATACAAATAGATGAATAAGTACATTTTAGTTTAGATCCAAACTGTAAATCAACAGAAGTGGGTGTGTGAAAAGTGGAAACTGTCTGTTTCAATGAGGTAATAAAAAGTGTCTGATTTATAGGAACAAAAATAGTACAAAGGTGGGCAGAGCTATCCAATCAGACGACGTGTTGCAATGCAGTCGGGCCTGTTCATTTTCACAGCGTACTTTTCACAGACATTCTCCTTCAGGATAGAAAGAAGGAAGGGAGGGGACTGGAAACGGCACTTATTTGCATATAAGATTATTTGCATACTGGAGTGATGACAGCTACAGGAGCCTGCAGGGGCAAATCTGGACTCTACTTGCAAATTCAGGTGAAATACAAAGGGAAGGGAGGATTCTCAAAAGATCACAACAATACTGTGAATCCGCTTTGGCACCATATGATCTAACTTCTCCAAATAACTTCCTAATTTTCTGGTCTGACATTTGGAATGAATTACTCATTACGACAAATCCCACGCAAAGAATTAGTCGAGTAAAATACTATGATGTGGAGTGTCCAAATGCCATTCGGTCTGTCAAATAACTTTTATCTGTTTCCCATTACATGATTGCCAAAAAACATATACGTTCTCAAATAAGCGTTCAGTCATAACTCATAAAGTTGCCCTTCACGTGAGCACAAATACATCTCTGTATTCACAAAAACAGAAGGAAATGGACTTGATTTGCACATTTTTAGGAATGTGTGTGAGGAAACACTGGGTTTTATTAAACTGTGACAATTACTGAATGATTGTAAAAAAAAAACAATACTACCGCACAAAGGATAAACATTTAATTTGTAAACACTATTCATCTATTTTACAGTAAACAAACAGACTTGGCCATGATGTAATGAACATCCCTTGATTTTTCTATCATAATAATTATTTGCAAATCCAACTATAATTAAGACAAAAAGTGTGGCACTATTAAAACATTAGCCCAACAGGGCAACTTTTTGCTAAACCATTTTTTAAATTCCTTTTGACGATGCTATAAATGGCCAAAAAATTGCAAACTTAACAATATTTCAAAAAATGTAAAGGGAAAACAGCCTTAGACTAGTACTAGTTCTAGGAAAACTGTTTTTACATTTAAAATGTCCTGTTAAACATTTGATACAAAGGAAAAGGTCGTCCAAATTTACATTGCCTTTAAATTTCCTGTAAAAAGTAATAGCAAAGGGATGGAAGGTGTAGTGTCATTGAAAGCATGTCATGTGTACAGTAAACTCACCTCATGGCTACATTAGACCCATCAATGACTATAGGTCTGAGTGCGTCCTCATCCTCTACCAGCTCTTCTGGAGCACTTGACATTGCCGGAGCACTTTGATTTTGGGTCTTACTGGATCCATCCCCACGTGGAACCAGCACCGGGGAGGCTGTAGATTCCTCTATCTCTTCAGATTCCCCAGCAGCCTGTATCAGCTCGCCCAGAACCCTGTTGGTGTCTGCGCTGAGGCCGAGTTTCAGGAAAGCGGCGCGGACCTGCGTTTGGGAAAACCCCAGCTTGAGGAACAGGTCGAGCTGGGTCTGAAAGTCAGACCCCAGTTCTGAGGATTCATCTGGAGTCGGGCTGGGCTGAGCCGGGTCCATTCTAGCGTCACAGAAAACGGGAGGCTTGTACAGAGACGCAGGTGCTGTTACCCATGCGTTGGTGTTTGCGTCAGATTTGTGTGATCCTACGCTGGATGACCAAAGGGAATCCAAATACAATTGTAACGTGGGGATGGTGCCGATTTCAGCACTCATATCTACATCTGGAAAAACGTCCTCGTCAGTCACGCCTGTTTACAGAAAGCGTAATGTTAGAGATAAGATAAATTAAGCTATTATGGTGAATTCAGATATTTATTTAGAATCTCAGATGACAACATTTCTAATAATCTGAAACCAAGGTATCATCTACAGATCACATGGCAATACTATGTGACAATCAGACTGATATTTCAAACATTTAGGAATCTAATTAGGAATCTTAAACCAATTAAAAATGACTTTAATAGCAACAATTCTGATATGGTTCAAATAAAGACAAACATTTAATTCCAAACAATACTTTTTTTTTTTATAAACAATATTTTATTAAACCGAGTAAGTTCTATAAATTAGTAGAGTATATTTATATTACAACTTATAAAATGTATAAATATTAATAAATAATAATAAAAATGTATTAAATCAGTGACATCTAGAAGCAAACAAGCTATAAAAACCAATGTATCTAAACTGTTACTGTACCTTTTGAACAGGAAATGTCATCTTCAGACGTGAAACTTTAGGTTTCACAGCCATTTTAAAAATAGTAGGTTTCTAAACTCATCTAGTCTTATATATTTTCACTACAGCGCCGACATCACATTATTTCATAGTTTTAATTCTCTTTATTTGCGGCGCGTTCCCGCATTCCAACACATGGACGCGCTCTATCCCCCGTTTTTAACCTCATCACTTTGTTTACAAAAGTTTTAAAGTTTATTTCTACATACTACTTGACAAAATAAGTAGCCATTAAACAGTTCGCTATCAGAAATGTCAATGACAACTATTAGGAAAGTCAATTTACCGAATCTATCGTTTAGTGTACTTAAATGTACACATAAAACGTTACAAGCCAAACAAAAGTCATACGAACCTTTACTTTATCTCTTCTCTGTGTTTTGAGCTGCTGTCTTGTGGTAATTAAGTGAATACGTCCATAAGTTTCACTCTTGATGAACCCAAAGCAGCAAAATGCTGGAGAGAGATTCGACACACCTTTATGTTAGAAAACGCAAAACCAGGAAGTAAGTCACGCACGTGTTGACGTCACGGAGGCCTTTGGATTTTACCAGACAGTTCTCTTTTTCCTCCAATAAGAATAATAGTGTTTACTGGTATATTTTTTATCCAGTCCAAATTAAATGTATAAGTATTACCCTTGAAATTATATCTTATAAACAGATTTAATTGTGATATTGATATATTTTGTACATTTTGTGGTTTATATACAGGAACATTCTTTCATTTATTTTAGAGTTGTCCTCTTCGGCTTGTTAGCACCGATGGTGAGAGGACCCTATTGAAATTGCTCCGTTTATTATTATTTTTGGTTAGATTTCTGTTCATTTATTAAGGACCCTATCATGCCCAGATGTCAACTGTGTTTTGGAAAAGTTTTATTTATATTGTTTTCCCACTCATGACAAATCTTATCATGAGGAATATATTTTAATGAACATGCTACTTCTATAATCTAAATGTTGTATGTAAACAAGGGTGAAATAAGCCTTTGTTTTTAAAGGCAGAAGTTATTTAAACACAGTATTAACTTTGAAAATAAGAAGCTGTACAATGAGTAAAAATAATAAAAAGTTATCTGTGCTCCTTATGAATTTAATTTCATAGAGATACATATGACAAATCTAAACCATGTTTTAATGTTTTACACATTTTATGTCAATTGTAAAAAATAGGCTACTTATTTAAAAATGAATGTCTAATGTCCCATTAGAATCAAGTTTCATATGTCACATGATAACTGCTGTCATGAGAACTTTAGGTTCCACTTTTTATTTCCACGAAACCTCATACCCATAAACCAATACAATGATCTGAAGAAACTATAGCCTAAAAACATCAAAAACTTTTTTCATTTAAAATCAATAGTCTTAATAATAATTAAGAAAGAATTTGATGTAGTGTAGCCTGTAATGTTATTAATGTAATTGTTTTGTGTGTATGATTCATTAAATTAACCTTTTAATCAAATGGTCTACATTTGTGAATTTTACTTCCCCTAGAATATATATATATATATATATATATATATATATATATATATATATATATATATATATATATATACTGTACACACACACACACGACAGTGAGAAGTGAGAAGTGAGTGCGTAATTCCTGGTGCTTTTGTAAATTCTCATTATTACTCTGTAGGTTATTATTTCCTCAAAACCAGCCAAATACTACATATCACATCTGGCTGATGTTATCTTCAGGTCAAGAAATACAAATGTCAAGTGAATAACTGTTACAGAATCATGAACATTTTGGTATGTGTTAAAAGTAATTTCCTTTGTGGTTTGCAAAAAAGGGAAGCCCCTAGTGAACACTCACTCAGATCACAGTTGCATAGATTGCCTTCACCACAAAGCAAGAATCTTTTCTTGACAAGCAAACAATGAATGGCAAAATACTGTGATGTAATGTTTATTTGTGTATTTTATTTAACTGACAGGATGTGTTGTTTCTTATGATACATATGCTGTATAGAGATCAAATTGTGGAAGTGTTCAGGATTTAAGTGGTGATTATGTTTATTAGTAAGACTAAGATTCCAAATTATAATGTTTAAAGTAAAGGAGATGGTTGGGGTCTTGCACGAACTTTGTGGCATTTTACCTTTTTAATAATTTTTTTTCTGGATATGATAGTTGTCGCAATATGTTCATCATGTTGTGAATGAGATTCATCCTCTGATGGAGAATGTTTGGCATCTTCTGCTGGAGGCTCCTCAGAATGGGGTTCTTCTGCTGGAGGCTCCTCGGAATGGGGTTCTTCTGCTGGAGGCTCCTCAGAATGGGGTTCTTCTGCTGGAGGCTCCTCGGAATGGGGTTCTTCTGCTGGAGGCTCCTCGGAATGAGGTTCTTCTGCTGGAGGCTCCTCGGAATGGGGTTCTTCTGCTGGAGGCTCCTCGGAATGGGGTTCTTCTGCTGGAGGCTCCTCGGAATGGGGTTCTTCTGCTGGAGGCTCCTCGGAATGGGGTTCTTCTGCTGGAGGCTCCTCGGAATGGGGTTCTTCTGCTGGAGGCTCCTCGGAATGGGGTTCTTCTGCTGGAGGCTCCTCGGAATGGGGTTCTTCTGCTGGAGGCTCCTCGGAATGGGGTTCTTCTGCTGGAGGCTCCTCGGAATGGGGTTCTTCTGCTGGAGGCTCCTCGGAATGAGGTTCTTCTGCTGGAGGCTCCTCGGAATGGGGTTCTTCTGCTGGAGGCTCCTCGGAATGGGGTTCTTCTGCTGGAGGCTCCTCGGAATGAGGTTCTTCTGCTGGAGGCTCCTCGGAATGGGGTTCTTCTGCTGGAGGCTCCTCGGAATGGGGTTCTTCTGCTGGAGGCTCCTCGGAATGGGGTTCTTCTGCTGGAGGCTCCTCGGAATGGGGTTCTTCTGCTGGAGGCTCCTCGGAATGGGGTTCTTCTGCTGGAGGCTCCTCGGAATGGGGTTCTTCTGCTGGAGGCTCCTCGGAATGGGGTTCTTCTGCTGGAGGCTCCTCGGAATGGGGTTCTTCTGCTGGAGGCTCCTCGGAATGGGGTTCTTCTGCTGGAGGCTCCTCGGAATGGGGTTCTTCTGCTGGAGGCTCCTCAGAATGGGGTTCTTCTGCTGGAGGCTCCTCGGAATGGGGTTCTTCTGCTGGAGGCTCCTCAGAATGAGGTTCTTCTGCTGGAGGCTCCTCGGAATGGGGTTCTTCTGCTGGAGGCTCCTCGTCTGTAGACTGAGATTCTTCTTGTTGAGAATGATGTTCCTCGTCTGAAGAGGATACTTCTGTTTTTTCTTTTTCTTTCCCATCATTCTCAAAATTGCCATTAACAGAATCAGGTACAGCAACATGTTCATTGCTACTGTCACCTACTATCTTTGACCCCTCTCCTAATTTGCCATTAAAATGGATTATTGTTTGGATGACTTTTGGACCAGGGAAGTCCATAGCAATTATACCAACACAGTGTGGTCTATTGGTGTCCCCTTTAAGATCAAGGAGATAATCATCAACTTGTTTATTCAGTGTTTTTGCAATTTCTAGCGGCTCCTCGTTTTCTCCTTTGGCCCCGGTGTATGTGAGCATCATCTCACGATCACACTTTTCTGAAGCTAACTTGATATTTTGCCTCATTTGTTTTTCTTTTGTATCCATGTCTGCATCCAATTCTGTTATATGAACAGGAAGTCCTAATTGTAATGTTGAACTCTGAATCAAGACTATCTTCCCTCTCACCTGTCCCATTGTTGGAATCTCTTTATCTCTCCACACAGGAAATTTATCCTTACTTAAATATGTTGTGGCTTGAGTAACAGCACCCTCATCTGGAGTCACTCTAAGCAACAGTGTCTCTGTCTCCTGTTTCGCAAGAAACGTCAGCAGAGTTTTCACAACATAAGAAAGGGTATCTGATTCCTGGACGCTTCCAGTCTTATCATACTTGATGCTATCAGAAGACACATGCAATTCAAAAAAGCGTATGCCTGCATCCAGTTGGTTGTGCAGTCCCCATGCTTGAAACATTGGTGTGGATGTTTTTAAGCCTTTGTTGCTTTGGTGTGTTCCAGGGATTGATATAGCTGATAGAGGCTTGTTATCTTCTATTTTCTCCATCCACTTGTGATTGACATACTTGTAACTGAGGGTTTCAGAGCTGCTGACATGTTTCATGCCCTCACACGTACAGATAGACACCCTGCAGGTAAAAATATATAAATTGTAATACGCACAATGTGTCACTTATGTATTTTACTCACTTAGATTCAATCAGTCTAAATGTTTTCATGTTTATCTGCATATTAATCATCGCAATGAAACTTACACTATTAACACAGAGAGGTATTGAAAGTTTCCCATTATTCTTAGCTTCCTTCTGCAGGGATGTCTGCAAAAAAAAAAATTGATATAGATGAAAATAATGATATAGTTATATAAAGATTATAGGCTTGAAAATTAGTCTCTGAATATTTCAAGAGAGCTACAATCATCACATTATTGAACATTGGTATTGTAAAACAAGTGTAATCATAAAAAGCTTCACCCTTTTGACAGCAAAGATCACCTGTAAAACCCACACTTCAACAGTTTCACCTGTTAAAAGTGCAAGAGTTTACCAGTTAAAAGTAATTTGTATTTAGCCATCATGGCATCCTAACCACATGGAATTCATATTTAGGAATGTGTTATGATTTTCAAACAACAACAATGAATATTTACTTACAAGATCATGTGTAGACATAAAGAATGTTTCCATTGAATTCGAACCCTGGCATCAGACAGTTTAAGAAACCGAAGTAAACGGTGATGTTTGCTGTCTTTCCTTTTCCCATGTACTTTACATCTTTAACTGATGCCGTTTTACAGCATTTGACTACATTTGCCTAAACAGTCAATGTAAAATGAGCCCTGAAATAGCCTAGTTTGCATTCATTCTCCGTACACAGACGGCATATGAAAATCATCAAAAACGTTATAACTGACAAAGGTGAATTTAAGAGGAATAATGAATGAAGCATTTTCAATGAACAGTATGCCTATTTATGATATCTTTAAATTATAAGAGCACATAATTGTTCTATGAGGAAAGTAGTAGATAACTTAAAGATTAGGCTACAATTTTACAGTTAGGGCCAGTTCACAAGTTTTAAGTCTTATACATTTATATATATATATATAAAAAATACAATATTTGGTTTGGTTAAACAGTTAGATGATCAAAGATGACAATAAAATTGAAATAAATACATCAAACATTTTTGTTTCCTTACTGCAGTTTAAAAAAAAGACAATTAGCTATACCAGCTGTCTCTAAAATTAATTAACAGATTATTTACCGAATCAACTAATTATTCATTAAATGAACATATAAACAATACAGTGGAATATGCATTGCAAATACTTATAATCCATCCACCGCGCGCGCGAGGTGTGTGAGCGCGCGCGCATGAGCAGCGGGTCAGCGTGGCATTACGTGACGTCATAATACCCCACTAAAAGCTGAGCTCTCGTCTTTGATGTGACCGTCTCTGCGGCGTGTACTAGTATACCAGAAGAAAATGAACTTGATAACTGCAGTAACAAGTTCGTGAAAGTGAGCAGCTAATACAATAACTCATTTCATCATGTCTCAAAGAACTCTTCCTTTGCTCATCATAAGCCTCGGCGGAGAAATGATCTACATTCTGGATCAGCGCCTCCGAGCGCAGGATGAAAACGATGATAAAACTCAGAGAGGTAACAAACCAAAAAACCAACCCCATAGCCCATGATAATCCTGCTTTAGTAAACTAGTGCATCAAAATGACCTTTATCTGCCTTGCACATCTTCACGTGTATTTGTTTTTTATGAATGTATTATGAGAACAAAAACTAATACAGACAATAAAGATGTGTGATTGGTGGAAAACGTGGGGAAATCGTTAAATGCAAATAATAATAAAAAAATATTTAAAAAAGAAAGCAAATAACAGGTTGAAACTTTGACAATTGAAGCCACACCCACAAGTGCCCCACTGATCGTTAATCTTCCTATTCAGTCTATTCAGATGTCAGTTATTGTGTACATTATTGGACCTATGCAATAGTAATTAATGTCAAAGTTTGTTTTTAAATACATGTTTGTACCTTCACACAATAAACCTGTGCCCCTGAAGCAAAAGTTGAGATCCATGAGAACACAGTTGAGAAATATTTTTATTCTGACTAGTAAATATGAAGGTTTTCATAGAAATGTGAGGAATAAGCACTGTAGGCCTATGGCCTATGCATGATCATGCAGTCTCAGCTGTTGTCAGAGGATAATTTGTGTAACAGACAGATTAATGTCTAATCTTCAATTACACGTCCTGTCGAAACGCACACGAGTCGTGGAGAATTGCATGAACTCGCTCAATGTAACAGGATTTTGGTCTGAACGCAGGTTCATTTCTTTTATTGCAGGTCGTTGGACAGAAGATGACAGGAAAAGAGGTACAAGTTTGTTACAAATATTTGATATGTCGTACATATGCCATGCAGCGTAATCATGCGTGAAAGAATCTGTTGTGGGAAAAAAAGCCACATTGAGCACACCATATAAAAATGTATAAAAAAATATATATATTTTCAAAAATTAAGATTAAAAATTCACCCAACCACTGATTCTAAGGTAGGCTAAGTGACATATCAAAATAAGTCATTTAAGATCCATGATATATAATCTCTATCATTCATAATTAAAACCATAATACTACCATAAAAAAAATATATATATATTTTAAGATGCAAATTTCAGCAGCTTCTTTCCGTTTTTTTTTTTTTCACTCTTGCCTCCGTCTTTTTCTTTTTCTCAATTGTCATCATTCTGTTTCTGTAGTTATGAATGATATAGTGGGCACTATGTTCAATAAGGCTTTTCTAGAGGAGCTCTTGCGGCCGCAGGATCTGTATTCCCACCGAGCTCTGCGGACAGTTTTGACACGGATAGCACACACCTCCATTATGCGTCTTAACCCGGCCAGCATGGACAAGGTATGAACTCACCCTCTCCCCACGAAAAAAACAAATAAATGTCTTGGCTGAACTTAAAATGTCAATTTGCCATGACTTAAAAATATGCCATCATCAACAGGTTACTAAATGTGACCAAAGAAGCCAAAGTAAAAAAAAGCAACTAAATTAAAGTCCACATTTAAGTTGCGATAGTCTTTTCTTCTTTATTGTGACGATCACTCACCAGAAAAAGGGGGTCCAACTTGGCACTAACAAGGTGTACCTAATAAAGTGGCCAGTGAGTGTGTATCCGAGTGAAATGGCTTCACGAACAAGAAAAAATGTAGGGTGGGACTTAATTTTGTCCGTGGGGGACATATTTTTGTCCGCTGCTTAACTTAAAAAAGTAGACAAAATGCATTATTTTGGCTTTAATATGTTCCTGAACACTGTACTTTTGAACATTAAGTAAACCAAAAAAAAAAAAAAATTCAATATCTATGAACCATTAACAGTTTACACTGTTATGTAACTGTAGAATGCTGTTATTTCTGCTTGTTCCAACCCAGAAAAATTACTTAAATGTAGTCAGGCACATTCAATGATATTTCTAACTTTAATAAAACCAAATCATTTGAAGCACACATTTTATAGCAAGGTTTATATTTAATACTGATTACCTGTTTAAATTTGTGTTGTTGTCTTTATTGTAGCTGTATGATTTGATGACTATGGCCTTTAAGTATCAGATCGTTCTGTGTCCACGTCCACAAGATTTACTGCTCATCACCTTCAACCACACGGACACCATCAAGGAACTGGTTAAGGATAATCCCAGCCTCGTTAACCAGATCAACGAAGCCCAGCGGCAGCTTACTGAGGTAAGTGTGCACTGGTGTCCACCAACAACTGGTTTGCACTTAGTGTGGTGTAAACTATGGACGCTTGTTTCTGCTATGAAATAAAATTAAAAAGGTGACTTTTTATCTGACAATTCTGACTTTTTTTCTTGCAATTGTAAGATTATATCTCACAAAAAAGTCATAATTGCAAGATATAAAGTCGAAATTACTTTTTTTATTCTGTGTTGGAAACCAGCTTCCAGAGTAAACATCTAGTTTCACAATGTGAAAAAATATATAAATGGATCTCTTTAAAATCTGTTGTTGTTGTGAAGTTATTCTATCTATAATTTTTTCGCAAATCAAGTTGCTTTTCTGTGCCAAGATTATTGTTATTTCTAGTGCATGCTTGAAAATGCAAAAGCACCTCTTTCTAAGGTATACACACCCTTATCCGATGGTGAGTTTCAACTCATCCGACATACGCTACTGGTTCTCTTTCAAGATATGGAAATCAGGGTGAGCTATTTACTTATGTGAAAGCTTATTGTTATAAGTAATTGAAATGGATTGCTGCCAGATAATACAGCTGTATGTAAATCAGTAATAAGTCATGATATTTTTTGTAAGAACATTCAAGCGTAGTTATTTTGTCAAGTAGTTGTAGTCACGCATACTGATTTAATGAGATTTGTGACAATTTTCATTCACAGATCTCAATTTTCTTAAAAGAAAGAATCCAGAACCCTAACGGGCATTTTGTGCTGCAGACCTCAGGGCCGGTGCCTCACGGATTTGAGGTTCCTGGTTTAATCAGGTAAAGCAGGTGAAGGTCAGAGGTCACAGGCAGGCTCCTTATATTCTTTACTTTAGTTCTTCATCATTAGCTTTTGACTGGAAAACACAGAGGTTTCATGGGAATATGATCACATCCTTACAGTCATACACTCATTTGGTTCCTTCAGAATTCCAGTAAGCACTCTTGTCATGCAGGTGGTTTAATGCTAAAGGGCGCGAGGTGAGGAGATCAAGGTTCCCCAGTGGAGGAAGCTACACAAGTGCTGTACGCCAGGGCTCGGTCGACCTCTCTGGAGACAGGGTCACACTTCTGGGCACCAACATGTAAATGTGAAAATTAATCATTAGGAATTATAAATGCTTTTTAAAATTTCAATATTAAATATTATTATTTGTAAACATATGTAAATAATAAAATGTAAATAATAATAATAAATATATATATAATAAATGTAATTACAATAAAATATAATACATATATTTTATTATATATTATAGACATTTAAATAAATGTAAAAAATAATATTTATTTGCAATGTTATTTAATAGAGATAATTGTTTATTATAATTTATAATACAAAATAGTACAGCAATAATTAGCAAATAATTATTACTTTTTTTAAATGATAAAATTTATATATAAAAAATATGTTTATATACCCAATATATGTGAGTATAATATACACTAAAAATAATACTTATATATATATATATATATATATATATATATATATATATATATATATACACTACTGTTCAAAAGACTTGTCACTCATTGTCACAAAAAATATATATATTTCAACTAAATGCTGTTCTTTTGAACGTTCTATTCATCAAAGAACCCTGGGGGGAAAATCACAGTCTCCACAAAAAAAATTAAGCAGCACAACTGTTTTTTGAACATTGATATTAATAATGATAATAATAAATGTTTCTTAAGCAGCAAATCATATCATATTAAATTATTTTTGAAGGATCATGTGACACTGAAGACTGGAGTAATGATGCTGAACATTCAGCTTTGCATCACAGGAATAAATAACACTTTAAAATGTATTCAAATGGAAAACAGCTAATTTAAAATGTAATAATATTTCATAATATTACGGGTTTACTGTATTTTTGATCAATAAAACACATTATTTTAAGTGTGTGACACTTAAAATAACCTCTTCTATTTGTGGTTTCATCATCCTAAAACATATTTCTTAATTCCCGCTCATGTGAATCTCTGATGACACCTGCACAGGTACACCACACCCTCACCTGAAGACATAGAGCCATCAGGCACCTCTAACAGCAGAGGCAAACTAAAGCAGGTACACCCTCACTGCAGGCATCATGGGACATTCCAACAGTACTGCTCATGCTGAGGGGAGAAAGCACATAACTAAATGTTAATGTGTGCTTATGTTTCATACTAAAGTTATATTAGTAATATGAAGTGTTATCTTTGCAACACAAGGCTCTCTGGGTGTCATTGTATGTTTGTGTGAATATCTGGACAGGCAGACACAACCCCCAATCCTCTGGCCACTGAGGAACTCAATCTGCTCGCTAAACTGATGGGTGGAATGGAGGTGCAGAAACTTTTTAATGTGGACGCTGGTTTCAGAGTCAACCTGTGGACCTTAGATCAGGAGGAGGAGGAGGAGGAGGGCATGTAAGCATAACTAATCCAGACATAATCCTGCCACGTCCACACAACCTCAGAGGCATGGTTGATACTTCGTCCTTTATAAATACTGTGTGTGTGTGTGTGTGTGTGTGTGTGTGTGTGTGTGTGTGTGTGTGTGTGTGTGTGTGTGTGTGTGTGTGTATGTGTGTGTGTGTGTGTGTGTGTGTGTGTGTGTGTGTGTGTGTGTGTGTGTGTGTGTGTGTGTGTGTGTGTGTGTGTGTGTGTGTGTATAAAAGCATTTTCAACATCTAATTTTGTGTTGCAAATAATAATAAAGGCAAACTGTTGTTTTAAAATATCATTTTAAAGAAGGACTGAATAAAAATAACAGGTTAAAATGTTTGTTACTCTAACCTTTTCTCAAACTTTTTCAGTGGAATTTCTGAAGGAACAGAGCATCAGTCATCTAGAGTCATTAACATACAAGTCGCACAGGTGATGTGTCATGCACTTCACAAAACTGCTCATGTCCTCGTTTTGCTTTATTTTGTTGCCCAGGGCTGGCAATGTGCTATGCTTCTAGTAAAATCTGTTATCGTATGCTAATAAACACCAGTGTTGCTTCAGGGCATTCCATTCCATTCAAATGGAAGTTACAATGAAGGTAACACCAAAAAAAAAAAAACCACACATTTGTTCCTGTTAATTCAGGAATGTTTTATGAGTTTGTTTTAGTAGACAATTGCTTTATAAGTACACGCCAACATTTTATATCCATCTCATTCAAATTCCACGCTGGGTTTGTTGTAATCTTGAACCACATCAATACTACTGTAAAGAGACCAAATTGAAAATAATTTTTTACATTAGTTACACATCTATAAAATCATTTTATTATTACTGAACTTCAGTAAATGGCACAATAGAAATCACTTTAAAAAAAATATCAGTTCTTACTTATTCCTGAGTGTTTACCTTTGTATTCCAGGATCGGCTGGCCAGTACTGAGCTTGCACGCATAGCAGGAGAATTTGATGAAGAGGGAAGCCAGACAGAGGGACCCGGGAGCAAGGGAGGGAGACGACTTGCTGGCCATGATGGATGAGCTCTGAAGGGCAGTCGCTGAAGGCTATGAGTCAGGATGCATGAGGTAGGTCTGATAGGTCACAAAAATAATTGGGAGATTTGAAAATGCCTGGAATAGATACATTCAGAAACATAATTAAGAACAATCTGAAAGCAAAATTGTACTGTGTTTATGATTTTATTTAAGCTTAAATAAAATAAAATGCATAATGCAACGTGTTTTCAACTTTTTGCAATTTTTTTTTAACTATAGGCTAAAGGACAAATTTGTTGAAAAATGTCTCCTGAAACTGGCAGATCTGACAAAATCTCTTCGGGGGACGTCTTCAACGGGGAAATTAGTCATTTAAAAAAAAAAAATTCTAAAATGTCAGTTCAATTGATTGATGTTCGCTTTTTCTGACGCTGAACTTCTAATTTACGCACGCCCCACGATAACTGATTCATCTGTCAACTAGCCTAGTTTTTTACAGCAAAACAAAAGTCAAGAATTTTTAAGTTCACTGGAACAAAACGTCTCATTCTGCTGACAGAAAACCTATGATTACCTGCTGTTATTTATTAAAATCTCATTGTAACCTGTTTCTCTGGCACTTCGATTCTGTTGCATTGGTGGTTACAATATGTGTATCACAAAATCTATAAAGACTTGATTTAAATAACAGAAAAAACCCATAGAAAAACCTATAGCTTTTGGGTAAAAAAAAAAGGGCACAATAAAACCACACATGCATAAATTTAGACAACTGTCAAGGACGTATTAATTGATTTAATTAATCAAATAATATTTGATTTAATAGTTGAACTGTGTTCTCAGGATTAGATTTTAGTTCGGAGCAATTTTTCAGTTTTGAATGTTGTGTTTTAAGTAATTATTAGTTACTTTTCATAATTGCTGTAGTCAAATGTAGCATACACAGCAATTAATACATGTTAAATACAGGTATTTGTGGGTGCTTTTTAACTTTAGACAGTATTTAAATGTTAAAAACAAAGCTATTCTCAGCAGATGTCCATTGACAACACGCCCCGCCACACCAGTCAGTCACTGTGTTAAATGAATTGTCTTTGTTTCTTGAACAACAACGGAGAAAACAACCTATTTAACTTTAAGAATAAACCGAGATAAATATTCACTGAAAAAAAAGAATAACCTATGATGTTTATCCAAGCAACTCGAGTCGCTAGAGGGAGCGCGAAGAGCGCGAACGATTTCAACCGGTACGTCTTGATGACGTCACTCTCCTCTGCGACGAAGCGCGGAGCTCGAAACCTTTTAGGATGTGAACATGTTTTGAGCATGTTAGACAACATAAAGTAAGGTAATCAAACGAATATATTTACTTCAAGAGACATTTATGAGTGACCCTGGATTATGTGAGAGTTAAATGATCATAATAAATATTTCCTCACTGATCGCATTCTATATCTTTAGTTAAATATAGTTGCAGTTTAATATTTGTTGACGTCTTTTCATGATTCGCGACTAGTATCGTTTTCAATTTCGCTACTACTATTCGTTAAATGGTAACGTTACTTCATTAGATACTTATATTAATAGTATCTAATGAATAGTGACTAGTGTATTCATTTAACGTTAGTCTTTAGTACTTTGTCTTTGCAACTAGTCACTGTTATTGTTACTAGAATCAGACCGCAATTGCCAAATGAGGATCTTATAGTTGCTAGTAAAATTGAAAAGATACTAATCACTACTGAGATACTTAATAGTAACGTTAATTTAAAAAAAAGATCAACCTTTGTAGCATATAAATACATACTAGTTAGTTATAAATGTTAAAACTGGTGGTAAAATATATAGTGATATGTTGTAACTGATATATCTGGAAGAAGTGAGACCCATATTGGAAATGTGTAACCTCAAAATGAAAATTCAACAAGATTTTGTGTATATACAAACAACACTTTGTTTGATATTTTATTTATGCAATGCAAATACATTCTCTTTTTGTGGCTAAATAATTTAAATAATTAATTTAAATGTTTACAGAATTTGACTTTTTCATTCTGCATTTCACAGAAACAACAACAAAGCTTGACAACAAAGCTAATTTTCATATTTTCCATCAAACATTTAATTAGTAAAGGTGCTATATGTGGTTTGTCTGTCAGCAGGGCATCTCAGAAGCCTGTGATTATCATTAATTATGTGCATGTGTGCACATGCTCAAAAACATATAAATAGAAATGTTAAGTGTGTGGCTGGAGGTGTAATAATACAAATCATACATTTATTTGGGGCTGCCGTTTCACAGTTAATTGGCAGATAATCACCAGTATGTATCTGTACTTGTCATGAACAGTAAAAAAGAAATAAAATACAAAGAACGTTTTTAAATTCTCACACTGCCATTGTCTGACTGTTAATGATTTCTCTGTGATAGGTGAACATGGAAGTGAGCCATTCGATTCGTGAACGCACCATCGCCGAGAACAGCCTGGTGATTCTCCTGCAGGGTCTGCAAGGCCAGGTGACCACCGTTGACCTGCGAGACGAGAGCACAGCCAGGGGACGCGTTATTAATGTGGACGCTTTCATGAACATCCGGCTGGAGAAGGTTCTGTACAGGGACAGGCGTGGACATATGTCCAGTATGGATGACCTGTTTGTCACTGGCCGAAACGTGCGCTATGTCCACATCCCAGACCACATGAACATTCAAGAGACAATAGAGTCCCAGCTCGCCAAAATACACCGCGTGCGAAACTTTGGAGCAGGTGGTGGACGGAAAGAATACTCGAAGAAAAAATAGTTTATGTGTGAGATTTATGTTTTTGGAATGCGCACTATTATTTGTAATGCAGTCATGAAGCAAAAAGTAATGTGTACATTGTTGCTAGTTTGTAACTGAAATAGTTTGTTTGTGTTCTCAAGGAACAGTGTGGGAAAAGTGATTTCTGTTTACTTTGTACTGCTCTGGTGGTTTGAAAATAAACGGATAAATGTGATGAAATAACCATTGATTGATGAGGTCTTTAACTTGACGTTTTGTTTGATTAGACAACGCCTCTGATTACTGTGTTATTGTTCTTATTGCTGATGTCAATATCTTTTAACTGCAAGTACACTTATAATTAAGTTTATAGAGTTTACGTATGCAAATATTGGTACTTTAAAGCCCAATTCAACACACTGTTTGCAGGGTAATGAATGTTTCTGTGAACTTTTTTAAATTTGCCGTAAAATAGAAGGATTTTTTAATAAGATCAAAAGTATAACTAATAGAACATAGTCATTGACTGGACTTATCATGTAACTTGGGAAGTTATTGGAAAAGTAAATGTACTTTTACGTAAAGTTGTGTAAAATGAGCAATCAAATAAATTTGAGCCTTTAGATCAGACTAAAATCAGAAGGAATGCTTTTGTCTCCTAAGTTTCCTCATTCTTCTGTTTTTGTCTCAGCTTGAGGTCAATGTGGCAAGAGGTTTGTTTTAAATATTATTTTGCTTCCAGAATGCATACATTTTGCCATCGCTTATGAGGATGCAGGAATTTTTTGGTGACCACATAATCATCATCTTTGAAATGACTCATAAACCTCATTCCTGTTCGGACACAGGCCACAGTCACAGGAAAACAGGAGTATTCTGGTAAACAAAAACATTACACAACATAAAAAATTACATGTTGCCCATTATGAAATTTGAATCCAATTAGGGAAATGTCCTTTTTAAGGTGTTGATTTTTACTACATGCATTGTGTGACTACCAAATAAAGCTTGTTTGCAGTATGTTAAACAGGAAAAGTGACGCTTTGTCCTTTATGATGGGAAAAGTGGCTCAAACGTGCTGCGTAACTAGAATGAACCTCAGGTGAACATGCTCGAGGTTCCTTTTACCACAACAGATGTGTGAATTGATGATTGTTTAATAAAAGCCTAAATTTAATCTGTTCATCATATAAAGTGATCGTGTCTCTTCAGAAAATTTGACTATTGGCTACCACTCAATTCATATGGATTAGTTTTACGATCTCTTTATGAACTTTTTGAAGCATCAAAGTGGTAGTTTTGTAGCTGTGAACAGAGGGACAGAAAGATTATATCATTTCATATCTGTCAGATTCAACAAACACTTATCTGAAGAAGAGCATGGCTCGTTGTACCGTCAAAGATCGAAGGTTTTCATTGGTTGTTGCTAGGCTTGGGACGACGCACGGTTTAGAGTGGCTTCAGTGCGTGACTCGTTAGACGGGAGGGAAGAACACCATGGGGAACACAAAGAGCTCTTTTAATCCTGCATTAGCATGAAGCTGAGGTGCTGTGCCCACTGCATTTCACTACATTTCCTGTTCTGTTCCACCCCACAGGGTTAACCCTCAACAGACAGACCCCTCTCTCTCTCTCAGCATGATGTTTAGACGTGGCCCGTCCCAGAGGCTGGGCGGTCAGCCTTGTTCAAGCCTGCACACGCTGGCTGAGAGACATCATTCAGGTGCCCGAGTGTTTGAATGTTGAAACAGAAACAGATTTGGTTTGAGTTTTACATTTGCTATTACTTTTGAGCTCTGCATGTTGCATATGAAGGACATTTATTTTGTCTCCCGGCCTTTGTGAATGTTAACACTGTAGCCTAAGAACTTTCTCTGAAGAAAATTAAACAGGCCATGTTCGTTTACAAATGTATTTTAATCAGTTTGGGTGATTTTAATGTTATACTAATGACTCAGACAAAGAGACAATACTTGTCTTAATTGTATAAATCAAAATAGTATATTCACTACTACCTTTCAAAAGTTCAAGGTCATTTAAAAAAAAAAATGTTTATGATGTTACAATAGATTTCTATTTCAAATAAATTATATTTTTGAATTTTCTTTTCAAAGAATCCTGAAAAAAGTATCAGTGTTTCTTGAGCATCATATCAGCATATTAAAATGATTTCTGAAGGATCATATGACACTGAAGATGGAGTAATAATGCTGAAAATTCAGCTTTGATCACAGGAATAAATTACATTTTACAATATTTCAAATAGAAATTTGAAGCTATTTTAAAATGTAATAATAATATATAAAAATGTATATATATCAAATATAAAAATATAAAGTATATTGTATAGTATATGGTATGCATGATTTTATGGTATTTGTGTAGAACTGATTTGGACCCAAAGCATATTGTGAAAAGCATAAAATTTGTCTTTAGTACAACATAAGCAAAAATACCATTTCTTTCTTTTTTTAATGTTATCTTTATAATTTCATACTACTATTTTCTATTAGGGGCTTATATAACTGCCTTTCACGAGGGGATTGTCATATATTAGGTCCTTGGCATCAGAACATTTCTTATTTGAGGCCACTGTTTAGTGTATAAACGACAATACTAGACCATTCATTTAAACTATACTCACTTCATTCAGCAAAGCATCGATAGTCTGTCTGAGATTAAAGAAAACAAGTTGTGTGTTTTACTGTGGTTTACACACCCACACACACACATTCAAACATGTGTGGACGTGAAGAAGAGGTTTACAATGATCTGTGGACCAGCGGGTGTGAAATGTGGCCTGGATCTCACTGCCATCCTGAGGGTGTAAACTCTCCTGTCGCGCGCCCCTCCCTGACTCTATTTTCCCCTCTGACAGGAAACACCTCCCTTCACCCAAACTGCTTTTCTATGGTCTGGTCCCAGTGAGAGAGACGCTGTGTGTGTATGTGTGTGTGTGTGACCGCAGAGGGCTGCTTCTGCTGATGTCAGGCACAGTGTGTGAAGACGGGAACTCAAGCACCTCTCAGTGTTTCGTGTTCCTGCTTTATCTTCCAGTGTGCTGAGGTCACACCGCCTCTGGATACGGGACTCATCTTTCTTCCGCCGGGACATTCTGGATTGAAATGATGGTTCGTTAGAAAAGGTAAGAAATTAAATACTGCATTTTTGCAAACTAGTTGACTTTAAATTAAGATATAATGTGACATGGTGGGTGGATTAGTATAGCTTGCTTTTACTTTTAAACTATTTTTGTATGCTAAAAAAAATAACCGAGTGAAAAATCCCACAGCCTGAAGGAGAGTCTTGAGTCATATCTAAAGACCAGAGTATCACAGGGACGTAAGGGCTGACTCTTCTGAGTTGGATCAACAGCACAGCAACCACAACACTCATAGAAACACAACAACCTAGCAATTGCATAGCAATGCCCTAGCAACTACCCAGAACACCCCGCATTGAAAAACACTAGGTACTAGGCACAACATCCTAGCAACACCTTAGCAACTGCATAGCAATGCCCAAGCAACCATCCACAACACCCTAGAAATTGCATAGTAACACATTAGCAACTGCATAGCAACGCCCTAGCAACACCTTGTATACAACCAATTGTATAGCAATGCCTTAGCAACTGCATAGCAAAAACATAGCAACCATCCACAACACCCTAGCAAGCACCCACAACATCCTAGCACCATGGCTGTGAGAAAGTACCACTCGCATTTTTCCGAAAATATAAAAATCTATTTTATTTGCTTTGTTTTGGTTGCATATAAACCATGTGAGGCGTATGGAAGTGCCACTAAATAAAAAAAATAAAAAGGTAATTGCGACTTTTTATCCCACAGTCTTGACATTTTTTTCTCTGAATTCGTACTTTTGGAATTGCGTGATATAAAGTCGCAATTGCGAGTTATAAAGTCCAGTTCTTAGGAAAAAAAGACCGACTTTATTTCTCAGAATTCAGAGATTATGATTATGACGACTTTCTATCACGCAATTCCAAAAAAAAGTCAGAATTGCGAGGAAAAAGTCAGAAATGTGAGATATAAAGTCGCAATTACCTTTTTTATTTTTCTATTCCGTGGCAGAAACAAGCTTCCATAGAGGCTTGAGTTTAGAACAAAAAGATTGTTGAAAAAATTTTTCTTCAATTTTCTTCTTAAAGTTTTTCAACTTTAAATTATAAATAAACTTTTTGAACAAACTAGTTTTTGTCTGATTGCTAATGTTTTTAATAATGTGACTATGAAAAACATATTTCTTGTGACACTGAAAAAACAAAAGAAAAGATGCTGTATGTTTGCTGATTGGAGAATAGAGGAAAGCACGAGCTCAGCAGCTCCTCAGACCTCTGCTGCTACATGCCCTTCTTCTGGGAAAGGATCTGACAGGTGTGAGATGGTATGTGTGTTTGAGAGCTGTTTCGTCCTGTGCTGATGATTCACTCCGGCCAGCGAGCCTCTGTCTGGTATGCTGTGTCTCTGACGGGAGTATTTTTGGAGCTTGTGGCGTACGTCCCACGCTAATTGGCACTTGGAGCAGAACTTGACCATGTTTACAAGCTTTTAGTGTAATCTTATATTTCTGGTATCCTAGTTCCTGTTTGTCATTTGTGTATGTGTGGGGATGTAGTTTGTGTTTCTGAACCCACTGGATTGCAGAGCGACACAAAGAGAAGTATCCCTGCATTTAAACATTTCACTACTGGGTGAACAATTTATTGTTAAAAATTTGCTCTTTCAGTGCTCAATAGAATTTTTTTTACTTATTTTTATATAAAGTATTAAAATGTATTATTTATTACTATTATCATATCAATAATGTTTTTAAAATAATAATTATTCTTGTATTATTATAATACATTTTTAATAACTATGTAATATTCAATATAATACTACTACTATGACAACTACTACGACAAATATTATATATATATATACATACATATACACACACACATATTATCATCATCATCATCTTTATTATTATAATGATTATTGTATAATTATAATAAACTTTAGTTATATATATATATATATATATATATGTGTCAAAATATTATATTATATAGATAATATAATATACAATTATTAGAATCATTAAGGTCACCATAATTATTATTGTATAATTATAATAATATTATATAATTATAAACATTATTTATAATATAATATTGTATAATTAATTATATTAAATGTATTATTAATAATATTATTGTTGATGTTATTATATTATTCAAATTTAATATAATAATTTAATATCCAATATACTACCACTACTAATTATTATTAATATTATATTGAATAATATTGTTTAATAATATTAAACATTATAAATATAATTATACAATTATCATAATTAATATATTAATAATACTGTATAACAACAACAATTGTTATTATTATTATTATTATTATTATTATATTTAATCATATATAATAAAAAACTGAATTTTTAAAACAATTATGATAATTTGATTATTATAATTTGGTCCTGGAAAAATAGAATGAGAAAAGTGAGTTCATGCTGTGATCATATTTTGATATATAGTCTGTTATTTCTTAAGCACAAAGATGTTCTTATTTGTGTCTGTTTATTATTATTAACATCTGAGATAATAATTTATTACTCAAAAATAAGATCATTAAATCTCATGAGCTATGAAAAAGCAAAAAAAACATTTCTTTAGGCATCTGTGAGGAGAAAAGTAGAGCATTTTGACTCATTGAAAGCTACAAAAGGACAAACGATCTGTAAACATAATGTGCTTCGCTCTGGTGTGCTTTGTGCCCTTGCTCTGCCAAGAGCGTGGCAGATAGGGATCGGGGCGGCCGAGACTTTGGGCCTTGATGGCGTAGATTACAGTTTGCTGTAATTACAGGCCCCAAGAGGAAACAAACAGGAAGACAATATCATGGCACCTCTTCCGTGATCTCGGCATGGTCTCAGCGACTGCAGGTTTTATGGTGTGGACGCACACAGGGAGTCACCGCATTTATAGTCTGATGCTTTTTATCGCTTCCTCGCTTGGGCCGGAGGAGTTTCTTGCCAAGCACACATCCAGGACTCGTGTGGCTCCGGCACATGACGGCTTGGGAAATCCAGATGTTCAGCTTTAAGACTCCCCCTCCTCCTCGTTTCCTTCTTGGAGAGAGTGACACAAGCTGGATCCATCCCAGTTTCCCAGGGAAGAGTCCCACGCAGACCCCGAGCAGCATGTGAACGTCTTCATAAAATCTCGGTTCCTGTGGGAAAAATGGGAAAGTCTGTCTGGGAGCAAAGAGTGAGTACTGGGTCAATGCAAAGACAACAGCAGTAACAAATGGCCTGTGTGGAAAGAGATGATATAATGATCCTTAATAGCAGTCCTTAATGTGCAATTTCAGCCTCAGGGGCCAAAATAAACAAGTTAGGGAGTGTTTTTCTAATTAAGGATGGCGCGCCATGTTGTTTCAGTCGTCCTTGTGATACTAAAGCATGCAAGTATAAGTATTACAATTATTTATTTATTTTTTTAAACATAGCCAAAAGTAAACTTTTGCACGCAACTCAACACTGATTGGGCTACTAACCCGAATGATAGGCAACCTAAAATCATCATAGCAACCACACAAAACATGGAAACAACAACAGGAACAACCCAGAAAACCCTAGAAACAGAATAGGAACATGGATGTAAACCAACCACAACACCCATACGTTTAAATAGGGTTCTTTCTTCAATTGATAGGCAATTTCGGAGAGGCTAGCAATAGCGAGCTAGCTTTAAAAGCATGAGATCCCACCCTCCCTTCGGAGCAGCCGTGCCTCCTTCGTGTACAGCAGAGTCTGCAACGAGTCATGATTCATGAGAGATGGTATTATATTACCTCATGTTTCAAAGCACATACCATTACGATAATAATGAAACGTAAACAACTTGAAGAGCACTGACCTGTATCACCAGACTGCTGCAGATTCATTTCGCCGCTGACATTGACGCATAAATCCCAGTCTGAGGAACGTGAACCGCTGCGAGTAGAGCGTCACGGGTTGCCATCTCGTAATTACGGTTATGAACTTTTACTGTATGGTTATATGACATGGCGTGGTTCAGGAGGAACTGTAAAAGGTGGCTATTGTGTGTTTGTGGCGCACAGTGTTTGTGACTATGGAAATACATATGTTGACAGGTAGGTAGGAGATCGTAACATTGCATTTGAACTGCATGCAATGATTGGACGAACATTTTTGGATCCTGGGACTTCCACAGAAGATAAATGTTCATGCTTTAATATTTAGACCACTTCTATTATTGATTGCTATCAGGATGTGAAGAGTTTTAACCAGTATAACAAAAAGTGTTTATATATAAAAATTGCCCAACAATTAAATGTATGTCTGCTCTTCTCTTAAGTATATCTATTTTTTCCCCACCACAGTGGCTGAAGGTCGAGGTGCGATAAAGTAGAGAAGAAGAGAAGCCATCATGAACCCCATAAGGAAAGACATGGAGCTGCTGAGTAACAGCATGGCCACTTACGCACATATAAAAGGTAAAAGAGCAACACAAATGGTTCATTAATGCCCAGGTTAAGAACTCAAGTGCTGAAAGGCACCTGGCTAAACAAAGATTTGGGTCGGTTTTACTGAACTTTATGCCCCATCGCACTTCTGACCTCAAAAACAAAATAACAAGCCATTCCTTAGACTTTAGTGTTCTGTTTGATTTGGCTTCACACCTCTGACTTCATGAGACACGGCTTAAACGTTCCTAAAGACTTCTTTCTCTTTTTCTCAGGGGCTTAAGATTTTTCTTTAATGTCAAGTCAGTCTAGAAAATTTACAAACCACATTACAAGAACTTTACTCTTAATAATATGTATGTTAGAATGATTTCTCAAGGATATATTTAAAGAGAATACATTTTAAACCGAAATTATATTTCTGTTATATTGTTGTTACTGTGTTTGATCAAATAAATGCAGCCTTAAGCATAAGAGACTTCTTTCATAAACATATGAACCCCTAACTTCTGAACAGTGGTGTATGTAAATTAATACATTCATATTTTTATTTTGGGCTCACTTTTAACTCAAGCATGTTCTTGACAATTTCCCTCCCGTGTTTAATACAGTGAACATGGAGAGCTTCGCGCTGTACTTCATGTTGGGTGTGTGTTCAGGTCTTCTGCTGGCTCTTGTCCTCCTCATGCTGGGCATCACCTGCCGATCGCACTCAAAGACAAAGACGCCCTCCACACCGGACAAGAGACGGCTAAAAGAGTCCAGCGAGGATGAGGAAGACAAGGAAGAGGAGGACAGTGAGGCAGGAGACGACGAGGACCTAGAAGTCCCAGTGCTCACCGTCAGTCCCTTGAGCGATCAGACCCAGCTGAACAGCATGAATGTGTTCGCTTCAGCAGAAGAGCTGGAGAGAGCCAGAAGACTGGAGGAGAGAGAGCGAATCGTCAGGGAGATCTGGAGGAACGGACAGCCGGATATACTCGTCATCGGAACAGGCACACTGGGTCGAGTGCACTATCACTAGTGGTGTGTTTTTTTTACCTTCAGGACACAGTTGTTTCATGCATACAGAGAACCCTACATGGTGATGTAACAAAAAAAATTAGATGGGAGGAAAAATTATATTTCAATGCTTTTTCTCTGGCAAAACATTTATATTCTCTTGAGAAACTTTGCGTTCTGTTGCAAAACTTGTGATTGAAATAATATGAGGTGAGAAGAAAAACAAATTTTCAGTGGTTTTGTAAGTTTCTCAGGGGAACACCATACTTTTGCTAGAGAACGCATTGAATTTGAAATATATTTTTTTCCCCATCACCACATGCAAATATTAAATGCCACAGGACATTTATCTGTGCAACAGATTTAGGTGTAATATACCTTTAAAAAGAGAAGGATTGAGAGTTTGATTTGCATACGTCTGTTTTGAGGTTGGTTTCACAAGCCTGTCTTCTGAATGATCATTTGTATGTTTTGATGGATCAATTTTCTTTTTCATTTTTTTTTACATCTATAAATACATTTTTGTATATATAAATACATATTAAAACTTAAATGTTTGTGTATATATACTTTGTATTTTTTAAATAAAAACAAAAACAAATATTTTCACCCAATCTTCACACATGGTGGAAGATGCACCCTTCACCTTCCATAATGCTAAATTTAAGTTTCATTTTTCCATATCCCTACTCTCCCATCTTAAAGGATACAATAAATAATAGAATTTATTGAACAGTAGTCGCACAATTTAACGCAATAGACAAATTTAAAAGCTTAAATACATTTTGTGAGGAAGAAATAATAGGAAGCACTTTAACAAAAAATATTTATGCTTTCCATTCATTCAGCTGCAGTAAGTTTAGCACCATAATAAAATGAATGTTCTTTGCAAAAGTGAATATGTACAGAAAAACAAAAAAACTAATTAAGAATCTTAAAGGGATAGTTAACCCAAAAATGAAAAATCGGTCAATAATTACTCTCTCATGTCGTTCCAAACACGAGAAGGAACCAATGAGGTTCATTCTCGTGTTACGCAGCACGTTTGAGCTTCAGCAAGAACCAATGAGGTTCATTCTCGTGTTACGCAGCACGTTTGAGCTTCTGTAAGAACCAATGAGGTTCATTCTCGTGTTACGCAGCACGTTTGAGCTCCTGTAAGAACCAATGAGGTTCATTCTCGTGTTACGCAGCACGTTTGAGCTTCTGTAAGAACCAATGAGGTTCATTCTTGTGTTACGCAGCACGTTTGAGCTTCTGCAAGAACCAATGAGGTTCATTCTCGTGTTACGCAGCACGTTTGAGCTTCTGCAAGAACCAATGAGGTTCATTCTCGTGTTACGCAGCACGTTTGAGCTTCTGCAAGAACCAATGAGGTTCATTCTTGTGTTACGCAGCACGTTTGAGCTTCTGCAAGAACCAATGAGGTTCATTCTTGTGTTACGCAGCACGTTTGAGCTTCAGCAAGAACCAATGAGGTTCATTCTTGTGTTACGCATCACGTTTGAGCTTCAGCAAGAACCAATGAGGTTCATTCTCGTGTTACGCAGCACGTTTGAGCTTCTGCAAGAACCAATGAGGTTCATTCTCGTGTTACGCAGCATGTTTGAGCTTCTGCAAGAACCAATGAGGTTCATTCTCGTGTTACGCAGCACGTTTGAGCTTCAGCAAGAACCAATGAGGTTCATTCTCGTGTTACGCAGCACGTTTGAGCTTCTGTAAGAACCAATGAGGTTCATTCTCGTGTTACGCAGCACGTTTGAGCTTCAACAAGAACCAATGAGGTTCATTCTCGTGTTACGCAGCACGTTTGAGCTTCAGCAAGAACCAATGAGGTTCATTCTCGTGTTACGCAGCACGTTTGAGCTTCTGCAAGAACCAATGAGGTTCATTCTCGTGTTACGCAGCATGTTTGAGCTTCTGCAAGAACCAATGAGGTTCATTCTCGTGTTACGCAGCACGTTTGAGCTTCAACAAGAACCAATGAGGTTCATTCTAGTGTTACGCAGCACGTTTGAGCTTCTGCAAGAACCAATGAGGTTCATTCTCGTGTTACGCAGCACGTTTGAGCTTCTGCAAGAACCAATGAGGTTCATTCTCATGTTACGCAGCACGTTTGAGCTTCTGCAAGAACCAATGAGATTTTTTCTCACACAAACTTTTTGAAGCGTCAAAGTGTCAGTTGCGTAGCTGTCAATGTAGGGACAAAAATCTCTCAAATTTCATCAAAAAGATCTTCCTTTGTGTCCTGAAGATGAACGAAAGTCTTACGGGTTTGGAACGACTTGAGGCCAGGTGAGTAAACTAAACGATGACAGAATTTTCATTTTTGGGTGAACTATTCCTTTAAATGTAAATTGCTGTAAATCCAGGGTGTCCAATCCTGCATCTGGAGAGCAACCTTCTTCCAGAGTTTAGCTCCATCCTAATCAAACACACCCGAACCAGCGAATTAACTTCCAGGCAGATGTGTTCCAGCAGGTTAGAACGAAACTCTGCAGGAGCATGAATGGACATCCTGACACTTAAAATGTTTAAAAAAACAAAACAGTAACTGTATTGCACTGCAACATGAGATTTTAATCACCAAATGCTCACATGATATTTTGTAACTAGTACTACAGCTGAACCTCATCATAACGGCTCTTCACTAAAAGGCACCAGCTGTCGAGAGCAGCTGTTATAACCGATGTGTCTTACAAGACCAAGGCAACTCGAAAGAAAAGATCACGTGTAAAACAGAGGACGGGCTTTATTTCAAATTCACCATGGAGACTGAAAGCACTGAATTATCAGTTTGTAAATGTCAACAGAACGTCACAGCGTTACAGTATAATGTCATCACAAAGCAGGATTAAAGAAAGCAGTCAAGTCCCCCAGAGTATCCTTACAACACAACTGAACAGTGCAGCAAACAGCGATCAATGGAAGAAAAACCACATGATCTAAACACATGCAGCATGAACTAGTTTACATTTTGGTTGATAGTTAAACACAAAGCTTCGTCTTGCATGTTCTATTATTATCTACACTTTAAAATCAGATGAATGATTTAAAACTGACAAGAATTTTTTGCTCAAAATAGAAAAAAAATGTATTATGTTTTAAACTTCACAAAGTAATTGGACTATTTTTTTTTTAAGTCATTAGTGGCATCATTTAAGGGAAGAAAATTAACTAAATTGGACGTTAAATATAGTTGAGAACCCATTTGTTAGGACAAGGACAATCTTAATCTGTACATTTTAAACAGACACTTTTCTGGAGAAAATCGGCCCCAGTACACAGTGTATTGGTCCGCAAGGGATATGCTCCAATAAGACTGAACCGTACACCAATGACATTATGAAATATAAATGAATGAATTTACATGCAATTCCAAACATGTAAAGGGGAAAGTCTACTGGCAGAAATTATCAAAATTAAAACAAAAAATAAAAAGGAATCATAAAACTACAGTTAAATCTAAGGCACAAGTGCACAGATTTTTTATTGCACTTTTTAAATGAAAATCAATTATGAATGACTGAATTTTTTCCTTCAAATCATCACCCCCCCCCATGAACCTCGAAAACAAGCGAAAAACGTGAAAACTGAAAAAAAAGTAGCAGATTGTGTGATGCTATAAACGACATGGCTCTACCGTATGGGGCTTCACAGTCCAACACCTGAACACACGAGGATGCATTTCTCACGAGGGCTCTCGTTGAGTTAGAGACGGTAGAGGAGAACAGACACAAATGGGTGCCGATCCGTCTATGGCTTGGAAGCAGTGCTTTCGCCAGACTTTTCGTCATCTTTGTGCTCTGCGCTGCCATCTCCCAATTCTCCCTCTTCAGCGTTGCCCTGGAACATGTCGTGGGTCCACTTGGGGCTGCCGCCGCTTTTGCGAATAATGAAGGTGCCCCTGCTGCGGGGGAAATTGCCTCTGCCGCGCCCCCGAGTGTCCACCCACTTCATCTCCCCTTCCTTGTCCCGGTCGTCATGCTGCAGTTAGACGAGAGAGAAGTAAATTGAAACTCTCCTATTGGCCACCATGCAGCTTATTCTGTCCCAAAATTGCGCACTTATACAGGAAGAGACTGTCTGAGTGACATGCGAAGCAACCAACCACCAGTTTTTGTTTTTAGCGTAAAGTCTAGGGGGGGGGGGGGGGGCGCGTGTATCTGAGATCAAAGCTAGTAATCACACCTGGAAGTACTTCCGACTCTTGGGGGTGTATTCGGGGTCCCACTCTTCCTCTGGGGGGCGTGAAGGGCCGCCCATAATTGGAGGGTTGTTATTGGTGTTGTTGCCAGGGTAATTTCCTCGGTTCCATCCTCTTCCTCTCATTCTGGGCTGCAAATACAAGAGAAGCACAGATCAACTGAGATGTCCAAGATATATGAGAAAACAACTTCAGGATCATTGTGCCACAAATACAAAAGTAGGCGGAATTACAGAATCCAGTTGTAAAAATGGAATTTACTGTATAACGCGGAAAATCACAGAATTTGGATTAATAAACCAAAAGTAGTTCTGGATACAATTAGTCAAATTCAGATTCAGATTCAGATACCTTTACTAGTCCCCAAGGGGCAATTCAGTTTTACAAATTGTGCTATGGAATAAGTAAGAGATAATGTACATCCAGCTGGTTGTTATCTCAGAATAAACCCTGACAGAGTGATCAAGACGTCTCGCTTCCGCGGAGAGAAGTTGTTAGCGCCCCAAGTTCAAACTAGACGGACATTTAAGGGACACAGTACAGTCATACCACTTATTACACAGATTTCACTACATATATAATTATGGGGATAAAAGATGTTGGTTTCAGATTAAACTGTTTTAAAATCATACCTGTGTGTTATCTTAATAGTCGCAAAAAGAAAAAACGTTCCTAGCAAGCATTTAGTGCCGCTGACTTCAGCAACCCGGACGAGCCCGTTTTATGTTTTCAGCGGTTGTTGTGGGGAATAACATGGATGGCAGGATTGACCAATCAGAATCAAGTATTCTACAGAGCCGTGTAATAATGTCTGATTTAAACCAGCAAAACGACTGCTGTGTCTGCATTCCACATGAAAGTTTTACTCAAAATATCATTATTGTACAGTAGATCGTACTTCTCGAAGTAATGATAAAATGTATTAAAACTATTTTTTATAAACATTTTTCATCCATGATTAAATTTAAACAGTTAACTTCTGTAGTGTGCCAACATTTTTATATTACACTTTAAAAGATTATATAATTTTTACGCATTCATTTGATAACAACCATTTTTGATAATATATTTGTATTAAATCATGAAACACAGAATTTAAAAAAAATTAAAACGGGAAAAAAAATTACAGAAAATTTTATTGGTCACTATTATTGTTAGTTTTAAATATTATGTTATAAATTAAATTAATCAGACATGCTTTTTATTAAAACCAAATTAACAAAAGAGAATTTGGGAAAAATTTAATTGATTTCATCCTAAACTATAGTGAGCTGCCTACCAAGACAACATTTCAGATTAGGCTTATTTATGATAGTTTAGCAACATGCTAGCATCAGACTCTTTCTCTGAAAATTACAACACTCAGGATTGGGAATGAAGCCAGCGAGGAACAAAGCTCGACATTAAGCAGTGATAACTGCAGTAACAAATTCCATCTGTAACTCATCAATGATCAAGTCGTATAAATGTCATGAGAACTGCAGAATACTTACAAATCCCCGATCGTAACCCCCACGACCCCTGTCATATCCTCCTCGGTCGTATCCTCCTCTTCCCCTCTCATAACCCCTGTCCATGTGGCCCTCATAGTCCCGAGGGCCGCGCTCCATGGGCCCGGGAAACTCCCTTGACCCCAGGCGGGCCTTGTTAAAACCCCCTCCTCCTTCCATGTGCTCCTCCGGATGGTACTCTTTTCCTCTGTATGGATGAGGAGAGGGAGAGGAGGAGGAAGATGATGATGAGGAGGGCGAGCGCTCCCGCTTCTTCTTGCTTTTCCTTTAGAATGAGGGAGAACAGAGTTAAAAATAGTCTATTGAGTGACTGCCAAATGATTCTGTGATTAATGAATGTTTTGAAATGATAGAATAGCGAAGAGCTGTAATTTAACGTCTTTTACTGTTAAAAGTCCAGCCCAAGCAAACGCTGTAATAGAAGCGATTCTACAACAATGATGATCAGTAGGTTCACTGAGGTGAATATGAGGATAAAGATGACATGAGTGTATATATTTGCATTTCCCAAAAGAGATAGTGGTGCTTGAAAGGCAGCAAAAGAACGAGTGTTAAACTTAGACTACGGTTTTAAGCTACGAGTCGATGTAAATTAAAAGCCACATCAGAGCTGCTTTGCCATCTGTTGGACGAGTATGAGAATAAACACACGACATAACACCATCTTTGCACTATAAAGTTAAATAGAAAAAAAACTAAACAAAAAACAAATTGCAATTAAGTATGCAAGTAAATGCAATAAAATGACAAATCCCAATTCGGTATCAAAAAACATTGTCATGGGAGTTTCATAATTTAAGAAAAATGACTTGCATTGTTCATACATTATATATATATATTAGGTATGGTCATGAATACTCGAACGTGACAGCGAAGATCGATCATGAAAACGAATGTTTAAAGGCCCGCAGTGATGACTGTAATCACTTTGATCATAAACTTTGTTTATTGTTCAAATTAGGGATGCACCGATACCACTTTTTTTCAGACCAAGTACAAGTACTTACATTTGGGTACTTACCGATACCAAGTACCGATATGAGTACTTAATAATACCATTACAGTTCTTCTAACAATGTTTTATTTTCATCAGATGTGTTTCACTTTCTGACTGTAACAAAGTATTAAAACTATACAACTTATATAATCAAATTGCTTGTGTTAAAGGAGCCATTTCTCACCCCTCCTCTTGACAATTCAGCAGAGCATAGTTCGCAGTATGCTCTACTTTTATCATCGCTTATCTTAAAATATCTCCAAACGGCTGACATTACTCCTCCGACTACCTGCTCAACTGATGAAAGGTTAGGCTGTCACGTTGCCATAAGGGGCCGTTCACATATCGTGTTTTTTGTGCATGCAAATCTGTTATTTCAAATGTGGGTGCGAGGCAATCGCGCTCATAAGGAGTAACACGCATGCGTCACGCATCCTTTTTCCAGGCACGCCTCTGTTCATGGTTGCATAGCAACGACAGACGTCACGGGAGCGCAAGCGCTTGTGGAAAGGAGAAACATTTTATTTAAATGGTGCGGCCACGCTTTCCACGCATTTTTAGACGCGATGAACGGCCCCTTAAAGTAGTATCAGGTGTGGTTGTATCGGGGTAGTTTTACGAGTACATGAGCACAGTATCAGACCGACACCCGAGTACTGGTATCGGTGCATCCCTAGTTCAAATAGTTCCTGTATGAAGTGCAAGACGCGCAATCTGCCATATACATCGCATTATAAAGAGAACAAGATTGTAATAGAACGTTGTAAATGATTTGTGCTTTAGGTGCTTTCACACTGGCAGTTTAGTTTGGCACGGGGCACGCATGAAAAATCGCTAATGTGAACGCTGTCATGTGGACCTGGGTGCGCACTGGGGTACTGAACCCGAGACTACCTGGAGGAGGTGGTCTGAGTTCGGTTGCACTCGAACCGTGCTGTGGTTCACGTGAATGTGAAAGCAGCACAGACTCGGGTGCGCACTTGTTCAGGAAGTAAAGTAATCTGCGCATGCATTTAAAGGATGTGTTTGGTTAAGTTTATTAACTCTCTAGCAAATCGCTGCAGGGTGGTGTTTATTCAGTTTCAGCTCAAATGCAGAGATGATCAGTTTCTTCTTAAAAACATTGATGCATCATAATCTAGCAGTGTTATTTTTTCTTGTCATATGCTCTAGTTTCATAGACATGAACATATGACACTGTTAGAAAATAACACTGTTAGATTATGATGCATCAATGTTTTTGATGCATCATAACCCCCCCCCCCCCCCCCCCATATATATATATATATATATATATATATAAAATGTTATAGATAGTTTCAGCCTTACATGCGTGTGTGTCTATTATATATATATATATATACACTCACCGGCCACTTTATTAGGTACCCCATGCTAGTAACGGGTTGAACCCCCTTTTGCCTTCAGAACTGCCTCAATTCTTCGTGGCATAGATTCAACAAGGTGCTGGAAGCATTCCTCAGGGAGTTTGGTCCATATTGACATGATGGCATCACACAGTTGCCGCAGATTTGTCGGCTGCACATCCATGATGCGAATCTCCCGTTCCACCACATCCCAAAGATGCTCTATTGGGTTGAGATCTGGTGACTGTGGAGGCCATTTTAGTACAGTGAACTCATTGTCATGTTCAAGAAACCAATTTGAAATGATTAGAGCTTTGTGACATGGTGGAAGTAGCCATCAGAGGATGGGTATATGGTGGCCATAAAGGGATGGACATGGTCAGAAACAATGCTCAGGTAGGCCGTGGCATTTAAACGATGCCCAATTGGCACTAAGGGGCCTAAAGTGTGCCAGGAAAACATCCCCCACACCATTACACCACCACCACCAGCCTGCACAGTGGTAACAAGGCATGATGGTTCCATGTTCTCATTCTGTTTACGCCAAATTCTGACTCTAACATCTGAATGTCTCAACAGAAATCGAGACTCATCAGACCAGGCAACATTTTTCCAGTCTTCAACTGTTCAATTTTGGTGAGCTCTTGCAAATTGTAGCCTCTTTTTCCTATTTGTAGTGGAGATGAGTGGTACCCGGTGGAGTCTTCTGCTGTTGTAGCCCATCCGCCTCAAGGTTGTGCGTGTTGTGGCTTCACAAATGCTTTGCTGCATACCTCGGTTGTAACGAGTGGTTATTTCAGTCACTGTTGCCCTTCTATCAGCTCGAACCAGTCTGGCCATTCTCCTCTGACCTCTGGCATCAACAAGGCATTTCCGCCCACAGAACTGCCGCTCACTGGATGTTTTTTCTTTTTCGGACCTTCTCTGTAAACCCTAGAGATGGTTGTGCGTGAAAATCCCAGTAGATTAGCAGTTTCTGAAATACTCAGACCAGCCCTTCTGGCACCAACAATCATGCCATGTTCAAAGTCACTCAAATCACCTTTCTTCCCCATACTGATGCTCGGTTTGAACTGCAGGAGATTGTCTTGACCATGTCTACATGCCTAAATGCACTGAGTTGCCGCCATGTGATTAGCTGCTTAGAAATTAAGTGTTAACGAGCAGTTGGACAGGTGTACCTAATAAAGTGGCCGGTGAGTGTATATATATATACATACACACACACACACACAAGTGGACATCCGAGTCCGTGTTGATTTTTCATGCAAACTGTGCCCCGTTCCAAACTAAACTGCCAGTGTGAAAGCACCCTAAAGCACAAATAATTTACAACGTTCAATTACAATCTTGTTCTCTTTATAATTTGACTTGACTTGTAAGGCTGAAACAATATACACAATTTATAGTGAATCTGTACATTTAGCTGAATTAGAACTAGAGAATTACAGGATTTACAATATAGAACATTAAAAATAGAATGTTTGAAGAATAATACAGTGCTGCCTTCCAAACATGGTTTTAGATATGAATAAAGTGTTCCACTGTAAATTAAACTGACACAAATCATTAGTCCAGTAAACAAGCACAAGACAATATGAAACAGGCTCAGAAATCAAGTACTAGTATTCAAATATTATTCATCAGAAAGAATATGACATCTTTAACATACTTTGCTTTCTTGTGTTTGGAGGATCTGTCAGGGGAGAGTTCATGACTGGGCGTGCGTGAGCCAGCTGAACTCTTTCCCCCCTCTCGTTTAGGATCCTTTTTACGGCGCTCAATAGCCAAACGAAGGTCCAAAGATTCGCCCTCATGTTTTTTACCATGATCCTGAGGAGACACAATAATGTCCATAATAATTAACACATTTGATTTCTGAATCCATACAGTGTAAACAACTAAATGTACAAGTTTCTTTATTTTGTGTTGAACTATATGATTTCAACTGAACTTAAATAAATTAATCAAATGTTATTTTTGGACTGAACTATCCTTTTAAACTTAAGTCATTACAAACCCACAACTTTCTTTTTGACAGATGATGATGTTTAGCAGAATCTCCAGCATGCTCTATTCCAAACAATGAAAGTGAAGGTTGACTACTTTGTTTGGACTATTTTCATGCGATTGCTGCAACTTGACACAGCATTCATCCTCATTCACTTTCATTGCAAAGAAAGCATGTGGGAGAATCTGATACAGATTTGAAAGATGAAATCATTTTTGTGTGAACTAACCCTTTAACATGATTTTAATTCATATATTATTCAATTTGGATTAACCTAAACACAGGAAGAGATTGAGAACATTTGTCTCACACTGAAATGGCAGATGCTTATGACAATGAGTCAAAACCCAGCTGAAAAACTCCATCTATTGGTCATGTTTAGGAATAACCTCAATGTCAAATTTTTCATTTTTAGTCACCCTCTATGACTTTACAGTGTAGGCTGATTTAGGCCAAGTTGTGATGAAACCAATGAAATATGTGCAATTTTAATAAATAATGTAAACATAATATATTCGACACCCACTGAAAATGTGACAGACGTCTATCAAGACATGTGACAAAAAACGAACCAAAACAAAAACGCACAGATCTCATGGGAAAGCAGCATGCTCCATGCTTTCCCAATACTGATTAGTACTGAGCCTCATTTTTTTTTTTTTTTCATAAACACATTTTTGAGGAGATATACTTACTATTGCATTGGTTAGCGATCCAGTGAAAGGCTTGGACACAGGATCAATTTTCACTTCCTTTTGTTTAGCCATTTTGTTTGGGCAAGTATGTACCCACGATTAATCATACGACAAACTCTGGAGGGTGAGAGCGTAACGCTCAGTAATACAAGATTGAGATTGGGGCTCTTGTGCATTAGCATTTTACACCTCATAGCACATTTCTGCTGGTACACATTTGGGCAGGAATTTCAGATTTGAAAACGCTGTGTCACCTTGTAGCTGCTCTCTTCGAAATCCTCAAACAGGTGAGTGTGCTTCTTAAAAGCACTGGGAGACACATCGATTCGCCTGTGAAAGAACATGCAAAAAAAAAAAAAACATTAAGAAAGGACGAGAGGAACAAGGCATCTAAACCATAAGATACATCATGAATGAGAGCAAATACACCTACCTGTGGATCTCAGGACTCTTTCTCGGCTTCATCATTTCCAGCTCTGCAGCTTTTCTTTGGTATATTCCAAATCGCTCATTCAGAGTCATCCCGGATGACTTGAAATGTTGAGCTACAAGAGAGTAGAAAAAAAATTTCTTACATGCCACCATATTAATACATTCAAAAATTAAGACAAATTCTCCATATTTCGTTAAGAGAAATGGCACCTCAAAGCACAACGTGCAGAATTAACATGTAAAATTGCACAAACCACTAGATTGGACTGGTATTACCTTTAATATGATGAACTATGGTGACTATGTGTTGAGCAAACAGCTCTGAAGGGCTCCTGCGAAGCTGAGCAGACTGAATATGCTGGAAGATCGAGCGAAACTCCTCATGATCTTTTTTACCAGGGTGCACAAGATCCCGTGACAAATGTCTTTCTTTAGCTAATGGAGCTGATGAGCTGAGGGAAAGCAGTGGAGTCATACACATGTATCCAGTTGTCATACATTACAAAAAAAATATTATAAATCATGATTTTAAAATGTATACCTTTCTCCACCATCAGTGAATGCCTTTATACTGAAATTAAAGTGTGGGTCTTTCTTCCCTGAGGATTTAGCCGGGGGCGAGGCCTCTCTTCCAGCGGGAAACAGTGGCCTGCCTCTATTCTCTGACACACTCGATGGAGATGGAGCGGATGGACTGATCCTGCTTTTTTTCTTTTCTTTCTTCTTGGAGGCCTTCTCTTCTTTTCTAGAAGCATGCTTCCGACTGCGATAAAGTTCCTCATCCAGATCCTCTTCAACATCTTTGTTGGACAGATAGATGGAGTCATCCCATTTCCCGAAACGCTCTTCGGTTAAGCCCCGCATGGTGACAATGGTTTTTTCTTTATACTTGGATTCTTCCTCAGTCTTCCTGTCTTTCATTTCCTGGCGATACTCCTCTTCCTCGGCATCCAGAAAAGGAAGTCCTTTGTCAGTCTTTGAGCCGTCGTAGCCGGACTCGGATGCTTCGAACATGCTCCTCGACTTACCGCCGCTCTTTTCGCTGTCAGCGTCGCCCAAGCTTAAAGCCTCACCCCTTCCGTTATCCCTGTCTGATAAGGGCTTTTTCTTTTCTGCCAAAAACCTGAGGTGGACGATCACGTGTTAATCATTATTAAGGAGCAGACTGTATTAGAAAACATTTACATTTTCAAACCAGTTGACACTAACCTTTACCAGCAAAATAAAAAAGCCTACTTACAACAACAAAAACATTTCAGACATGCACACACTTATGGTTCAACTTTTCAGCAAATGCAGACACGACTAACCAAGATGGACTTTTTTTTTTCCATACTTACATCAATAAAACTTTATCTCCTAAATTATGGGATTGCAAACAACCTCATAGCACAGGTAAAGGCCCATTTGTGACATTTGACTCTGAAATTAGCTGGTTTCCATTATAAGCTCTATTCTTCCAAGGATCTTTGTTGCTGTACAAGGACTAAACACATTTGAGAGAATGATGATTGATTAAAAACTGCCTGGAGGACAAAAGAAAGAGAGGGAAAACATCCAAAAGCCAATATCAAAAACATACTTTTTGAAAGCAGTTGAGATGGAGGCCGATTTGTCTTCTGTCTTCAAGTCTTCTTTTGTGAAGAACCCAAAGCCAGTTGGTGTTGACGAACTTGACGTCTTTGCCGGTGGACTTTTACTGGCGGGGCCAATGGTTCGCCACAGTGGACCACCATTGCCGGAACCTCCAGAAAGGGACACCTTAACCTCCGACTGACTCCCAGCAGATGCAGCGTTGCGTTTGGGACTGCCATCGTAGTCAGATAGGCCTTCCCACTTACTACTGGGTTCCTCTGGGCTGCTTCCTGTAGGCTTGGATGCTTCCTTGCTGGCTCCCTTGTTCTCACCCGGTGAAGCCCTTCCTTTGGCTTCTTTGGCATGAGGTCGTCCCGCACTCGAGTTGCGTCGTCGTGGGGACGAGGAGCGGGAGGAGGAGCTGGAACGTCTGGAACGCCCCGAGGAAGATTTACCGGAATGACGTGAATGGCTTCGGCTTGGTGATCTTTTCCGTGGAGTGTGGGAACGTGAGCGCCCCCTCCTAGGGCTGTACGAGTGGTCGTATGGCTGTTGCTGATCTCTATGGCCGTGCCAGTTGGAACCATGGTTGGAACGGTAACCATAGTTGCTCCCACCTCGATAATAGTTCCCTCGTGGGAAGTAGCCACGCCCTCTGCCCCGGTTGTACTGAAAGGGCCTCCGGTAGCCACGGTTATAACCACGGTTATAACCACGATTGCCCTGGAAATCTCTGGAAGGATAGTTCCTCTCCCTGCTATGCGAACGGGATCTTGATCTAGAACTAAAAGAAAAAAAGAAAATGTAAAGCACAGAAAGAGGATTAGAGCAAAATTAGAGAAAAAAAAGAAGAAGATGCAGTTATGATTCATAGCCACTTGATGGCGCTACAGAGTCAAAATTCACACAAATGGAACAATTTACTTTTTGGGTTTTTGCAATGAGCAAAATGTTTAAAAAATGTTAAATCACTTCCTGTTGAATTTCACAACTGATGCAATTATTACAACACCTTTTACCACTGAATAAAAGATTACGCTGCCTAAATGTATGCCTTCATCACATCTTCTAAAGTTGCATATGGAAATTTCCTATAAATGGAACTGCAACTTGAATTCATTACCTAAACCTGGCAATACATTAAGTTAAGACATTTTTCAAGCTTTACTATAGGCACTGTGGTCCAAATTTACCAGTGACTAAACCAAACATTCACTAACAGGAAAAAGCCTTACCACTTGTGCTTTTTGATTATTAAGAATAACGTTTATCAACCTGCATAGCAAGCCCCCGATTGTGGAAAAGACATGCTAATCCACATGCAGTGGAAAGAGGTAGACAGGCCAGACAAAAGGAAACCGTTTTTAAACTAACTCTTACTGGACACGTAAAAAACAACAAAAAGGGTGGGCTGTTAGAGGAGAAAAACTTAGAAAAGGAGAAGCAACCTTCAGGAAAAATATGGTGTCTCATCTCAGTGCCATTTTAATATTAAATGACTATTTCAAGAGCAGGATAAAGCAGCACTCTAATGCAGCTGTTTTTAAACTGAGTTATGACGGCTTAAAATCAGACTTCTCATTTAAAATGCCATTCAATCATCAATTTGTTGCAAAGGAAGTGGCTGAAATCTATTAAATTTGCCTACCTGTAGCGACGCTTTCTGGACCTTGAGCGGGAGCGAGTCCTCGAGTGAGATCGTGAGTAGGACCGTGATCTAGTCCTAGACCTAGAACGGGACCGAGAAGCAGAATTCGGGGGCTTGGACATCTCTGCTTACAGTATCTTTAGACCTGAAAAGGGAATCACATGAACACAAGGCTATCACACTTGCACAGTATACCATTATAAAACAAATGCAGGAGGACTATGGAGAAAACTCCCCTAAAAATAAAAAATAAACAATTAAAAGCCAAAAAAAAGAAGACCAGTAAAAAAAAGAAAACTTAGTTGAACAAAGGCATTACAACATCTCAATCTTTTTTTGTTGTGCAACACAGAGACTGACCGATACAAACTTAAGTGACCGATAACTGATATGTAGAACTTTTAATTTTTAATATTTTTTGCCACAAACTAAATCATTACACTACAACAATTAAAAAATTATTACAATTGCTGTCATTTATGCCATTATATGCAATAGGGCTGCAATCAATAGAATCCTTTTTTTGTGTGACTTTGCCAAAAAAAGAGTCAAATTTACCATAATTAAATCCTTCAGTTCATGCATTTATATTCATTTAGGAGAAAGATGACTATCCTTTATATTTAGGCTAAAGAAAAACATTAAGAACAGTAATGACAGCAGACTCAGAGTCTTATCAAAATCATTAGTAGCCCTAATATAAATGCTTTATATAAGCTGTTCTGAGATCTAAATGGTTGTACATTTATTTACATCTTTGTTCTGGGCATTGTCTAATGTTTTTTTTCTTTCTTCTACACAGTAATATTTATATGCCTTGCTGACAATGATTACGGTTATCTCTCCAGTATACTACAGTAGTATTGAACAAGGTCACCTGCCCAAACGAATTCCCGTTTAAGGTAACTGATGCAACTAAAACACACTATTTATCCTCAAACATCTGCACCTGATTTCCTAACTGATCAACATTTATGATCAGTGTTTATTTTACCTTGACCCACCATGAATTTATTCTGTTTGTGTTGACCAGATAAATCAAATATTAACAACAACAAAAAAAACCTGAAACTACAGCAGATAAGGACAAAGAAGAGAGCCAAACAGATTCATCGAGCTGGAAAGTATGGGTGAAATAGTTTCAGATCCTTAAACATTCAAAACAATCACACTTCCTTTTATTATGCAAATTTTGCAGAAGTCATTTGCAATAAAAGAGTGAAAATACAGCAAGAACATTCGCAAAACATACAATGGACTGAACAGTTTCTGAAAATAATATACATCAAAAATGGCTTGCATAAGCTGGTTAAACAATTACTCTATGAGTGGTTAATGCCACAAAGCCTGGTTTTCCGGTGTGTTGCATTTATCTTGTAACATGAGTAGCCTAAGCTAATTGATACGCAACATTCTTCAGTGTGGGATAGACAACAAGGTGTGTCTTCTAGTATGAAAGACTTGTGTGCATGCATAAGTCTATGCATTTGCATCGGCAGTCAAGGCAGAACAGGAAAGGCTGCTGCCAAACAATTATCAGCCAGTCCTTTAGTGTGAGAGACAGTCCAGCTCAACCAGTGTAGCTAGATCCTAATCCAGTCAGGAAATACTTGGGAAAAAACATTTGCATTGATGCAAATTTCATCAGTACACAGAGTACATTCACTGGCTGAGTCTCGAAACATATTGAGTTGTCTACCTAGCCACTTTAGACTCCAAAGGCACCATATGGGAAGTTCAATAGACATTTTACTAGGTTTTGAGACATTTTGAGATCCCAAAATTCTATCTAGATCCCTATGCTTAAAAACCTCCAAAGAAGTGTATTGTTTTGCTGTCTAGATAGCAAGCTCACTAGATAGAGAAATTGTTGAAAACACTATTATTCTTCAGAACCGTTTATATGGTAATATCTCAATGCAAAAGCCATTAAAACAGCGAAAAAAAATGGCCATTTTATAAGACGTAACGTTATTTCAAAACACTTTCGTTTTCACTTCTTTCATGTTAAGGGTGAAAAGTGATGAGATTAGGATAATACAATCACATTACAACTGCAACCCCGACTTGACACGATCATCTGCAGCCATCCTCGCTCATATGTGTGTTTTAAAAACAAAATAAAGGATATTTACAGAGATAAAATTCATCAATCTCAACGTGTTCAGAATAACAAAACCATAATCTGGATGAACAATAAAAATGCATTGTATTGGTTTTTACTAGTTAAATAACTCAATCACATTATGTCGCCCTTTATGCAACCAAAATACAGAATATTACAAGTCATATTACATTTCTGCTGTTAGCCGCTATGCTAACATTAGCCCCTTTGCTAATCTGAAACGGCCTAAATCGCGCAAAACCAGACACAATATCAACAAAATAACATGAAACAACACTTTAAGGAGAAACACCAGCAGAGAATATTGAGAAAATAGCGATATAGTGTTAAAATGTGTATAAATAAACTCACCTGAGAGGCTAGTCAGATGTGATTAGCGCGAGCTCACGAGCAGAGGCGCTGCGAGCACGCGACCGAGGAATAACGTGTATTATGCGTCGTATGCGGATCAATGTTCGTCTGATTTGATTTATTCTGCTCTATTTCGCCCTTCTAACCTAAAGGGGTTCAGTTGTGAACGGTTTCGGAGTAATGAAAATGAGAAGTGTCCATTTGGTCGCCTCAGGAAACGCAAAAGGCTTCTTTCCGAGGCAGTTCAGCTTCCTGATCAACGCAGTGAATGCGCTCGCGCGCGCACGCAGAGGATTATACACGCCCCTTTTTTTGGTATTCTTTTTTATTCAATAAGTATGTTCTCTTTTTCTTAAAAAAACTATGGATATTGAATTTTTTTAAAAGTATGAAGGTTTTTATGGGTCTGATAGAGATAGTCTAACGTTACGTTTACACATTCTTCAGTCTCTTTCGAATTACACAGAATTCCTTAGGCCTACATTTTAATACAACTACATTTCTCTCTCTTTAATTAATTTTCAAACAAGACCTGCATGTTGATATAATATATGGCTCATTTCTTTCCTCTGAGAACCACTGCAGCATCTATCTACACATGGTAAAACAGACACAGCGCCTCTATTTCAGACACCTGTTGAAAGCTTCTCATACTGACAGCTGAGATCACAGGCCGCTGAGCCAGTTCAGAGAAATCTGTCCAGCACCAGGCAGTATTTCACAGAGAGAGGAAACACAACGCAGAGTCAACCTACATGAGCCAATCTATAACACATGTCTGCAAAAAACTTTTGTTAGTTACTGATGCATGTTTCTGTAAGGCAAGATAAGGCCTTTTCTAGGGGTTCCTAAAAAAAATATGTTGGCTATATATATTGTTAGAAAATATATATGAATGTATTGTATAGGTCTCGCCCTCCAATGTGTGCACGTGTTTCCTGAATCTGTTTCAGGAAGTTGGATACCGTTTTAAACATTGTTAGCTATATGCTAATCTCACTTTCCTTTTTTAGATGGTTCATTTGTCTTCTTCAGCTACACCGATTTTGAATTACAGGTACTAGAAACACAACTAAAGGTTATTCTTAGCATAGTCTTATACAGTACACTATAGTGCTACATTATGCCATTGACAATGGCTTCCAATAATCATATTTAAAAACATAAACATTCTTCTCTAAGACTGCTGGCAGCTGCTATCACAAAAATAGTCATCCGCAACAGGGCCAGAGGACGTTTCTGGTGAAGATCTGCAGTGTGTATGTTACAACTAAAAATAAAAATGTAAAATGTATATGATAATGTCTTTAAATGTATAGATTTATATATATATATATATATATATATATATATATATATATATATATATATATATATATATATATATATATACATATATATATATACATATATATATATATATATAGACTATATTGTTTATAATAAACAATACCTTAAGAAAAAATATTTAATTAATAGCTTTTGCATTCAGGTTTTTATATCTCAAATGATGACTTGATGACTGGCTGCAAATGAGATTTAGGTTGATAATTATTATATATCAATTGTAATTGGGATCATAAAGCTGAGAGCCATACCGGTAGCCCTATACTATTTGGAGCCAATTTAGCTCTATTAAATCACCAGAGGTCTTACCCAAGGGGTGTATGATATCAATTATGTCAAAAAAATATATATAAATAAATAAAAATTGACCAATTTGAACTCTATTCTGAAATTCAAACACTGGAGTCCTGTAATGTTATCAGTGAGTGTCATGTTCTAAATGAAAGATCGCTGCACAGCACGACTGCAATCCTGTCTGTCATTTTGGCAAACTGTTTACATTCCCAAACTGATCTAGGGGGCTAACTACATCCAGACAGTTTGATAGCTTAATTCATCTCCAATAAAGTCTTTATTTTTGATGTAGATTAACTCAAAGTAAAACTGAATGTGCCTGGATGCTCAAACCTGAACACATGCAAAGCAGAAAGTGTGTGATGAAGCGAAGTATAAGCTAGAGAAAGCTTTTTGATGTCAAAAACCACAATTAAAAATCTATATGTGCACCACAACCAAATTTAGAGTGAGTTCCTGTTCATGCTATGAGTTATTCATTTCAGAAGAGTATAGCACACGTTCAGTGGAAACTTCGTCTTGTGGTTTTGTGTTCAGTTAAGAACTATTTTTCCATTCTAAAACCAAGGGTGTGCTGTTTCTCTCCACACTCTGTTCAGAAGCAATGTCTTTTAAAGCCGTATTTTTCTTTCAGGTTTGAATGCATTTGTTCTCTATATAAATGAAAGTGGCATGTTTGACATTGAGGGTTTAGCACTAATAACATGTAATGCCACCATTTGAAAGAGAAGACGGATTACATAAACCACGCCACATCCACTGAAAATGATTTAGGAAAAGCTAGCAAAAAAACAAAAAGACATTTTCTTAATGTTCTGTTTTACTTGCAGAATGTTTAGTTTGCCCATTTCCAGGCCTTTACAATTTTAGTGAAGCCGCATGAATGCATACATTTTCATCTCAACAATTATCACATTAAGTTCAAATTTAATTACATTTATGTTCAAACATGCACAAGAGAAATATGAAGAAAACAAAGAGAGCAGCCTCACCTCTAGCATTCAGGAGTGGAAGGAATATAAAAGAAAGCAAAAGCAAATGCAGCGTATATATGCAGTGAACAAAGAACTTCCTGTATTTGATGGACAAAGCTATACTAAGTCATTTCTTGTATATGCCAGATGCATGCAGCCTGCTATATGAAGTTTATTAAAAGAACCAACTACACAAAGTGTTTATTATTGGTCCTTCCATGAGTAGAACATTATTATTAGATCTTCTGACTGTCACCAAGCTCGTGAGGGATAAGGAGAAATATATTGTATATTTAGAACAGTGTTGTTAATATTAACTTAAAACAACAACAACAAAAGTATTTGAATAAAAGGTGAATTTGAATAAAATATAAAAAATTAGATGAAAAACTTCAAATTGCCTTGGAAACTAATTGAAATAAGTTTACGTTGATGTACTAAAATGACTAAACGGAAATAAAAAAAATGAAAGAGAAATATTTCAAAAACTAATAAAAATGACAAATGCAACTAGCAAAATTACTGAAACATCAAATAAAATTACAATGAAAAATATATATAAAAAAGCTAATTCAAAATATTAATAAATTCTATAGTGTATAAAACAATACTAAAATAACACTGGTATGTAAACAATTCAGCTGCAGGCAAAAAAAAAAAGGTAATTCAATTTAATTCGACTTTCACATCAAATTTTTTAAATAAAAAACATATTGTCTTGATTGAACACACTATGTAAACATTTACAGTGCAAGGTGGGAAAATGTGACTCAAAGTGAACTGGATTTGATTCATGTTGGTAAATCAAAATAAAATCATATAAAATATTATTTCAACCTATTTTTTTTATGAACAACAAATTGTGGAGTTTGCTGTTTTTCTTTAGTGAAGTTTTCAATAATATTTCACTGTTCCATATTCTGTTTCATACAGTTTGTCCGATACAAGCTTGATACAAGCTTTTTCTCAAGCTTGGCTCACATTACAACTCTCTTTGACATCAGCCCAATAATCAAAAATACAATCCACAATAGTAACCAAACTGGCCAATTGAACGTGGACACAGAATGCTGTGTATTTAGGAACCTCTATCTATTCTGACCCAAAGGAAGAGATACACTGGACACTTTATGGCTCCATGCTGGAAAGAATATTTCACAGTGCAGCTGGTATAGAGGCATAAAACAAAGCAACTTCGATTGTGTGAAGCAAATGTGTGGTTGTCGGAAACATGCTGCAAGACCACATTTAAACAGAGTGGTTGAAAATATAACACGTAGAGTGTGTTTAGATGCAAATACATGCAGCACACACATGTACCCACATTTACACACTCATTCACGCACACTTATCAACAGCAACCAAAACAGCCCCACAACAAACAGACAGTGAATTCTCAGTTGTCTTCACACCTTGCAGTGACTCCAGTGAGGCTTTATATTGTCCATCTTGTGCGCCAAGGTTTTGTGGCACAACATACTGTTTAACAGGCCTTTAAAGGCCAAAGGTTAGAGACAAATATGAACTTTGGATTCAGAGCTCTGTCAGCCATCTTGGTCAATTTCCAATGCAAAATTGTGTTGTAAGATTATTCATTTATGTACTATTTTAGTATTTATCAATATTTTGATTTAGCTTTTATTTTTATATTTTCAGGTTTCATTTGAGTTTTTTATATTTTAGTATTTCAATTTCAGTTACTTGCCAAGGCAGCATTTCAAGTTTTTCATCTAATATTTATTTCAATGAACGAAAACTATTTTTTAATAGTAATAGTTTGAAATTTAGATAAAAATAGCAACATTGATAAAATAAATGGCATCAGAATTTTGTGCTTTACAACTTTGGAGTTTAAAGCGTTTGGGAAACATATAGGAACATAGGAAAGAGTGTTCTCAACCCAAGTTCTCAAGTGTCTCATCTATAGATATCCAAAAGTGATCTTAAAAAAGTCTCAAACTTTGCTCAGATATTCCAACGTACCTAAATCAGCTTTAAAAGTCATAGATTTCAGCATGAACTCAAACGTTTCTCATCTTCCAAGAGAATTATCTGATTTTAAAGCTGTTTGTGTCTATTTTTACTTCCCCCAACCGTTTTAGGAGAAACATCTAAGACAAAGTTGATGCATGAATTGAAAAGTGTCCCAAACTCTAAAAGAGCAACATCATTTTTCTAAGGGTTATTCAAATCAAAAGCAAACCTGAGAGCAGTTGTTCAGACGGTGTTCTGTCACTCATTAAGATCCTGTTCATTCCTGTCATGCCAAATGAATTAAAACCCAGCTGGCAGTGCCCACCTCAGTCATAACTCACTTTGTATCCGTTATCATCCATCTAAAAATACAGTGCTTGAGATGACCATCGGACTATCAGGGCCAACATGTCAGTTAGTTGGTGTGTGGTGGTGAAACTTCGGATGGTTGCATCCAGAGTTGGAAAAATGTGATTTAAGGATAACCACAATGTTTTTCCCCCCTGTTAATAATACACTATATAATATTAGCTTTCTGTCATTGTTTTCTTCATATGTGCATTAATATCACTCTGAATACCAGAACTGGGTGTCAACACATGCACAGACTCTCACCGGTGAACGAGAAGATATAGCGTAATTTGTAAACAGCCCAAATGGGGCAAGATGAATGCAAGTGTTC